CGTATCCTTAAATCATTACACGGGCATCCACTAACCTGAAGTTTAGGTTTGATTTAAGGAATCATATGTCAAACCTGCTTCATGAGAAAACTTATTATTAAGCCTTCTTATGACAAGATTCGTTTGAATCCTCTTATTTTTCTACAAAAGGATTCATGAGGATATTTGTGGACCGATTTACCCTCTATGCAGACCATTTAAATATTTTATGGTTTTGGTTGACGTTTCCACAAGTTGGTCACACGTATGCTTGTTGTCCACAAGGAACGCTGCATTCTCCAAACTGTTGGCTCAGGTTATCAAATCTATTCAATTGGATAATGCTGGAGAATTCACATTTAAAACTTTTGATAATTATTGCATGTCAGTTGAGGTTGAAGTTGAACATTCAGTACCCTATGTTCATACCCAGAACGGCCTAGTAGAGGCATTCATTAAGTGCTTACAAATGATTGCTCGATCGTTGGTCATACGTACCAAGTTCCGATCGCTGCTTAGGGCTATGCAATATTGCAAACACCCATGTTGGTCCGCTTAAGGCCTGTTGTGACCTAAACATATAACGCCATTCAGTTGGTTACCGGATACAAACCCAACATATCGCATCAACGCATTTTTGGTTGTGCGGTTTATGTGTCGATTTCGCCACCCTTATGTACAAAAATGGGGCATCAGTGAATGATGGGAATTTATGTCGAATATGATCTTCCTTCGAACATTTGTTACTTAGAACCTTTGATCGGTAATCTATTTACCGCTCGTTTTGCGGATTGTCACTTCTATGAGACAGTATTCCCGTCGTTAGGGGGAGATAAAAACGTCAATGTTCCTGAAAAACGACGCGAATTATCGTGGATGACTCATACTTTGTCTCATTTAGATTCTCGCACCGTTCGGTCTGAGATTGAAGTGTAGCGCATATTAGATCTCCATAGCATAGCTAAGAGCATGCCAGATTCTTTCATCGATTTAACGCGAGTGACAAGATCACATATTCTAGCTGCAAATGTGCCTGTAAAGATGGATGTACCAAATGTACGACGAATTTTTCTTCTAGAGGCCCGGGACGCCACTTGGGCCAATCCATATACATTAGCGTCCAACCAATCCTTTGCCCCTACGCAAAAGCATGGCAGACCTCTTGGTTCAAATGATTCATGCTCCCAGAAGAGGAAACCCACGACACAGGCACTTGAAGAGCCTACCGTGAATTCAACTATCGCTTACTCATTATATCCAACTCATAAGGAAATTCTAGATTAAGGAAGCATCCTTGGAGAGACGAATCCATCTTCCGAGAATCGTGAGATTTCGGTCCATTATGCTAGTTTGGATGGTGTTTGGTGTAGAAATGAGATGATTGTCGATGATGCAATAGCATATGCAATAGCTACTGAGATCATGTTAAACGATGACATTAAACCCCGTTCCGTTGATGAACGTCAATGTAAAACCGATTGGTTAAACTAGAAACAAGCAATCTAAATCGAACTCGATTCGTTTACGAAACGTAAAGTGTTTGGACTTGTAACTCCTACTCCTCCACATGTGAAGCTCGTTGGCTACAAGTGGGTTTTCATTCGGAAGAGTAATGAGAAGAACGAAATTGTGCGTTGCAAAGCTTGTGTTGTTGCGCAAAGCTTCTCACAACACCCCGGGATTGACTATGACGAAACTTATTCACCCGTTATGAATGTGATTACTTTTTGCTACCTTATCAGTTTGGTAGTTTCCGAAAAACTGATTATGCAGCTTATGGACATAGTAACTACGTATCTTTATAGGGATCTTGATACGAAAATTTATATGAAAGTTCCCGAAGGACTTACATTGACTAGATCAAATATTTCCAAACCTTGGAACATGTTCTCAATTCGGCTGAGGCGTTCACTTTACGGTTTGAAGCAATTTGGAAGAATGTGGTATAACCGTCTGAGTGAGTATTTGAATAGTCAGGGATATGTGAACAACGAACTATGCCCTTGTGTGTTCATTAAGAAGTCACATTCCGGTTATGCGATAGTTGCAGTTTATGTCGACGATATGAACCTCGTCGGAACTCCTAAAGTGCTCGCGAGAACTGCTGTGCACATGAGGTCAGAATTTAAGATGAAAGATCTAGGAAATACTTGATACTGTCTTGGTCTCAAGATAGAGCATCGTTTGGATAGAATCTTAGTAAACGAACTACACATAAAAGGTGTTGTGCTGCTTTAACGAGGATAAAGCAAAGCCTTCGAGTACTTCTATGGTCGTTCGATCGCTAGATGCAAAACTAGATCTCTTCCGTCCGAATGAGGATGATGAAGAGATTTTGGAACCTGAAGTTCCTTATCTAAGTGCAATAGGCGCTTTATTGTACTGAGCTCAATGCACTAGACCCAACATCTCATTCGCTATTAATCTTTTGGCAAGATACAGTAATGCACCAACACGCAGACACTGGACTGGTGTTAAAGACATATTTCGCTACCTTAAGGGTACTACAGATCTGGGCTTGTTTTATCCGTACAGATCCTCGAGTGATGCCGCACCTCCTTATCTCGAGTTGATTCTCGCTTTGTCGGTTATGCCGACGTATGATACTTATCTGATCCTTATAAGGCACGCTCTCAAACGGGTGATGCCTTTACCATTGGAGGCACCACAATCTCTTGGAGGTCAACTGAACAGACCTTAGTTGCCACTTCGTCTAACCATGTTGAAATTCTCACCTTACATGAAACAACTCGAGAATGCTTTTGGTTGAGAGCAATTGTGGGCCATATTTGAAGCTCCTGCGATCTTTACCCCGTTGTTAATGTCCCCATGACGATCTATGAAGACAATGTAACATGCATCGAACAGCTCAAGAAGGGTTATATCAAAGGAGACAACACCAAGCACATTGTGCCAAAGAGAACGTTTCAGAAGCTTGTTCAAGGATTTGGTATGCGTAAACTTTATGAGTTGTAACATTGCTAGTTCTCTTTGAAATTATGTCAAACTCAGGGGGAGTATCTTGAAGTATACTTGCTTGATCTTAATGTACTATTTTTCCCTACGATTAGAAGCATTTTTCCCACTGGGTTTTTACTACTTAACGAGGTTTTGACGAGGCACCCGCCTTAGGTTAATCATATCCCTGATGACATTCTGTAAACGTTTCATTTGACTTTGCATTACTTACACAATTTTCCTTAGACTATAAGTTTTATCCCTACTCGGGTTTTTACCATAGCCAAATGGTTTTTCATGAGACTTAGTTCCTTATTCAAGTTCTTACCTTATTGAGAATAACGTGTTCCTATAATCAATGTCGATGAGTCGACTTCTTCAACCTCTACTTGATGCCAAATCTACTTGAGTATTGACACACTCAAGAGGGAGTGTTATAAACTTCTTGTTTAAGTGTGATTGTATAAATCCTAGATCAGATTTGATTTTAGTTATTTTTCCCCATTAGGACTTGTATTCATTAGAGGAGAAAGATTTATTCTCTCTCTTATTACTATAAATAAAGGCAGTGGGGGAATAACAACATCCTTTACACAACCCTATAAACACATCTCTCTCTATTCCCTCTGTGCTGCCGGCCCCCTTCCCCTGTCAGTTAAACATAGGCCACAACATTTATGAAATTTTCAACTTAAAAAATTTTAACTTTAGATAAAATTAGATTTCATATGAACCGTTCGATTAGTTCATTATTTTCCAAAATATGTTTTAATAAAAACAATAATATTTAAAATAAGTAAAATTAAAGAAAAATAAAATAGTAAAACAAAGAAAAAGGCTAATTGCCAAAAGGCCAGTAAAAATATAGGGGACGTTTGTTTGCCCTTACTAAGTGTTACTAGACTAACTATTAGTCTAATCCCGTATTTGTTCCGTAATGGGATTATGTTTAATGAGATTAAAGAGGACTTGCATGGACAAACTCCTTCAATAGGAGTTCTTAGCAAGACCCCCCAATACCCATGGGATTACCAAGACCTCGTCTGCTCCGTCTCATCCTCTTTGCTCTCTTGAGCATTGACAACCACCATCACATCGCAACTCGCCAACTCTAGCAGGATCACACCACTAATCCATCACCACTCTCTCCCTCTCTCCTCACCTTGAACCCATAATTTTGAACTAAGGAAGATCCCGCTCTTACTATCGTCCGTCCAGCTCTAGCCGTTTGCTTCGCTGCGCTTCGAACTCGACCTCGGACTTGTCGGCTTCGCACGATTGATGGGATCTTGTGAACCCATCGATGGGTGAGCCACCCAGTGCACTTGAAGGAATATGGGAGACCAAAAACGTCAGAGCCTACGACAGCGATACAGACATTGGTTGGATTAGGATGACAGCGAAGTGTTCTTCGCCAAGGGCAACGACTTGGGATTCTTGTTTTCATTTGGTATTGATTTAAATTGGGTTTTGATTTCGACTAGGTTTGATGTGATTTGAAATTGGCATTTGATTTGCTCTGCTATTGTTTGAATGATCTGCAAGTGTGGAATGAATTTTCGGGAGAGAAGAAGAGAACTTAGAAAAAAGAAAAAGAGATTAAATAATAAAATACTAATATATATTAGATTAAATAATTGGAATTGTTATTGACACTTTAAAATTCTCATTCTACACTCCAAACTTTCTATACTTATAAAGAAAAATACAATTGTAAGAAATGTAGAATGAGATTTTTACTGTACCAAACACTTCATTAAGTTAGTCCAGCTTAATCTAGTCTAAGTCAATCCAACTTAATCTCTGAAGTTAGTCCAATTGGTTCAACAAACGTACCCATAAAATCTTAAAGTTCGTTACTCGGTTTATTCAAAAAATTATTTTGTAAAACATCATCCAACGGGCCCTCACTTGTCGGATTCAGCACGGTAGTTTAAACCATAATCAGATGGAAAGGATCACTTTGGTAACATTGGTAAAAAAGCAGACCAAATCAGCTAAATTGCAAAACGTAGGGACCATTTTGGTATTAAAAGGGCTCTCCGGTAATTTAAACGGAGTTAAATTTCTCACGCAAATCTCTCTCTCAAGCCAAATTACATTTCTTAGCGCGAGGGTTTTTACACAACTGCTTCTTCTCTCTCGCTCTGACTCTTATTTATGAAGCTCTCCAGCTCGCAGCAGCATCGCCTTCGAATTCTGGGTCGGATCTCCGATTAGGTAAACCCCTTTGGCCTTTCAAGCTGCCGCTTTTCCTAGTATTTTATTTTGCCGTCTACAATTTTTACTGTTCCTGAACTCAATCGCTGAAAAGCTGATTAATCGAATTCGAGGACCCGTCAGTGTCAGTTTTTGTTTTTTGAGACCGAAAATTTACGCCGTAAATTTAATTTTCTAGGGTTTTGGGACAGGATTTTCAGCTCAATTTTCATGCAAAAGGTCCAAGGTAGGGTTTTGTGATTTTTTTGGGGTTTTTTGTGTTCTAGTATGTGAAAATTGACTTGGGTTTTTGTTTAAATTGAATTTGGAAAAATGGGTTGAAATTGATAGTATTAATGCTTTAGTCAATTTTAGAAATTATTGTCACCGTTTCTCAAATAGAAAGTGCATGTCGACTCCATTTGATGTTTTAATGATTGGTTTACTTTGCCTAAACAAAATGCACTTATTTTGTCACTGCAATCAATGCTTCTCCCTTTCCCTCTCAGTAGTTGAGGGGGAGAGGTGTTATGGTCTTGTAACACACTAATCATGGGGGCGTATGAGATGTCGACAAGCGGTTGTAATCACTAGGCGGTCTTTGTGATATTTTTCCCCCATTAGGTGCTGAATATGCGGTACATCAAAACTGTAATTCTCAACAATATATATGCATTGCGATTCTGACTCCAAAATTTGAACCAGAGAATTCATTGTTTGGTATGCTATGATAGTTATACTGTTCGTTGATTTCACTAATTGCAGGGCAGTTCGAATGAGATGGCATCTTCACATAATGTTGAGTTGGAGGCAGCCAAGTTTCTCCACAAACTCATTCAAGATTCTAAAGATGAGCCTGCCAAACTTGCTACGAAGCTTTATGTGGTTCGTGTAGTTTTCTCTTGACAAATGGTCTTTTTAAATCTTAACCCCCACCCACTATTTGCTCCTATTTATTCTGACACGTATGTACATGTATTTATTTGCATTGTGTTTGGGAAATGCAGATACTACAACACATGAAGTCAAGTGGGAAGGAACATTCCATGCCATATCAAGTGATATCAAGGTAAAGGTTAATATTTTACACTCTATTTGATGGTATTTTGTTCATATTGGACTTATCATAGGGCAATCAGAAATTTTAAGATCATTATCTAGACCTGTGAAAGAATTTCAAAACTGTGCTAGCATTGTTATCATTTATATAGTGAATCCTAATGATAATTTACTTAATTATCTGATAACATCGAGATTGCAGTGTCCAAGAAAATAAGTTGTCTATACCTTTTAATCTGGAGGGGACGGCTGCATTTTCTTTTATTTGGTTATTTACGCCTCGCATTGAGGATTGTTGGATTATATCCAATAATATTGGTTAGGTAGTTAAATAGTTTACTTAGTTTTGGTAAAAAATAAGATTATTTCAATATTAAACTGCTTTAGTATGGAGATTGTTTTACATTAAGCTATGTTTCTTTCTTTTTTTGTGGTTAGCTTTTCTTATCACTACCTATTGTTTTAAATTTTTTCCAACACTACTATTTTTCGTGGATTTTCTTTTATTTTGTTAAATCAACTATTTGTGTAGAATGTCAACTCATAACCTGAAAATTTTGGTTTCTCACGGTTGATTTGTCAATTGGGTCTTCCTCCATCATCTTCATTTATTTGGGGGCTGTGAGGAGAGGGAGGGGGGGGGGGTTCTTATACTTTCTCTAACTTATCTTTCTCGATCCACTTAGGGCCATGGAGACTGTTATTAATCAGCATGGTCTTGATATTGAAGCTTTGAAGTCCTCACGCCTTCCTATGTCTGGTGGAACTCAAACAGGTAATTTTTCAGTCACATTTTGAGGTCAGTGTTGTTTTATTTCAATCAAATTGGCTTGGTCAGTGAGAGGTAATTGAAAGCCACTTTTCTGCAGCTTCTTCTCATGCTGTTGCCGTTGCAAAAGATTCCAAAGCAGGCTTGGCTGAAAATGAGATATCTAATATGGACAAGTTTTCTTTAAGTGGACCACCTGTTGGCCCTAGCAGTACAGGAAATGATTATTATCAAGGATCCGCAACTCATCGGAGTAGTCAATCTTTTGATCATGAAAGTCCATCTAGTTTAGACTCTAGGTCTGCCAATTCACAGTCACAAGAAAGGCGTGATACAAACAAACAGGTGAATCGAAAGGATGGTAAAAAACCCACCACTAAGAGGAAGAGGGGAGATACATCCATGCCTATGGAACCGCATCCTGAAAACCCTCAACATCTTGATACAGGAAATGCTGCAGTTAATACAAGGAAGGGAAAGACAAACAAGGTCGAACCACCTGCTGGTTTCTCAAGTAAAGGTGGTGAAACTGCTAGTTTTAATATTGGTCTGGGTGGTGGTCAAATGGAACATTTTACATCGTTCTCTGGAAGTATGAGACCACTGCTCAGAGCCAAGCAAGAAGGTCAACCTTCAGAAAAGCAGTTGGATGTGACAAATACTACCAATTCGATGTCTCGGGCTCTAAGTTCAAATCACCCTGAAGAAATGGAAGTTTCCTCTACTCATAATGCTTTAACAAAGCAGCAAGCCACTTCCATACCTCCTATACATGACACTATGGGCATATGGAATCAAAGTAAAGCTGGCTTTCCATTTGAAAAATCTCAAGTTCCCAGATTTTCTTCTAATGTTGCCATTCCAGGTAATATGTCAGCAGACATTCCAATGCAGCAGTCAACGTCTCCATCACCTGGATCAAGTAAGAATTTGGAAAAGCGTTGATATTATTGTGGAATTAACTTGTTGGAAATCAATGCATCTGAAATTTCAGCTCTCAAAATTGAAAATTTCCAAATAACCAGCATTAAAATGGTACTAAAAAATGGACCCCTTGGACTATGTCCTTAAACAATATCCTCTCCGCGGGATTATTTGAATGTCAAGTATGGTTGAATCATGTTGAAGATGACTTATCTATATTTTGGAAAGATATCTTCTTTTTCTTTTGTACTGAATTAATATACAAACAAATAAATTATTTTTAAAATGAGATTACTCTTATTAAGGCAGAAACTCTTCTACTATCTCCTGGTTTTTTGAGTAATTAAGGCCAACATGATAATATTGGAACTTCAGGCTCTTTTGGCAAGATTCAAGGAGGCGTGCCAGTTGCATCTGGTTCATACCAAGTAGCAGAACCTGGATTCTCAAGTCCAATCAATTACAGCAGCACATTGGCCTCGACTGGAAAGGTCTCTGAGCATGATGGAGGAAATACTAATATATTAGCGGATGGAAATAAGACATCTCAGGTCCTAAATCTGTATCCATTATTCCATTATGTTCTCCACTTTTAGGCAAAACAAGGGCATTGTGTTTAGTTGTGTCCATCTTGCTGAATTAAGTTGTTTCTAGTATTCTTACTTGATATACGAGGAAGACATACTAAAAGAAAACATAGCTAGTACAATATACTTACTATTTGTTTTCTTCTTTCAGATCTTGTGGAAACATTTATTTTTTACAATGCGTATATTGCATGTGGTTAGTGTGTGTGTGTTTTTTTTTCCTTTTTTTTTTTCTTTTCATTTTAGCAGTCTGCTTAGCTGGCATTGCCTTGTGTTTAGTTGATACCCTGTGGAAATCTGTTCTGCGCATGAAATTATTTGCTCCTATGATGTTTGAAAGTTTGTGCATATGGCAATTTGCAAGTTTGACACATTTGTTCATAGGCTGGAAGGCAAAATAGTGCAGTAGAAATGAGTATGCTGAGAAGTGCAGCTCTGAGAGATACTGGTAAATCCCCAGTTCACTTGGCTTCTGGATCTCCTGGCATGCCTTTCCAGGAACAGCAGTTGAAGCAGCTCAGAGCACAGTGCCTTGTCTTTTTAGCCTTCAGGTAGATAGTTATATTTTGGATATGATGTTGTGCTGTTTGGTCAAGATGCTATCCAGTTCAAATCTTCGTCTTTGTCGGGTTAACTGTGGTGTTTTGCATGCAGAAATGGTTTGATGCCAAAGAAACTACATCTTGAAATTGCACTCGGTAACATTTTCCCTAAAGAAGGTAACTATTTTCATTTTTTTCTTTCTAAATCCTCAATTTTTACTGACTTGCAGCCCTAGAGCTTTGTATTTTCAGCCTTGATGTGTTAATTTAAAAAAAAATTCAGGTGGCAATACAGATGGATCTCGTAAGGAGTTCATTGACCATAAAGGAAAAGCGCAGTTTTCAAATGAGCCAAATATCATTTCTGATGCTACTACACCATATGGAAGACTTAGCAATGAGAGGGAAACTGATAAAATGCTGCCCGGTGCCTTGTCCACCGGAAAGTTCCCTGAGACTGACTCTTTGTTCATAGAAACTGAGAACCCGAAAATGGAAGAAAAAAATGGCCCACCTCCAGATCACTTTGTACTTGCAGAAGAAAGAAACCATCTTATTGGTTTACAGAAACCAGAATCTGAAATACAGACCCATGAGACCACAATCTCGCCAGCATGTTTAACCATTTCATCACAGCATCCTGAATCTTCAGGTGCAAGGAGTGGTTCAACTGTCAGTAATCCTTTGGACAATATGGAAAATGGACATTTGCAACTTGGAAGGGTCCCAAATCTTAGCAGCAGCAATGTCATGGGGAATCAGTATACAGGTAATCACCCGGCTTCTTTTTCACTCAGAGATTCTTGGAAACCGATTTCTGGAATTGGAAATGATCATCACACAGCAGGTGCATCAAAGGATGCTCATATCCTACCGAAACATTTATCTCAGGGTGAGAACAATATATTTAAATCAGTCTGTACTTTTTCTTTGTACTGATCTTGCTAGTTCTGGTAATTATGGTGTAGATGGTTTATAGGTATTAGTATTTCAAAAGAAATGCTTTTTGGGTGTATGAAATCTTTTTTGAATCTCTGAAAAAATACCTTTTTCAACTGCAGGACAAGCAAAGAACGGTAACCATGCTGATTTGCCACCTTCACCAAAGTACACTATGTCAGAAAAGTGGATTATGGATAAGCAGAAAAAGAAGCTTTTGGATGAACAAACTTGGATTCTAAAACAGCAAAAAGCGAAGCGAAAAATTGCGACATGTTTCCACAAATTAAAGGTCTGTTAGAAAAACATTTGTGGCTTCAAATATTGGTTGTTCTTTCATTACCCCAAAAACATTTTTTTTATTCCTGCCTGGTATTTGTTATGGGCTTAAATTGTAGTTACTGAGTATTTTTTTCGGGGAAAAGAAAAAGAGGGCCGGGGGGGGGGGGGTGGGGGTTGGGGGGGAGAGAGAGAGTTTGGGGTTTGGGGTTTGGGAGCGATACCTTAGTCCCCTTTCTGGACTTATGTGAAATACAAAAGGGATCATCTTCACACATTTCAGGTAGAATTATGCTGATGCAGATGTGGGTTATGCCATTTGGCTAGGTCAGTGTACCCTTGCACCCAAGTTCGAGCCCCCCTCTAGTAATAGAGTAGTTTAGAATAATCTAAAAAAGTATTATGCTTATTTGTACTTTAAAACTGATCCAACTGTGTTAGAAGTTTCAGGGAATGATTGATTGAATTCAAGAAAGTGGTTAGTATGGAAAATTGTCTCCAGAATGCTAAGTGTCATGTATGTATGCAATGAAAACAATGGAGCCATCCAGAGAAGTTAAACCATTTATAAAATTTTGTACCTTGTTTCTTTGTGAGAGTAGCATAAAGAAGGTTTTGCGGGTCAGGCTTAAAGGTAAAATTTGAAAGCAATGCTCGCACTAAAATTACTTGATTATAGGTGCATCTCTGCTGGAAGAATAGAAGAATCAAATTCTTTGGGCCAGTTTACTTATTCAGTGAGTTGGCACCTCATAGCTTGTATGATGCACGGATCAGATTGTAAGAGACGCATAAAAAAGAGAACATAACCAACCATGTATTGCCGTGTTTGTTTTGTTATGAACTGCATCACAACTGTGTTTACATGACGCTGTACAGAGTTGCACAAGAAACGTTTTGGGCACGTCATAATGTTCACATCACTGAAGGGATAATGTTTTTATTTTATTTTATTTTTTGTTATTTTTCATGTACTTTCATTATTCCTATGTCTCACTCTTCAAACAATACATCGGTTACGGAAAGGAATTTACTCAACTACTTATCTTGTTTATCTTGTATTTTTTAAGCTGTTAAAATGATCTCCATATCATGTTTTGACCAAATACTTATCTTATATATACTCAATTCTCATCTATGCGTATGAATATATCTTTGCAAAATGATATATTCAACTCGATGCATGGTGTGATAGATTCATTTATTCTATTCTTAATATTGTATTTGCCTCATGTACTGCATTTTACTACTCGTAGGAAAATGTGAGCTCTTCTGAAGATATATCTGCAAAAACCAAAAGCGTCATAGAACTGAAAAAACTACAACTCTTGGAGCTGCAATGCCGTCTCCGAAGGTTATTGATTATCCTATACAGGCTTCCAAGTGAAGACCAATTACTCCCTCTGTCCCTTTAAAGAATTATCTGCGTTGCCGAAACATAAATTTTAAGTACCACTTTAATGCTTTCTTACCAAATTATTTGGAACTATTTTAATGGTTTTCTACAGATATTTAAGTAACCATTTAATGCTTTCCTACTTCTCGGGTGTTTGCATTCAATTGTTTCTCATATTTTTAAATCTAAAATTATGAAGTATTTCATATCAAATTCATTTAAATAGATGACTAAGGGTTGTGGAAAAAATGGAAAGAAGTTATTTAATCTTTTACAGCGGGTAAAGTTCTTTTCAATTCCTAAAAGAGAAGCGTGGACCATTATTTTCGGACAGAGGGAGTATAAATTTATCTTTTCAGTCTAATTAGTGCAATTCTTTTTTTCTATATAATTTGTTTTATTTCCCAGACACTTAAAACCATGTTTTGATTTGTTTGGGCAGTGAATTCTTGGGTGATTTCTTCAAACCAATCAATACTGAAATGGATAACTTGAGAAGTTGTAAGAAATATAGACATGGTAGGAGGATAAAACAACTTGAAAAGTTTGAGCAAAAGATGAAGGAAGAGCGACAAAAGAGAATTCGGGAGAGGCAAAAGGAGTTCTTTGGTGAAATTGAGGTTCACAAGTATGTATTATATCTTTGTCCAGTGCGCATCAATATTTATAGCATTCTATGTTTTTGAGGAGCTATAGGAATCATTTATCCATTTCTCAGTTGATTTGGTTTCCAAAGTGTTCTGAGCAGTTTCTGACTTGCTTTCTAATCTGGACTTCAGGGAAAGACTGGACGATGTGTTTAAACTTAAGAGAGAACGCTGGAAGGTTTTCAATAAATATGTGAAGGAGTTCCACAAAAGGAAGGAACGTATCCATCGTGAGAAGATTGATAGGATCCAACGTGAAAAGATAAATTTATTGAAGATCAATGACGTGGAGGGATATCTGCGAATGGTGCAGGTATGTTCTAAGTTTTTACTGACTTCAGCATTGCTTCTTAAGTTTACTCTTTTTACATAACCTTTTTGAAACTCATGCTAGGATGCCAAATCTGACCGTGTTAAGCAACTTCTCAAAGAGACTGAGAAATATCTTCAAAAGCTCGGTTCCAAACTACGAGATGCAAAGGCTTTGGCAAGCCGATTTGAGCATGATGTGGATGAAAGTGGAACTGCAAGTGTAGTGGAGAAGAGTGAGCCTACTTTTGAAAATGAAGATGAAAGTGACCAGGCTAAGGCAAGTTTATTCTCTCTGCACTTCACTTCTTAGTTAAGTCCATGCTCATTTTGTTATTTTATTTTTATTTTGCAGCATTACATGGAGAGCAATGAGAAGTACTATTTGATGGCTCATAGGTGCTGATATGGCTTCTTTGTCTTGGGTTTATTGTTGATTAAACTTTGTTTGCTGCTTTGGAATCGCTATTCCTCACTACCTAACATTTACTTAGTGGTGGTTGAACTGAGCTAAGCTCTCGTTCCTTTTATTAACCCCTGTTTAAAAAATTTCCTTTATGACCATAACTCTTGGAATTTTTTTTTTTTAAGAAATAAAGTCTGGCTTTCTTGAGGCTGTCAATTGTACTACTTTCCCCTTTACTTGCTCTGCCAAAGTATCTTACAATCAACATTGATTTTTGCAGTATAAAAGAGACTGTTGCTCAGCAGCCATCTATTCTTACTGGTGGAAAATTGAGAGAGTGAGTTGAATGTGCTTTGTTAGATTCATATATTTGGAAATATATATTTTTGATGGTTGTGGAGGGGTAAAAGTTTGGATTTTTTCCTAAACTGTAAAATGGTGTTATTCAATAACAATTTTATAATTGTTGTATCCATTTTGCAATGATTGAGGAAGTGCTTTTATCAATGCACAGGTGTGAATCTTTTCAATAACAGTATTTTTGATCTTCAGGTATCAAATGAATGGCTTAAGGTGGTTGGTATCACTATACAACAATCATTTGAATGGTATTCTGGCTGATGAAATGGGCCTAGGTAAAACTGTTCAGGTAGGGATTGATTCTCAATCTCCCTAGACTGATGGCTATTTGTTTCCTGTTTACACATCTAAACTCTATAACATGTTTGTTTGTAGGTAATTTCATTAATTTGTTACCTGATGGAAACAAAAAATGATCGAGGACCATTCCTAGTGGTTGTGCCATCTTCAGTTTTACCTGGATGGGAGTCAGAAATTAACTTTTGGGCCCCTAGTATTCTTGGAATTGTCTATGCTGGCACCCCTGAGGAGAGACGTAGGCTATTCAAGTAATCACATAAGACCGAGCAGCTACCTCTTTTTATGTTTTACTTTAGGTATACAGTGGCTCAGGAGTTACTTTACATTGCAGGGAAAGGATAGTTCAACAGAAATTTAATGTCCTCCTTACGACATATGAGTATCTGATGAATAAGCATGACAGACCAAAACTAAGCAAAATACACTGGCATTATATAATAATTGATGAAGGTCACCGGATAAAGAATGCTTCCTGCAAGTTAAATGCCGAGCTTAAGCATTATCAGAGCTCTCACAGATTGCTGTTAACTGGAACTCCATTACAGGTTTCAGGCTTTTTTATCTTGTGCTCTTCTTTTGTTGTTGTTGGCACTCGTTCTGTGATGGTGTTGTGAATGTGTATTGTCTCCTTGGTTTGTGTAATAATGTGATATCCTGATTACCTTTTATTTTTGTGTTTGATTAGAATAATCTCGAGGAGTTGTGGGCGCTACTAAACTTCTTGTTGCCTAATATTTTTAATTCGTCAGACGATTTTTCTCAGTGGTTCAACAAACCATTTGAAAGTGGTGGTGATAACTCAGCTGAACAAGTGAGCTTTGGAATATTGTATTTGAGTCATTGACATTCTCTATGACTCCTGTTGCATGAAAATCTTATAGTTATGCATTTGTTGTTGGCTTATGTTGACAAGGCCTTGCTGTCTGAGGAAGAAAATCTATTGATCATAAACCGTCTTCATCAAGTACTTCGACCATTTGTCCTCCGGAGGCTGAAGCATAAGGTACCCAAAATGTGTTTTTGGCTTATTAATAGCATTTGCCATTTGAAATGTGTTTCTTTGGTACATATTGCCATATTGGGTTCGTATGTCCTTGTGTGGATTTAGTATCACTATTATGATGTGTAGACATACAGGCATCCATGTTTGGGGTTCTCCCATGTTTGTGGTTCTCCGGAGTTCTTTGTGTATCCATTTATGTTGGTGCTCCGGGCAAGGAAGCTTTTTTGCCATCATAACTTTTGTAAATGACTTTGTGTCTTTTCCATGAGAATGTCACATGTCAGTCATTTTAAGAACTAAGGGGCTCCTTAGTGCGCAGGAGTAGACTGGTTTGAACTATTGTTTTGGGCTGGTCTGACTTGGATTGGACCCAGTTTAGTAATGTCTTATGTTTGTTCAGTGTTGGACTAAGAAACTAGAGAAATTTCTATATATTATGTATTTAGCATATGATCGAGCTGTACTGCTATAGTTCTTAAGATTTAAATGACCATATATGTATCAACTAATGGTAACTTTCCAAATATAATGAAACATCTGAGGTAAGTAAATTAATTAAGATAAATTAAATGTCTTAGTAAATTGAACATAGATAAATAGTGTATAGTTTGTTTCTTCAATGAACTAGTTTTTTTTTTTTTTCGTTTTAGGGAACAATGAACTCAGTTATATAAGTTCATTTATTTTATTCCAAGCCAACTTTTATCACCTGCATCCAATTTATCCAGAAATTAATAATTCATAGGTCCAAGCCATACATATAAACTGCAGCCAGCTTTGTTCGTTGGCTTCCTTCATTTGATAATAAAGCTTAGGTAAAGTAGTCTGTGAATTTGAAAAATGCTGATTAAATGTTTCCCAACCCTACCAAAATAAGAAGACAGAATAAGTGGGTGCGATCCCCGCGTCTTCTGACTCTTCTCTGAAGTGGACCTGCCCTTTCTAGTCTAACTACCAAACATGTGATAATTTCTTAAATAAGCCAGCCAGCGTCTTTTCTGGGTTATGCTTGTAAAGGATTTAGCTTGTTCTATACTAAGAACGCGGAGATGGGTGTTGAACGAAAAAATCCTTGTTAATTTCCTTATTTTTGTCTAGAAGGAACGTGTAGACTTAGCCGCTTAATTAGGATATGCAAATGTAAGTCGATCATCAATTTAATGATGCATGATTGATGAGGTCCAATATGGCTTGACTCCTGGATATTTTATTTGGGTGCTTAGTGCCTTTACCGGTTATATTTGATTTTTTATGGTGTTTGTTACATCGAGAACTTTGGTATAAAATATATTGCTTCTGGGGCCTTGGTGACGTTTTATCGAAGTTTGTGTGTTATCGTTAACAAACCATTCAATTTATTAAACTTGAGTATGGAAAGTCACGATATTAATGTTCTGGAATTTTAAATACTTCAGGTTGAGAATGAACTACCCGAAAAGATTGAGAGACTTGTAAGATGTGAGGCTTCTGCTTATCAGAAGCTTCTAATGAAGAGGGTAGAAGACAATTTGGGTACAATTGGAAATTCTAAGGTATTTTAATTCTCACTTCCATTAGACAGGTGAATTCGAATCCGTATGTTATTATAATATCTGCATATTGGTTGCAGGCGCGGTCAGTGCACAACTCTGTTATGGAGCTTCGCAATATATGTAATCATCCATATCTCAGCCAGCTTCATGCAGAGGAGGTATGTTCTTTACCTGTTCATTTGAAGTTCTTATTTGCTCTCCTAAAGATATTGAAAGGGACAAGAAGCAGTTGTCGTTGTTACCTTATGCTCTCAAGGCTTTCCCTTGTTCTTCCTGAGTTCCCAATTAAGATAAACTTCTTTATCTTATTGCTTCTTGTAGGTTGATAACTTAATACCAAAGCATTATCTTCCCCCAGTCATAAGGCTTTGTGGGAAGCTTGAGATGCTAGATCGACTACTTCCCAAGCTAAAAGCCACAGATCATAGGGTATGGAAGGCTTTTTCCCGTTTCTAGTGACATGATTTTTTTTGTTTAACTATCATCTCATTCTTTAATATGTATTCATGTCTCTTTGGAATATTCTAGTATTTTGGTTTGATATCGGACTACAACTTAATGAAACTTGTCATTGTGCAGGTTCTTTTCTTTTCGACAATGACTAGGCTACTTGATGTTATGGAGGAATATCTTAACATTAAGCAATATCAGTACCTTAGGTTGGATGGACACACATCTGGGGGTGATCGTGGTGCCCTAATTGATACGTTCAACAAACCGGATTCTCCCTATTTTATATTTCTTCTTAGGTGATTCTTTATGTTTTGTGCAAATTATTATTTTTTGTATGCTTTTACCAGGTGGTTCAATAGTTAATGGAACCTTGGGTTCTAGGAGGTTTTAAGATAACCATCCCCCTCCCCCCATTTCCCGCTTTTATTGTTTTACCTGAGAAGTCATAAAGGGAGAGATTTAGGTTACACCTTACATGTGAAGGGGAAGCAAAAAAGGGCATGTTTGGTGGCGGCAAAAGCACTTTCAGATAAGGGTGTCTTTTATTTTGTTTGTCTGAAATGGGCATAGGTTTTTGGGGTTGAGAGGAGCCCTTTAGTACTTTCTCAGGAAGCACTGCTAGGTATATATGGAGGATCCTTTTTTTTTTTTTTTTTTTTAATGAAAGTTCGTATGTGCCTCTAACAGATGCACTTTATACAGAAGCACTCCCAAATAGACTCTAAAAATCCTGCATTAATTTTTTAATGTCACTGAGTTACGCTACTGCTATATTTTTGCCCGAGTCCACTTTTAGGGGTTTGCTAACAAGTAGAAAATAGCAAATGGAAACTTTAAAAGCTTTGATGTGCTGTTCACATGTCTTGATGTTTATCTGCATGTGCTGTTGTCTGTTATAATGGTACTGACATTCGTATGATTTTGATAGCATTCGGGCTGGTGGCGTTGGAGTAAATCTTCAAGCTGCAGATACAGTAATCATATTTGACACTGATTGGAATCCACAGGCAAATCGTTGTTCATTAATTTAAATTACGAGTTTTAAACATACAATTCCAAGTCTCAAGTTTTTAGTTTTTTGGTTGGTAAATCTTCAGGTTGATTTGCAAGCACAGGCAAGGGCTCACAGAATCGGCCAGAAGAGGGAAGTCCTTGTTCTTCGGTTTGAAACGGTAGACACTTTCCCCCTTGGTTATGTTTGAAGACAAAGTACATCTATAACTCTTCTGTTTATATCTTGAAATTAAATTGTTGCTACTTTAGAGTTTTATATCTAACAAATTGAATTTTTTCTTTTGCACAAGGTTCAAACCGTTGAAGAACAAGTCAGAGCTGCAGCTGAGCACAAGCTGGGAGTTGCGAATCAGAGCATTACTGCTGGTTTCTTTGACAACAATACAAGGTTAGTTGCCTATATACGTGCTCTGTTGAATACTTCTAAAGCTGTTTCTAAGTATTCCCGAAATTCTTTTACGACAGTGCTGAAGACCGAAGAGAATATTTGGAGTCCCTTTTGCGTGAGTGTAAGAAAGAAGAAGCTGCACCTGTATTAGATGATGATGCCTTAAATGATCTTTTAGCTCGCAGGTAGATAGTTTGATGATTTTGTTGTTTATCTTTCTGCCCCTTCTTTCATGCAACTGTTCATCTAAATAAGGTGGACGGGTTAGATCCATCATTCCTGTTCCAGCTAAAGCATGTCCATCATTTTGGAGAAAAAAATTCCGTGCATGGGTTTCTTGAAAAGATTGAGCCACTGTAGACTATGGTATCTAATTGTTTTCTTTTGACTTTGTTGGCATTTAATGTTTGTCATAAAGCAATCATGAGTGTTCCCCCCTATTTTTTATTTTTCCCCTCCTGGTAGTATTATCTACAAACTGAGAAGCGGTGGAAATTTCGCAATCAAAAGTCATTGTGGAATTTATTACTGATTAAATTGCAAAACCATTGTTCTCCTGTCTGATTTTGTTTGTCACTGGTTTAACTGTCATTATTACATTCATATGTTTGAAAAGCTACTCCCATTTCAAATGAGGCAAAATTAATTTACTTATTTGTTGTTTTTCTTCTACTTGATTTTTTGTTTGAAGTAGATATCAATGATTTTCCCTTTTCTTGTAGTGAGCCAGAAATTGATGTTTTTGAATCAGTTGACAGAAGAAGGCGAGAAGAAGAGATGGTATCCACTTAATCATTTGCTGTCAATGCTGTCTATCTCTTTGCTTTTACATTGTACAAGTATCCTTGTATATTATCGAAAGCTATCTGCTTCTCTTAAGTGGCAGCTTTATAAAAATTTTAATTTTGCAGGCAACATGGAGAAAGTTGGTATGTGTAAAAAGCATGGATAGTTCGGAGACTCTACCTCCCTTGCCTTCTCGCCTTGTTACAGATGATGACTTGAAGGAGTTCTGCGAAGCAATGAAGGTATATGAGGTTCCAAAAACTGGTGAAAGGTCTAATGATGGGTTAAAGCGGAAGGGTGGATCTCTCGGGGGCCTTGATACTCAACGTTATGGCCGGGGAAAACGGGCAAGAGAGGTTTGTTTGTCATTTAGCATAAATTTTTCCTCTATATCCTTGTTTTTCTTATACCACAAAACTTGATAGTTGAGTATGAACCCGTTTCTTTGAATGCTATTTAGGTGCGTTCATATGAAGAGCAATGGACAGAAGAGGAATTTGAAAAGTTATGTCAAGCCGAATCACTGGATTCCCCTACAAAACCAAAAGAAGAAGCTACTGAGACAAACATGCCAAAAGATGACAGTGGGTCTGTGGTGGCTGTTTGTGAAACAGAACTTCCTGCTCCACTCCCACCACACATATTGTCACCCTCAGTGGAGCTTTCCCAGATGCCGCAAAGTAAAGAGGTTACCCCACCAGTTAAACGAGGCCGTGGAAGGCCAAAAAGAGCAACATTAAATCAATCACCAGCTGCAATGGTTCTTACAGCACCTTCTGGAACTATTAAAGTGGATATTGGGTTGCAAAGAGGGATGACATCTAGCCCTGCCACAAACTCGGGCCCTGATTCAACACCTACTTCTGCTAATGCACAGAATATTGGTGGAATTGTACAACATACTAGTATTGTGGCCTCACCTAATTCTCAGGCAATTGCTCCTAAACCTTCTGTTACTCCTGATTCTCAGACGGCCGCTATTAGCCCTTCTCCATCAACACAGTCAAGAGGAAGAGGTCGGAAGGCTCAAAGTGGACCAGAAGTACCCAGGCGTAGGGGAAGGAAACAGGCGCCAATATCACCTGGTGTTGGTGGAGTATCTGGTCTTGATCCAAAACAAAATGAAGCATCACAGAACATATCTGTGAATCCACTAGAAAATCAAGCCCTTGGCATGAGTGGAACTGTTTCTAGTACTTCCGCAGTCCAACAACCTGAGTCTTTTTCTGGATCTGCTCCTTTACAAGGTCTGAATGGGGCTGATCATCAACTTGGTGATGTTGTAGCTTTGAGTTCTCAGCCAGCCCTTTCTTCTCCGTCTGTTGCTTCTTTGTCTCAGTCTTCTCCTTCCCCTTCTGTTCCCGAGCAAATGAAAGGGCAAGATCGGAAGGTTCAAGGTGGCGTAGGGGCACTGCGACGTAGGGGAAAGAAACAGGCGCCAATATCGCCTGCTGTTACTGATGTGTTAGGTGGTCAAGATTTGAAACCCAATCTGCAACCACAGGATAAACCTGGGGATTCATCTGGAAGCAAAGACATTGCCATGCAAAGTAAGCAAGAGGCTGATGGTTTAGCTGGTCAGGATCTGAACTTAACCGAAGAGTCAGTAAATTTGGCCCAATCCAAGCAGATAACAAGCTCAACAATGATGCATGATACATCTGTCAGATCCCTTGGTAAATACTTTCATTTATGCACACCTGAAATAAAAATTTCAACTGAAATCATGATTATATTTTCCTCACATGAATTAATTTAACATTTGACAGGTCCTGCTTTGGGAGAAAGTCAAAATGTTGTCGCATGCAATTCTGCTGTTACAGTGAATGAAGGTGCTGCAGCACCGGCTATTCCAACTCCCTTAACTGCACCTCCATGTACTCCTTTAATTGAATCCTTTCCCAATTCAACTGCCGTGGAAAACACCGGTGAGGCGAAATATGATGTTGCTAAGACTGCTCCTAGCTCTCAGTCAATGCCTTCCAATCCTTCTGCTCGTCTAGCTTCTCGATCTCTCACTCCTTGCTCTTCTGAAACAGTACAAGTCAAAAGACAAGGTCGAAAGACTTCAAACAGAGCCGAAGCACCTCGTCGTAGGGGAAGGAAGCAGGCTCCGGTGTTACCATCTGTTTCTGATGGTCCAGCCAGTCAGAATCCAAACTTAAGTTTACAATCACAGAATGCATCTGCTGATACATATGGGAGTAAGTCTGCTGCACTGAGAGGTAAGCAAGGTACTGATGGACAGGAGTTGACAAATGTTACTCAAGACCAGGCAAGTCAAGCACATTTAGTGGGTCATGATCCAAAGAGAAAAGAGCAGCCAGTCTTTTCAACCCACAATAAGCAGCCTGCAAATTCATCGTCAACGCCTGACGTTCCTCCAGGATTCCCTGATAAGAGTTCTGCTTTGGGCCGTATCCAGACTGCTGATGTAAGTGATGTTGCTCGTGTGATGAAGGAGGTCTTTTCTGGAACACGTTTGTCAAAACCTAAAATTCCCGAGTCATCTGTGAGAGAGGGTAAGGTTGTCCCTTGTGTACCTGTATCAAGCAAGGCTCCTGTGGAATTAGCCAAAAACCAATGTTTGGAGGATAAGGCATCTCCCACTGTGTCAACTTTGGAAACCGCAGCCCATCTACTTGACCTCCCAGCGAATTACGAAAAGCAATCTAGGACTGGTGTTAGTGCAGAAGGGGAGAGGGACAAACCACCTGCTTTGAATGAAACCCATGTTCCCATCACAAATATGGACCAAGACTCAACAGCTGTAGGTTCCACTAAAGAAATGGAAGACTCAAAACAACTCTGTGTTGATGGTTCAACTATGGTGAGTAAAACAGAGACTGTTGTTCAGACATTGTATCGAGATGTTGATGTGCCTGCTTCTAGTATTGGGTCCTCTGGGGGTGAGATGAATTCATCTTTGGTATTTGAAAGTAATATTGAGCATCCTCAGGTGATTGGGAGTGATTCCGGAAAGAAAATTGAATCTTTTTCAGGAGATTCTCATAAATCCTCGTCTGTTGAGCACCCTTCAATTTCCAAGGACACTGAGAATGCTAGTCTTCATCTTGTTGTTACACCTCCTGTTCCTGGGGTCCCAGTTGAGTCAAGTGAGGTAGGCCTTCCTGCTGTGGTTGATTCTGAAAACAAAATAGGGAGTTATGCTAAAGAGAATCCAACATCTCCTTGTATTACCAAGGATGCTGGCCATCATTCTGAAGACCCTTCACCTATTACTTCAAGTCCAGATCATTTAGTTGTTGCTCCTGGTATTACTGAAATGACTGACATAAATTCAGCAGACAAATCGGAGCATTCTTCAAAAGAGTCCCAAGAATCTTCCCCTCATGATAGAAAAACCATTCTATTCATGTCATCTGAAAATGTTTGTCCTGGAGAAAGTGCACCCTTGTCTGTGGGTTTAGAGGATGTAGTGCCTCCTGTTAGGGCTGAAGATGACCCTGGAAGAAAGAATAAGCCTGCTTCAGAAGGTTGCGCACAAAACTCTCCTCTGAGCCATGGTAATTCCACAATTATTCTGGCAATGCTAAATCTTGATTCTAGTGGGGGTTCTCTTGACAAAGTTGACATGCCTTTTACAGAATCTGAAGATGTTAATCGTTCTGGTGAAGGTGTTTGTTTAAATTCAGAAATTTCATCCAAGATTGATGATTCTGAAGCTTCTCATGAATCAAGTGGTGGCGATTTAGGGCGTAATACCACTTTGCATGTAATTCCTTCTGAAAAGGGCATCTTGGAACTTGGAACCGAAATGATTGGGGATGGTAGTATTGATGTTTGCGATATGGAAGTGGACCCTGCTGAGGGTGATCACATGGATATTTCTCATGCTGGTAGTTGTCCACCTGAAAAAGTATTGGACATGGTTTTACCCTCATCTTCATTGGTAGTGGTGGGAGAAATTCATGAATCATCTGATAGAGCTCAAGTTGGTAGCTATAAGGCACAGGAGAACCCAAAAGTTTCTAGTCCTGCCTTGGTTGTTTCTCAGGATGTTATATTTGTATCAGAAGATAAATCAAAAGTCTTGCCGTCATCTTCTGTAGGGGAAGCGGAAACAGTGGAGGGCTCATCTGTGAGACGCCAAAGTAGCAGCTCACAATCTCTAGTGGAACAGAATCACGCTGTCACTGAAATGGATGTTAAATCGCCACAACATATCTCTGAAAAAATTGATCTTTCTTCATCTTTAAACACAGGGGAAGAAAAGATTGAGGGTTCATCTGAGAAGAGGCCAAGTTGCAGCTCAGTACTACCGGAAGACACAAAAGGTTCTGAAGCTTTAACAGTTGTTCAGATGGATTTCTCTCAGGTTCATGGAACTGTGCAAGAGAATATTGTATCAGAAGTTTCTAGAGCCAAAAGAGATGCTCTAAATGATTCATCTCAGATTGATGGGAATCTACCGGAAATGAGTGTGACTGGAAACTTAGATTCTCCTCTATCTTTAGTGACAGAGGAAGGAAATACTGGTATATCTGGAAAGTTTCCAGTCGGCGGTCCAGTACCAGTGGAAGAAGAAAAGATTGATGGAACATCTGTGAAACTTTTCGGTGGGAGTTCAGACTTATTAGGAGAACCGAAAGGATCTGATACTGAAATGGATGTTTCTCTGGTTAGTGAGCTCCAGCCCGAAAATTTATCAGAAAGTGATATTCTGTCTTCATCTTCTGTTGTAGTTAAGGAAGGAAAGGTTGAGTGCTTATCTGAGAGCGGTCCAGCCAGATCAATAGTGCTGGGGGATGCATCTGAAGCTTTAGTTTCTGATAAAATGGTTGTCTCTGAGGTTGACACATTTGTGCCCGAAAGGATGCTAGAAGATATGCCTTCATCTTCCTTGACAAAAGAGCATGGAGGAACTGAGGGCTCTACCGAGAAGGGTCAAGATGGCAGCAACTCAGTACAACTTGAGGAATCAACTGGAAAGGAAGATGAAATGGATCATCCAAGGGAAACACCCAGATATTCTGGGGATTTGCTTGTAAAAGAAAGTGTTGATTCAGAAGAGGAGGTTCAACGGTTATCCAAGAAGGAAGGTGTAAGGAGCTCAGCGCAGCTGTTGGAATCAATGGTTTCTGAACCTGAAACGGGTGATCATTCCGATGCATCCAAGGTTCGTAGCACTCATTCGGAACTAAGATGAACAATTTTTATCAATTTTATTTTTTCAAATAAATAGGTCTGTACCTTAATGTTGGAACCTACAAGGGTGAACCTCCTCCCTGTTGCCCAGCGCAAACCTCTCTTATCTCAGAACTTCCTACTAAACAGAATTATAAACTGTAATATCTCGAAGTATATAACAATTACTTATGAAATTCAAATGCACATGAATGTCCACAGACAATCACAAAGCTGGTTTATTGCTATTAATTTCATTACTAATGTATAATGTTATGTGTATGACTCAGGTTGGCATGGTACCACTAGAAGATACAATGGCGGAGGATGTTGACCTGCCTGCATCCTCGATAGAGACTGAAGGAAAGGGTATAGATCGTCCATCTGAGGTTCTAGACGGCAGCTCAGTGATGGAGGGTCCAAAAACACCTGTAGCTGACAAGGATACTCAGGTGAATGCTCCTGATACTTGTGAGAGGGAGCCAGAAGTTGTGTCTGAATCTGTGGACATGCCTCCGGTTACCTCGACCGTGGTGGATGATGGTGTCAAAGGTTCATCAGAAGCAGTTCCCATAGGCAGCTCCAAAGCACCAGAGATGTTGGAATCTGAAGCTAAAATATTTGATAGTGTTGAATGCTTATCTGAGGCAAGGCCCGTAGGCAGCTCTGAATCACCAGAGTCAAAATCTGAAGCTAAAGTTGCTGATACTTCTCAGGTTTCTGAGACAATGCCAGAACTTGCATCTGAAAATGCGGATCAGCCTCCAGTTAACATGGCCGTGGAGGGTGACAATATTGAAGGCTTATCGGAGGCAGGGCCAGTGGGCATCTCGGAACCACCAGAGGAATCAAAATCCGAAGCTAAAGTTGCTGATGCTTCTCGGGTTTCGGAGACAATGCCAGAAGTTGCATCTGAAAACGTGGATCAGCCTCCAGTTAACATGGCCGTGGAGGGTGACAGTATTGAAGGCTTATCGGAGGCAGGGCCAGTGGGCATCTCGGAACCACCAGAGGAGTCAAAATCTGAAGCTAAAGTTGGCGATGCTTCTCCCGTTTGTGGGACAATGCCAGAAAATGCATCCGAAGACATGGATATTCAGCCATCGATAGCGGCAGAGGAGGGTGAAAATGTGGAGCTACCAGCTGAGGGACCTGTTGGCGGTAACTCAATGGAACAGCCTTGAAGTTAACTAACTGCCTGACTAGAGAGTTTTAGTACAGCTTGTTGGAGCATAAAAACACCTAAACTAACCATTCAGTAAATTATAGTTTGCTGCCCCTTCTAAAAGGGAATTAGGTTCCTAATTAATATTTATGTAGATAAAGTATTCATATGACTTATTTTGTGGAAAACCCTCTTTCTGGGTTTGCTGCTTTATCATTGGGTTTCGAACGCGCGCTCTGCTTCTTGGTCATTATTATTCTGTCTGGTAATGTTTTACAAACCGATTTTTGAAGAATTGTATTACAAAAATCTCATTCTACACTCCTCACAAGTGTATTTTTCTTTCATAATATAGAAAGTTTGGAGTGTAGAACGAGATTTTTGGAGTAACAATTCTCAATGTATATAATCTTATTAATTTGTGTAAATATATTATTGGCTGCTTTCATTTTAAATTTCAATTGCCTCATGCATGTGAGGAGGATGAGGGTCGAGTTGTGATGGAGTTATTTGCTGATAAAAAAAACCCGAAAATGCTTAAAATTTATGTGGTCTTTGTACTAAAGACTTTAAGGGCTCCATATTTCATCGCATTATTCCTAATTTTATGTATCAAGGTGGAGATTTTTCACGAGGCAATGGGACTGGAGGAGAGTCGATTTATGGGAAGCATACCGACCTTGGAATATTGTCCATAGCAAATTCTAGACCTAATACTAATGGTTCGCAGTTCTTATTTGCACTGCAATGACCCCGTGGCTTGACGGAAAGCACGTTGTGTTCGGAAAAATTGTTGATGGATACAGTGTTGTTGAGAAAATGGAGGTGAGTTCGGAGAGTGGGATTACTTCTGAGCTGTGATCGAAGATTGCGGCCAGATAAAAATGAGTGTTGATGTTTGAATAGTTGGGTGAAGTTTCAAGTAACGTGTAGTAGTTTCAGATAAAACATGGGCGGACAATAGAAGAAAATTAAGTAATTGGTGTAGAAAGTTAAGAAATTGAAGAGATACAGAAATAATTTGATGAGTATCGAAGAAAATTAGAAGAAGAAAATGCGTTTGGAAGGTGAGAATGTGCCAAGAAAATTCAACAAGAGGAGAGAGAAGAATGTAGTACTATTAAGTTTCATAAACACTGTAGTAAGTTTCATAAACAATGTGATAAGTTTCATAAGTAGTGTCGTAAGTTTTCATAAACAGTGTAGTAAGTTTCATAAACAGATTGTGTGAGGATGCATGGGTCCGTGCATAAGTTTTTTTTTTAATATTAAAATTAGGGTAAATTACACTTTCATACCTCATGTTTGGGGTCTATTTCAATTCCTTACAACATCTTCAAAACATTTCACTTTCATACCTTAAGTACTATTTTATTTCAAAATAATACCTCCGTTACATTTTCCATCCATTGATCCGTTAAATGCTGACGTGCCTGCCGCATATATGCCACGTGGCAAATAAAATAATTTTTAAAAAATTTTCTCAAAAAAAAAAAAAAAATTGAAACCCATTTTTGCAAGAAGAAGAAGAAGAAGAAGAAGAAGAAGAAGAGAAAGAAGAAGAGGGAGGAAGAAAGGAAAAAAAAAATTGGGGGAACCCTCCCCCCACCCACCTCGACCCATCTCCCTTCCTCCCTCTTCCTCTTCTTCTTCTTCTTCTTCTTGTTTCAAATTCCTAGAACCCACCCCCCCCCGGTGACCCTCCTCCCGTCCCCCCACCCACCCCGACCCATCTCCCTTCATCCCTCTTCTTTTTGCGATGTGGGTTTCTCTTTTCTTTTTCTTTTTTTTTTTTGAAAAAATTCAAGTTTTTTTTTTTAAATTAAAAAATTATTTTTATTTGCCACGTGGCAAACATTTGGCAGCCACATGACATATATGTGGCAGCCACGTCAGCATTTAACGGATCAATGGATGGAAAATGTAACGGAGGTATTAGTTTGAAATAAAATAGTAAAGTGAAATGTTTTGAAGATGTTGTAAGGAATTGAAATAGACCCCAAACCTGAGGTATGAAAGTGTAATTTACCCTTAAAATTATGTATTTTTCATTAAAATTTAAGTATTTTTAATTAAATAAAATTATAGTATGGTTTTTTATTAAAATAAACTTAGCCCAAGCCATTTTCATAAAAGTTCTCATTTAAATAAGCAACTTAATAAAATGAATCGGATTAGGGATGGCAATGGAATGGATCGGGTTCAGATGTACCATCCTCATATTCAAATCTGTTTATTTTATTTCTTTGAATGTAGAATTCCCGAAAAGTTTTCTTCATAACCAAGCTTGTCGAATAACAGATTTTCCATTGAATAATAATTTTCTCCATTATAATATTTATATTTATTTACATTATTAATTAAATAGTGAATTTTAAATTAAAAAAAAAGACTAATAGGCTACTGATATAAAGCATGCAATGCATATAATGAATAATATATACATATACATATATATATATATATATATAAATTTTTTTTTTAGGGGGGTTGGGTTAAGCCTCACAATGAGTTAGCAATAATGTGGCATTTGGCGAGAATCAAACATAAAGCCTCTCGTTTACAAGTAAAATATAATACTATTAGATCATAATACTAAATAATAATATTATTAAATATTACATAATGTATTATTAATACAACCGATACTATGCATATAATAAATAATATTAAAAAAGAAATTACTAATATTTAAACAACACATCACTAATACAACTGATACAGTGCATATTAAATATTTGTGCCAATGATAATGCATATAATTACTAGAACGGACTTCCATATTTAATGCATTGATGACTTGTTTCTCCATATAATAAATTTTTTATTAAAAATGAAAACGGTTTGGATTCTGGGATGCCCTAAATAACCATAGCCAAATTCGAAATTGAGAAATTTACCTGACGGCTACCCATAACTGTAAAATATTCATATTTAATCTCCAAAATCAAATTGTTTGGACCGGTTACCTGTAGAGATCAAGTTTGACGGGTTAAATTATCATCCCTGATCCAGATCTACAGTGTTGATTGTGGCTCATGAAGATATTTCGAGGAATATAATTGAACTCTTCAATGTTGCTTTTTTTATTTTATCAAACGATAGATTTGTTAGATTAGATGTTAAACTAGGGAACCGACGAGGTTTGAACCCACGTCAGGTGCAAGAACCACACACAACCATTATTTCAAACTCATTATCAAAACGCATCTATAAATGATATGTATGAATGCACAACAACCATTATTTCAAACTCATTATCCCAAAACCAATATACCATCTCCCTTTTGCTAGCACTCTTGCATAATTCCTTATTGCCAGTCCCAAATATTACCCTGATTTAATAGGCACTTTGGGGCTGAAATGAGACCTAATACCTGCCAAGAATTAGACTCAACTACACAACAGTCTTCCTCATTACCCATTTTCCTTTCTCCTTCACAAGATTCTCAACTCAAGATAATCAGTTCAGTGTTTGACAAATGAATGAAAAACATGTGTATCAATCCATCCAAGTGGTCTTATACGCAATGCGTTTGTGAATCCAAGTGGTCTTTTATATAATAGCTAGTAGTAGATAAAGAGTTGGAACACCAACTAAAAAATCAGTTCCTTCAATTTGTCTCAACAAAGACCTACCTCATATATCAAAGGGATGAGGTTGATCGTTAACTCAAAGATAAACATCTATTTAACTTGATCCTTACTCCAACCAAATGGGATCATTCAATTACCAATTTTGCAGCATGACAATGGTAATCAATTTTAACATGCGAGATGTTTGATATGATAATCGGTATGCTATTTTTGGTTCCGTAACCGTACCAAACACAATCTTACTATTATACATCTTTAGTTAGTAGTTTACAAGGAACTTGTAGCTTATACAGTTAAATGCATTCAGGCTCACTTTGATCCAAATCTGCGAGTTTTGGTTAAGGCTTTAAAATCGAAATCGTACTTGACCTGAAATAATTTATAAGTCCAAAACGATCCAACCCAAGCCGGGCCAGAGCCCAACTTCAAGAGGTGGGCCAGGCCCGAGCATTGATATTCCCTATGCCCTAATTGATGAGTGTCCTTTTTAGTAATTTCGAAAGAGGCTAGAATTGTAATTCCATGGTGGGTCATTGAAGTTCAATCCCAACGTTTCCCTTTCTTGGAGCGAAATGCAGTTCTTCACGAACACCACAATGGGAAGACCAAGGGGCAAATCGAAAATCTAATGAATAGAAATCCCCCTCAATTTGAAATAAATTACAACTCTGATTACCAATAAACCCAAGAGACTGAACGAGTGCCATTAGAGAAATAAGCCGAAGTATTAGAGGTCTTCTTCTTCCCCACTTCTGAAAGCCCCAGCTCCCTCCGGACTCCTGTCTCCCAAATCCAGCCCTGTGATTTCTCAGCCAAAACAAACGAGTAAGCGCTTCATTTTCAAAACCCCCTTTTTTTTTCGAATTCGTTTTACCATTTAATCACTTTCTGGGGTTTTCCCAAAGTTGTTCAAGCTTCCATCTTTAGCTTGAAGAGCGATGTTTGACTTCTGTTTGTTCGCTGTATTATAGTACGCATACTTTTTGGGGTTTATTTTTACGATTCAAATATGCCAACAAATTACAGTAATTTTTCAAATTTTTCATACTTTTTTTTATTAGTTTTTGGGTGAAATTAGGGTTATGCCTCCCCATTTTACCAAATTTTACAAGGGTTTTGGTTATTGGACTGTGATGTTATGGGTTTTTTTGGGGTTTGATTGCATGTGGATTAAGGCTTCTATGTTGGACCGGTTGGTATAATGTGTTTGGTTTATAAAGTGAATTGTGCTCTGGGACCAAATGAAAATAAGTTTCTTTTTTTTTTTAAATTTGCAAATGAATTCATTTGTGAATGGAATATAGTGTTTAGGACAGAATTCAATGTTTATTATTGTCTAATTTAAACTTACAAGTCGTAATTGCTGCAGGTCAGTTTGGTAGTTTAGTATAAGACCAATCCCTTCCAGTTGGACCAAGTTTTCTCCATTGTGCCGGCTGTAGACAATCGCCCGCTGTACAGATTTGTATTTGTTCGGGTTGAGGTAATACACAATTGTCTCAGTTTGAAAGGATTTTTGAAAATTCTTACAAATCATGAATTTGAGAATGAACTCTACACAGTTTTAGCTTTCGAAATATGGGGGAAAATGTTTGGAATTGAAATTCTATAAACTCAAGGATTTCATTTGCGTTCCAAAGGTACCGTTGGGGAGGGGACTGTGTGAGATAAGTTGCTATGTCTAGCTCTGGGAAATGGGATATTTTATTGTGTACTTCTTGTTCTTATTTCTTCCTTTGGTTTTAATTCGTATTGTGTTATTATTTTATGGTTTTCCTGAGAAAGCAATTCATTGTATTGTGGTTTTCTATATTTATTTTTTTATTTTTAACTTTGGTTTCCTGTTTTTCATTAATTATTTTGAATGTGGTTCTGGGCGGTTTATGGAGTTAGTTGAGTTGTTTTCTGATATGTGATGATAATATTTGCGCTGGTTATTTGCTTATTACTCAAGTTTTGTTTTGTTTTTCACATCTCATCTTTTTAAGTTCCACCACATAAGTGCTTAGTGATTTACTATTATACTGAAAAATGCATTTTCCATTACCTTCCTTTAGTTTGAATATCAACTTAATAAGTAACACTGGAGGTAAAATGTTGCACACTTGTAGTCGCTTACACCTTGTTTGTTTTTCTCTATGTTGATTAAAGGCTTTTAATTGGTCCTAACTCTTAAGTTGATACAGAATTGGCAGGGTTCAAGTGGATGTGACTTGTGATATTGAAAAGTTCGGAATTCAAACTTGTCTTTATTTCATCAAAGAAGCATGCTTTTGGGATTATAATGTTTCCTGTTGCTTTATGCACTATTAAATCAGCTTAAGTCAACTCAGGTTCTCCAGATTAGTGATGGATTGCAATAAGGAAGAGGCCATTAGGGCCAAGGTGATTGCTGAGAAGAAGATGCAGAGCAAGGATTTCGTGGGGGCTCGTAAGATTGCTATAAAAGCGCAACAACTCTATCCTGATCTGGAGAATGTGTCTCAGATGCTTATGGTTTGTGATGTGCATTGCTCTGCTGAGAAATTGTTTGGGACTGAGATGGACTGGTATGGTATCCTTCAGATTGATCAAACAGCGGATGAGATAACAATTAAGAAGCAGTACAGGAAGTTTGCTCTCCAACTTCATCCTGATAAAAACAAGTTTTCTGGTGCAGAAGCTGCTTTTAAGCTGATTGGTGAAGCTCAAAGAGTGCTTTTGGACCATGACAAACGGAGCATGCATGACCTGAAACGCAAGACTTCTGTGAGTAAAACAGGTGTGCCACATCGACCCCCACATAGGGCGAGTTGGAACTCAAATCCTGGAGTTCAAAACTACTCCAGAGGCAACTTTTCAGGTGTTAATCTCCAGAGCCAGCAGCAGCAACAGCCTTTTCCACCGGGGTATTCAGATGCCCGATCGACTTTTTGGACTGCCTGCCCATTTTGTTCAGTTAAGTACCAGTATTATAGAGAAGTTCTTCTTAGATCTCTTCGTTGTCAAGGCTGTGGTAAGCCCTTCGTTGCATATGACACAAATGTGCCAGGTGGCGCACCACCACCACCACCACCACCAACTAACTTAAGTCAGCAGGCATTTCCCCCCAAAAAAGTCAATGTTAACATGTCTGAAGTGAGACTTCAGAGGAATGTTGGAGCTGAAAACTCCAAAGCTAAACCTTTCCAAAAGACAGACCAAAAGTCAAGTAGCTCTTCAGGTGTTCGCTCAGAAAAGGTAAAGCGTAAGAGAGAAAGGAAACGTGTAGTAGAATCCAGTGAAAGCAGTGACTCTGAAGGCAACAGTGATTCTGAAGAAGATATGGTCATTGATGATGCAAGCAGCAGTGATTCTGAAGAAGATATGGTCATTGATGATGCTGTTCTTCAGGCTGGACTGAAATCTGGAATTTATGGAGACCAGCAACCACGGAGATCTTCACGGCATAAGCAGCACATTTCTTATAAGGAAAATCTGAGCGATGGTGAAGACACTCCTCTATCAAAAAGGGAGAAGAGGAATGTCTCATCCTGTGCCACTGAAGAGGAAAATGAAGACGCATCTAAAGTGGAGGAATCTATAATGAATAATAAATCTGATCGTGCCGCTGACACTAAAGTAGATGAAAAGGTGAAACAGAAAGAAGAGTGTTTGACAAATAGAGTTGGGGAAAAGAAGTCTGGGGCTAAAGAAAGGGTGAAAGTATTTGACTCTAAGAAAATTTCTGAGGCACTTGAGAATTCTGCATCACATAAAAGCTCCAATGAAAAACAAGAACCAGACCCCTTGTATTCTTTTCCTGATAATGATTTCAACGACTTTGAGAGGTACCGGAAAGAAGAACTCTTTGAAGCTGGGCAGGTGTGGGCTATTTATGATACTCGAAATGGGATGCCAAGATTCTATGCTAGAATCAAGAAAATTCACTCACCTGAGTTCAAGTTGCAGATAACCTGGCTAGAGCCTGACCCCGATGATGATAATGAAATGAAATGGGCCAAAGCTGACTTGCCGTTTTCTTGTGGTAAATTCAGACAAGGTGACTCTGAAATCACAAAAGATCTTCCCATGTTCTCTCATTTGATGACTTGGGGGAAGATTAGAAGTTCTTACATGATATATCCAAGAAAGGGAGAGACTTGGGCCATTTTCAAGAACTGGGACATAAACTTGTACACTGATCCAGAATCTAATCAGAAGCTGAACTTTGAATACGAATTTGTTGATATTTTATCAGACTATTCTGAGGATGTTGGAATATCTGTTGCACTCTTGGACAAGGTGAAAGGTTTTGTGAGTGTTTTGTGTCGAAGGGTTAAGGATGGGAAAGGCACATTTCAAGTTCCACCAGGAGAATTATTGAGGTTTTCCCACAGAGTTCCATCTTATACATTGACTGGTGACGAAGGAGTAGGAATTCCATCAGGATCTGTTGAGCTTGATCCTGCCTCTTTGCCTTTTAATATTGAAGAAGTTCCTATTTCTAGAGATCGGAAAACGGAGGCTAGTACTCATAGTAATGGTTTTTCTAAATCTCCAGATACAAGGAATGAAGACAGTAATGTTCCCGAAGGGTCATCCCCAGAAGGCATCGCTATTCCAGAAGCTGAGTTCTACAACTTTGATGCTGATAAATCTCTGGAAAAGTTTGAGATTGGTCAGATCTGGGCATTGTATAGTGATGAGGATGGCTTGCCAAAATACTATGGCCAGATAAAGAACCTTGATTGTCACCGGTCCAAATTGCATATTGCATGGCTTGCTTCCAACTTACTACCAGACAGGGTGATTCGATGGCATGATGAGGAGATGCCCGTTTGCTGCGGGAGATTTAGGGTTAGAAGGAGTACGCTCCAGGACTATGATTCTACTCTGTCCTTTTCACACCGGGTAACTGCAATTTCTATTGGTAAGAATGATTTTGAAATATATCCTCAGAGAGGTGAGGTTTGGGCGTTGTATAAGAACTGGACAGCTGATCTCTCGTGTTCTGACTTGGATACCTGCGAGTATGACATAGTGGCAGTGTGGACAGAAAATGATATGCAAAGAGAGGTCTTGATTTTAGAGCGTGTGGATGGTTTCAAGTCAGTTTTCAAGACTCGGTTGAAAGGAGGATCAGCTGAAACCATGACCATCCGTGGGGTAGAGCTACTAAGGTTTTCTCACATGATTCCTTCTTTCAAGCTAACAAACCAAAAAGGTGGCAGCCTCAGGGAGTGCTGGGAACTTGATCCTGCTGCATTGCCGCTTCGGTTCTTTAGTCAGACTTGAGTTGGCAATCAGACTAGCCTTTTGCTTCATAGGGCCTCTTCCCAGGATACCGGTGTGGGAAATGGAACCGTGTGGGAGAAGATTCTGATGTATTCTAGCGTGACCGAGCCTGCCCAGTTCTGATTAACGAACCAACCAGCCGTCTTTTGATTGGTATTACGAGGCAGGCAAATTTTGCAGGCTACTTTGGTCTTTGGTGAGGAAGGAGGAGGTGTCTCTGCCGGTTTTTTGTATTGTGTATTCTGAATATCTTGTTTATAGATCCTTTAGTTTTCATTGAAACTTGGGCTACCAATGCTGGAATGTTGGCCAAACAGTTAAAAAAAGAAAAACTGAAATTTTTTCCTGTATCTGGAACCTAGTATTTGAAGTTTCTGATGAACAACCACATCTTCCTATATATACGCTTCTGTTAGCTTTTTACTTTGATGTCAAAATATTAAGCTTTGTTTTGTAGTTGTTCATCCAACAGGTTGGCTTCCTAGTTCAAGTGAGTGCTTTGGTCCGACCATGTCCGACAGCTGCCGGGAAGTTAAAAGGCAATTGTACAGCATATGTTTGTTGTACTTGGGATTATAGACCTACAGTAGTAGGTGCTGCATCCAATCACATCCCATATACTTTTGTATGTTACTCCCTTATTATTGAGGAGAAGAAACACTTGCATTCTTGTTTAGGATACGGTCATATCAGCTTCCCGGTTGTACACTCGTTGCATGTAAGTTTATCTCTTCATTAACTCATTACCCTACTAATAAACAGAGAGAAGAAGAAACAAAAATAAAAAGGGGCCGTTCCGAGAATCGAACTCGGGACCTCTTGCACCCAAAGCAAGAATCATACCACTAGACCAAACGGCCGGTCATGTTATTATATCATTATTTATATTATTAGACCAGAGATTATCAAGTAAGTACATCAACAAGCTCTATAATAGGCTGATGATTTTCAGCCGTTCGATCTTTATTTTATCGTTTCCTGTGACTGGTGAAGTGAAGGTTGTTTGCCAACAGGATTCTCCGGATCCTTTTGGTAAGAATTTTGGGGATCTGTAAATTATGTCTGTTCATTGTATATTGTGTGGTCAGTTTTTATCAGATACTATTTGTATTTGATTTTAAATAAAAGTATTTAAAATAATTTTTAACAACATAATTTACTATGTACATATATGATTTCCGAATTTTCAAAATCCTCACAAAAGAAATGCGGGAAGGATCCGGATTCGGTTTTTTGTAGTACTTTTGTTTTCACAGTTTTACTGTACAGGTGTCCGACAAGTAAAAACAAAAGAGAGAGTGAAGAAGAAGTTACCAACTTCGGTTCCGGTTAAATCAGACAGTCACAAAGTGTTGTCCTACATTCCTTAATTTTCCCTCCAAAATTTCATTACTCCCCCCACTATTTTCCCTCCACCTTCAAAAACCCTAACCCTAACCTCTCTCTCGCTCCTCTCTTTCCCAATTGGTCGTCTTTCTTTTCTCACTTCCGCATTTCCCACTCCGCCTTCGATCCTCTCCATCAATTTTTCTTCTTTTTTATCGTATTTTTGCCTTCTGAAATTTCAATGCTTTTTTTTTTCTGGGGTTCCCGTGGATTCTGATCTAGTTTCCGATATGAGTTGAAATGGGTTCTCTCTGGAATGGCGACGATGAAATCATGCCGATGGAGACAAACTCAGTCGCCGATTGCGCAGACACCGAGCCCATTGACACTCAGATTTCAAGCCCTCCATCGTCCGGTAATTTTTTTTGTTTGTTAAAGTTTTGTTTTTTATGGTGGTTTTAATGTGAATTTATATACAAGGAGTTAAATTTGTTGAATTCATGCTCGCATGGTAAAACTTTCGATTCAAAGATTTCTGTTGTGTTTTTTCTCTCTGAATTTTTTCATGGAAAAGTGTGATTTTGTTACATGTTTGAGCTGAAGTGTGACTTGAAATTGTGCATGCCATTGTGAGCATTTTGATGTGGCTCTGCTTTAGTATGTCTTTCGCGCATGTCAGGATGTGAATGCTGTTGTCTTTTCGTTTAGGATTATAATTGTGCTTGAGATTTCTTTTCTTCTTTTTTGTTTTATTGAAAATTAGATGAAAAGGGCAAATCGAGGGATGCGGATGAGTTAGTGCGAGACACCGTGCCTTGTAATGACACTGTTCCAGTTGAAGATGCATTTGAAACCCAAATGGTAGATTTTGGTGGTGAAACCCAATTAATAGATTTCGGTGGCGAAACCCAATTAATGGATTTTGGTTGGGAAACCCAAGTAATGGATTTTGGTGGCGAAACCCAAGTAATGGATTTTGGTGGGGATACACAGGTGATGGATTTCGGTAGTGATACACAAGCAATGGGTTTTGGTGGTGAAACACAAGTATTGGATGATATCAACTGCTATGCGAACATGGAGGAGACCCAGTTATTAGAGTTTGATGATGTAGTTGTCAGTGACACTGACAGCGAGGAGTCGGATACAACTGAAGTTTTCGATGATAGTAAGGATCTAAGTGATGATGAATCAGTACAGAGAGGTTCTGGTCAATTAGTGAATGAGGAGAATATTCGCCGCACTCCTTGTGAAAATAGTGTAAATGGGTTAATGGAGCAAGCCAATTATTCAGTCGACGATCAACACAATGCAGGTTTGACCTCTTTAATCTAGGCAAGAATACTAATCCTTTCATAACTACTATATTTTAAAAACTGTCATTCACGGTCTAAATCTTAACTATGCATGATTAAATAATTGACGCCTCATTCTTTTTCTTTATCTGGTATTTCATGAATTACATAATGGTCTCATGGATTGCAAATTAGTACACTTTCCTTATTATTGATTCTTCTATTGAATGAAATCTTAATTCCTTGGTTTTCGAATGTTTCTTCTATTTCTTCATTTTTAGGAATTCGTGAATTCAAATGAAGCTCTCTTTTTCATATAAATTCTGCATGCACTCATTATGTGCTAATCTTAAAAGTAAGTTGGGGTTTTATCTTTTAGGGCTCCATGTTTCTGCTGCAACACCTGTGGTTGAAGGCTCCCCGGAACTGAGACCAGGTATGATCTATCCCACTTTTTCATGGTTAGACTGCATTTTTGTTAATCAGAAATTGGGTAAAGTTTTATGCATGCAAGATCATGGTTGTGTATTAAGTAACTCCTTCATTGCTTTGTTTGGGATGAACTCGCAAAGACTCGACCCTCATGGAGTTGCATCTTTTATAAGACTCAAGTTGTATGGAAGGCGTATCATATATATTTTGCTAGACTGGTTTTGGTTTATGGCAATGTCATTTTGTTTGAGCATACTATTGTTTTTTTATTTCAAGGCCGGATGTCTGGGTCTATTGTCTATTGATATGTTTAATTGATTTTCTACTAAAATAAAATAAATTATAAAGGAAACATCATCTGAATTATTGTCTAGCTACTTACATTGGAATTTCTGGTGGATTGTCTTTTTGGTCCTAATTGTAGGAGTATTGGGAAAGTCAGAATTCATGACTGCTCAATCTAATAATATAATGCACTCCTGATACGATCTAATATGTCAATCTGCCATTTTAATCAGGTTCTGTGCTTAAGCATTTTACCTCGGTTTGTGCAGCATCCTTACAGGCCTCTGATCTAGCAGCTTGCAGTACGGTTTTGAAGGGCACCAACAGTAAGTCTTGTTCTGTTTGAAGTAATAATCAGTCTTTGGATCAACTTTCCGGTAAAGATAACGCAGTATCTCTTCTAGGGGGTTCAGCCATAAATGGAGAAGAAGTCAGGCAGGAACATGATTCAAGGAATGAGAAAAAATGCGGGACTGGTGGTTCAACAGCGAGAAAACTTTTTCCTGAGGATTCAGATGCTGAAAACACGGAAATTTCTCATCACAGCGGTAGTGGTGAAGAAGGGGAAGATTTGCTTCAGTTTCCTTGTAATTTGGCAGGGTTAAGCTATGTTGACTCTCAAGAACCAGGTGAATTATCACAAGCTAATGCACTTGATTTTGTGGATAAGTTCCTCCAAAATAATCTTGACGAGTCTAATAAAGAAGTTGGCCATGGAAAGAGTGCTAGGGACACTTCAAAATTTGTCTCAAGTGCAAAAGGGCCACAAATATTGGCCAAGAAAGCCAATGACAAAAGCATAGATAAAGGGATTTTTGATTGGGATGATAACCGTGAGGATGAAGAAGGAGGTGAATTTTTCCGCCGAAGAAAAGCAGACTTCTTTGATGGTGGAAGCCATGGGTGGAGATCTCTACCCCAACCCCAGAAGTCTAAAGGGAAAAGACAGGAGGAGAAGAAGGACCTCAAAACACAATTACAAGGAAAGAACAAGATAATAGGTGTAGTTCATTCTGATTCAAAACTATTGTTACATAAATCAAAAGTCGACAAGAAGACAGCACATGAAGATGAAATGAAGCATATAAAGAATCTTGTCAGTGAGTTTGACGAACAGTTCAACAATGACTCCCCAGGAGAGCAGTTGGATACTAATGTTAATAAGAACGATGCACCTGAAATGATGAATGTAGGCTTTGATACTCAAATGGCAGCTGAAGCTATAGAAGCCTTGTGTTATGGTGTAGGGATTTCCAATTGTGATGCTAGTGATGAAAATCAAGGTGCTGGAAAGAGTCCTCCTGAAGGTTTGATGGGAGAAAAATCAAAGAATAGAATTTGTTCAATGAAACCTTCTTCTCGAAAAAGAGGGCGTTTTACTGATGCAGGGGTTGCTTCTCGAGAAACTCGACAAGCCAAGAAAACAAGGGTTGGTGCCAGATTAAGCAAACACTATTCAATTTCACCTCTGGAATTTTCTAAGAATGCTAGAAAACAGTGTGAAACAGAGGTGGTGATAACAAAATCAAAGAAGGGGAAGTCCATTGGTAAAAATCATCTTAACATCGATGGGAACAAAAACATGGAGAAAATACCTCCTGTTGCTATTGACCTAAGAACAGAAGGATCTATGAAAAAGAATTTACAACTGGATGTTGGTACTTTTACACCCATTGCACGTCGAACAAGACGGTCTATGGTGGTAAATCAGTTAAAGAAAGCTGACAAAGCATCCAGTGATTGTGGAGAAGAGTCGAGCGCTCAAACAGAGTATATTGCAAAGTTTTCAAAGTCGGGTCCCAGTCGATCCGGAGAAGTTGGAAATAATAAACCAAGCCAACACGATGGTTCAGATCTCAAATTTGAAGCTATTTGCGATGGCATCAAATTGGATGCTTTAAGCTTCTCCAAAGGGAAAAGATCTAGGAGAAAGTTATCTGGTCAGGTTTGTGGGCCTGATAACTTAAGTGTTCCGTCTACCCCATTTGTTCAGCCAGACAAAGTTGGACAGCGTGTCACTAGGCACACAAGATCGCAGGGTGCTGCTCAAAGAATTTGTGTTGATGTAAAATCAACAAGAAGAACCCGATCATGTACACGTGGAGACCAGAATTTGGCTAGAAAGTATGCACATCAAAGTTTAAAAAGTGATCCTGGGAAAGTTCCTCTTCACAAGGATGGGAGAATGATATCAGAGATTATAACTGGTGAAGAGGCAGTTGGAATTCCTGACAGGAGAAGTGATGCAAATCCATCTTCTGCTACTAAAATGAGGGATGAATCCCCATTAGGGAAATGCAAACCATCGGATTCAGGTTGTGCTACTCCAGTTAACAGTAAGGTGCCTGCCATTGACAATGATGCATCTCCAGTTTGTATGGGTAGTGAATATTTCAAACAGACATGCAAGAAGACCCCTTCAAGGCCAGGTCTTTTGAAAGAAATCCGTGACTTAAGTGCAAATGGGAATACACCAACTTCAGCATCAAAGGATTTAAGGAAGAGAGATAGGACTGATGTTCGAGTATTGTATAGCCACCACTTGGATGACGATGTAATTAAGCATCAGAAAAAGGTATTTTGTGAGTGAGTATAGTCTTTTTTAAAATATGTAAGTTCTAAACTAATCTTATCTGCAAATCTGTTTTTTGCAGATTTTGGGCCGACTAGGAGTTTCTGTAGCATCCTCTATGACAGATGCCACGCACTTCATAGCAGATCAATTCGTGCGTACAAGGAATATGTTAGAAGCTATTGCTGCTGGAAAACCAGTGGTAACGCATTTATGGCTTGATAGCTGTGGACAAGCTAGTTGTTTCATCGATGAGAAAAACTATATACTAAGGGATACTAAGAAGGAGAAGGAGTTCGGTTTTAGCATGCCAGCTTCGTTGGCACATGCATGCCAGCATCCACTTCTGGAGGTAAATATTAACCTAATGTTTGTCCCCACAGATAGAGACTTATTATGCATTCCCATTAAGACTAGGTTTTGCAGGGTCGTAAAGTCTTCATCACCCCAAATACGAAGCCTGGTAAAGATATAATTTCAAGTCTGGTCAAAGCAGTTCGTGGCCAGGTATAGTTTTCTTTCTCTTCGCACATGCATATACGGCAACATGCACATATAAAGTTCATCCTGTTTTTATCTCAACTTTTGATTGCGATTAATTCCAGAAATGATTTTGATTTTGTTCAAAATGCTCATTAGGCTATAGAAAGAATTGGTAGATCTGTTTTGGAGGCTGATAAAATTCCTGATGATCTGTTGGTTGTATCTTGTGAAGAAGATTATGAAATCTGTGTGCCTTTACTCGAAAAAGGTTAGCAGCCATCTCTTTTATTTACCAAGTATTTATAAGAAGACGAGATTATTATTTTTTGTTTTGACACTGCTTTATACTTTCAGGAGCTACAGTTTACAGCTCAGAGTTGCTATTGAATGGGATTGTTACTCAGAAGCTGAAGTTTGAAAGGTTGGTTTTACTTCCCTGGATTTTACCTTTATTATTAGAAAGTAATGTCTCTTGTTCTTGTATGCTCATTGTTGTATTCGATTGGTTTGGAAGAAACTGAAGATTATGTGCATTGAGGATTCAAATCTTAGTTTCCTAACACGCTTGCACAAATTATGTGACAGGCATCGCCTCTTTACAGATCAAGTTAAGAAAACCCGTTCCACCATATGGCTGAGGAAAGATGGCAACAAGTTCCTCCCTGTGACGAAAGATAGATGAGGAATTATATTTGTTCCATCTTTTTTCCTCCTTCACAGCCAGGCGTTTTCATTGTGATGATGTGCATTACTAGTTGAGTTTTCCCTGTAAAAATCTCCATGTTGTATATAACCGTACTACTTGCAAATATGTGAAAAGGTTTCTTTGTTCTCCCTTTTTAATTGGGTGATGTAGCTGATTACTGGTTACTGCATCTAAAGATTTGCATACTGTAAAAGCATCAAGTTACGGTTTTCAGTCGTACAGATATCGTACTTTCAGGCCTCGTTTGGTGTGTATCAGATTGGATTGGATTATGTTGAAACAAGAAATGGATATCAAATTCCAAGCGTGTCCAAGTTAAGGGTAGAAGATGGATTAGAGATAAAGGAAACTTCTCATTCCAATCCAACGAAGGTGGACGGCGTAAGTTTCCTTCATGTCTAATTCATCATCCACCTTTAGCTTGAACAAGGTTTCGAAGTCGACATCCATTTGTTGTATCAACATACCTAGAATGTGGTAGCTTATCCAACACAAACCACCACCGAGGCCTAAACTCAATGCCTCAGAGTCGTCATTCCGGCACTAATTGCTCTACGGTTTCAACACAACGGTTCCCAAACATTTTTGAGCTCTCATTTTATAGAGCTTTGGTTTGGAGCTCATAATGCAAACTTCTAGTGCTTGCTTGAACTAGTAAATGTTACATCTTGAACTTGTAAATGTTACATCCTTCAACCAAACCTAAGTGGGTAAGAGCGTTTATCCTTGTACTCGAAGTCTTGTGCTCAATTCTCCCGCCCCAAATGGCACGACATTGTTTAGAAAACTAAGTAAAAACTTATAAATATAAACAGAAAAATACAAAAACTTGTACATTCAACTTGGCCAGAGTATATAAGATTGCAATTTACCAACACAAAATGCAATTGCTTGTTAATTACAGGAATCAGTCATACAGGGCTAGAGCTTTGAGTTTGTGCAACTTGAACTCTCCAAGTGTAATATTGGATATACAATGAGTTGAGGCTCATCGCTATCCCGAAACCCAATACCGCAGCGAGCAATACCGAGTAAATGGCAGTCAGATGAAGCTGAAGGAAAGAACAAAAAAGCTTTTACTTAACAAGGCAAAGAGTGAATAATCAAAGCACTCAAGTCTGGCGTTAGGCAGTTTGGTGCACCATAGAAAAAACCGCAGTAAGCAACGCAAACACACACACAAAAACCATGGAGCATATTAACGACAGGGTTTGGATCACAAATAATCGAAAGCATCACTCACTGTGCTGTAGAACAGGTGGACGATTAGAGCGACAAGCGCAAACTCAAGAGCTGCATATGTCCATATATACTCCCTGATTGCTGCACATTAAACAAGCAAGTGGTTACAGTTAATAAACTTATAAAGATAAGAGAAGCAGAAATCTCAGAGGCTCCGCTATACCAAGGATGATGGCGAATATGGATGCCAAGAGGCCCAATGTAAATGCAAATGGTGCTGCAATTACAATCGCTTGATTTTTCAAGTCACGAATCTACACATTGGCAAAGAGTAGAATTAGCATCGTTATGCCAACTATCGGTCACAATTTGAACCAGCTCTGTCCTTCCTTTCAATGCGTACTTTCTGGGACCCTGTATGTGCTCAGGTAGTTTGTAGACCATACAAATGAACAGATAATATCTCACGGCACCTGAAGCCGCATAATTTAGGTGTTCTTACTTCTTACACAATGTCTTGCATAGAGCTCGGTATGGTATAAATACATACAATTCAATTGGATTATTTTGAATTTCATTGGGGGATATCGAACTCATCAGGAGACATGAACAAGTTAGTATAGCAGAAATCAAATTCTTAGTTCCTAATTTTTTTCAATAGAAGAATGGCATACCAGTAGCTGCTCAAGGAAGAAGAAATAGCATATGGTGCTAATTAAAACCAGTACCACAAAGTCCTGCCAGGCACTGCATAAAATATGACTTTTATAAGCTACAAAAGAGTAAAAAGGAAGCACGATATCTATCATAAGTTGGATTCTACAAATAACGTGGACGGTGACATGATAAAAAAGAAAAGTGTACGGTAGCACTGTCGCCTGCCTATTCATAAATCAATGACGTGGGTACGATGGCTGACATTTGTCTCTACGAGATAAGAAATTATGATTTCGATCCAAACGACTTAGATCCTCTTCTGACATTACATGTTGAGAAATCTATTTGGACGTTCGTGACTGTTCAGTCGTGAATGAATGGAAATGGATGCATCATAAATAGGTTTCTACCTGTTTTTTCTTTACCTTTAATAGTCATGATATCATGAATCTATATATATCATCCCTCAAAGTCCTCAACAGAAGGATCTCAATACTGCATTATCATACCTGATCGTTTCTGGATGCAAACCCTGTTGGTTGTGCTGCTGTCTGCTACCCCTTTGAGCAGTGCTCTGAACCCGAAGCAATGTTACAGGTAAATTCTGAACCTCTTGACCACATACATCACATTTCTTGTTTCCTTTTGTGCTAAACCACTTAATGGCGCACTCTTCATGTAGAAGTCTGAGAGCACCTTTGCAAAAGCATTCCATTTTGAGCGTATTTTGTTCATCACATACATCAAGACATATCCTGCACACTGCTTCTTCTTCAGGAATTTCTTCATCATTGGCCTCCACCGGAACCGGAGTTATTTGATCTGAGTTGCCAAAAATAAATTTAGAAGGGGTTATGTATGGTGAATCATCTTTGAGAGAGAGAGAGACAGACGTAAGCCAAAAAGTAGTTGAAATATAATGAGTAAATTCATTCATTGTTACAAATATATAAGTTGCATATGTAGCATGAACAGAAAACCAGAATTATAGATTCACCACATACCATCACTAGGATCTGTTTGAGTCTGCCCATTTCTAGTTGCAAAAGATACGGATCTTACAATGACTTTATTTCGTCCAGGCATAGAAAGGGACCTCGAAACTGCTGTAGTTTCTTTCTGCACGAAATTAATCACAACCATCTCAATTTTTTCGGATGGATGATTTCCGGATTTACAAGCCATTTCTATGGAAGCTTAAGCATTAGCAGCGGAAAAAAAAAAAATTAAAAGAAGCACAAAGATTGGTTAATTGCGAAGTTGACCTGAATGATCATATAAAACGATTAAGAGGTATCTTGAGTGTCTGAACTCTGAACTGGAAATGTAAATCAGATTCCACTTCCGGAACAATGAATGTACAGACACCATTCTTGGAAACAGCATTTAAGAGAGGAAAAGAAAAAATATCTACAATGTCTGTAGGTAAATCGTCGATCACAATTTTTGTTTGGAAGATTATGATCTTCTATTGCACACCAGTTTTATACCTCCGAGTGTAAAGAAGTTCATGTGGAATTTCAAAATCTAGGGAAAACTCTAGAATGCATGACCACTTACATGTTGCTTGTGCGCTTCATTATACATCCTTGCGGAGATTGGTGTAGCAACCGAGGGGGACAAATTTGACGCCGGCGTAACAGGAAGAGAGGTACATCTTTTCCAAGAAAATGGCGATACTGAATTGGCCATTGTAGGACTTTCAGGAGCTCTACTGGGGCCTGTATTAAGGAGGCAGCTTTTCTCACCATCCGGTTGGTTACCTTTTTTCTTGAAGCTTAAACCCCGGAAGAGGCCGCCTGATAGCGAGCTACCCTTAGAGGAACCTTGAGACTGTAGTAAACCCTTTCCGCTACGGCTACTGCCAAAACCTGCAGGCCTTGGGGGTATCTGAAGTGATATATCCGGGCGCCTCCCGGCAGGTTCTGGTTCGGTACCTTCTTCCTTTACTGTCTTCAGATTTTGGAGACCACCCTACATCATAACATCTAACACTGCTTCTCATTTGGTCTATAAGCTTTCATAAGATTTCTTATATCAAAAAAAACAAATTTAAATAAAAAGACACTTTTTTACACAAAAACAACCCAAATGGCTGCAAAGATGAAGGGATTTTCTGGTATACTCCGGGGTTTTTAACCGTTATTTAAATCAGTCCAGATCTGCAATAATTAGAAAAGGTAACAGAAAAGCAGTTTGCAGAACACAATCAAGATCTGCAAAATACTAATAAAGGAGGGCAAAAGAGAATGTAACAGTTGGGTATCTGAAATCCAAAAAATCACCAAAGGTCCCAACTCTAATTTAATAAAGTAGCACACCTAATAAATATTCTTAGAAAAAGTGGGAGGAAATGAACAGACAAAAAAAGACACCCACTTGATATCTTGAGCTAAAAAATGAAAATCCAAGTTCAAATCTCGCATTTTGTCCACAAAAAAGTTTAAATCTTGCAAGAAGAAAGCATAAGTTGCATCAAAAAGGTACAGAAACAGTAAAAGCAAACATGGAAACATAATAAAACAGTAAAAAGGTGGGGAAGTTGAGATACAAACCTGAGGAGGAGGAGGGGGAGGAGGAGGAGGAGGAGGAGGAGGAGAAGATTCTACAGCTCCATTGGAGACTGATTGAGCTGCTTGCATTGCTATTTTTAGGCCCCTCCCCAAGAAAAAAAACCCAGAAACGAAAAGAGTGGCAAATCTGACAGAGTGAGGAATGAAAGATTTGTTAAGGAATTGGAGAGTGGAAAGTTTTTATTTTAGTTTATTGTATTGGTGAGAAAAAAAAACATGGAATTATTGGGAGGGAGGGAGGGAGGGAGGGACTGGGAGGACTCTGGTCTGGTCCGGTCGCGTATGATGTAGGAAGGATGACAAGTTTTGTTTGAGAGTCTTTCGTCTCGTTGCCGCATTCACTTCCCCCACTCGCGCCCTTGTTGGTTAACTTTCTTACTCGCTGCTTCATAAAAACATTATTGTGGTTCAAAAAATAATTTAAATATATCCAAAATTAAATATAAATCAGGAAATTATTTCAACGCCTCTTTGAAGCTCAATTTTCTATTAAGCACAAGTCAATCTTTAATAAGGAAGTATGCAGTGTAGAAAGATCAGGTAGGAATAGGATTCCTCTACTTATTGACATAGGCTTGGCTATTATAATCTCTGTGGACTTCTCACCGAAGATGAGGAAGTTCCATACATTTTAAGGGAAGACGCGCTGAGTCACACTGATTGTTTTTTTTTTTTTTTTGTTTTGGAACAAATGACGATATTATCTACACTAAAAGGGAGGGGATGAGTTTAGCCTCACAATGGGCTACCAATAATGTGGTCCAAATTCGCCTTTGGCGAGAATCGAACCTAAAACCTCACTTACAAGTGAAGAGGAATACCACTAAATCATAGTACTAAGTAGCAGCCACACTGATTTTATCCCCTAGGTTGAATGAGAATAATAAGATTGTTTCAATTTCATAGTTGGTTGCTTTATTAAGGGACTTTTTTTGTTTTTTTTTAATTAGTTATGTTTGTTGTGATACTATACTTTTGTCTTGTATTTGAAATAATTTATTAGAAACTAAACAATCATTTTATTCTCAAAGTATGAAAAAATATATATACAGGAATCATTCAACAAGAGGGATCTCCATTTTTCAAAAAAAAAAAAAAAAAAAATAGGGATATCCTCTTGACCGTTAGATTTGGCTTTAATGAAATTGTGTGGTTGAGATTGTGTAGCCTGTGATTTAATCTCAACCACACAATTTCATTAAAACCAATTCAACAGTCAAGAGGATGTCCTTATTTTTTTTTATATTGTGATATCCATATAATTATACAATTCTAAAATTTTACAGATCAGTACTCAACTATGTTAGTTAAGCTCAAAGTGGCTAAAGCAATTTGGAAATGATTTTCCCTTACCCACTCATGTTTGTATTTTACCTTTAAGTTGAGTAAATCAAATGAACTCAAGAGACGTGATATAAGAAGGGCATGCAACACCTCATTTTTACACCCCTTTTTGTTTCACCAAGTGAGAGGATACGATGTATTTTTTCTCGTCACTTTCCAAGTGGTGAGCATTACTATTATTTCAGAGTCGTGATGTATTTTTGCTCACTACCTTACTTATTACTATTTGATGAGTTTAATTTAGAGATTTATGTATATTCACTATATAGATCTCAAAATTCAAATACATCAAACAAACAGTAATAAATAAAGTGATGACTAACAATCATTTGAGAGTTGTGAACGAAAATATTCCTGGAAAGTATAGAGCAAGTCAATCTACTTGTATTCACGAGATGATGACAAACAACCTACTTGTAGTTGTGTGGGGCCCTTCCCATTGAACATTAGCATCGTCATCATCAAAGACAAACCAGAAAGAGAAAGGTGAAGCATAAAGGAAAGCATCCTTTCGGGGAAGCTGCGAGCCTACGAACCTCTCTCCTCCGCGACTTATAATTATTACGGTATCAGATTCTTTTTCTTTTCATAAAGGCATTTCTGTTCGTCAAAATTTCGTATCAAACTTTATATTTACGCGTACATTGAATAATTGTTTATCTTTTGTTATAGTTTCGTATTGAACTTCATATGTGTGCTGCATTGAGCAATGGTTTACCTTTCGAAGATGGAGAGATTTGAGAGAGATGATATCAAATTCAAATGCTCTCTGTAGATATTGGTTTCTGATGTTAAGCATTAATAAGTGGTGATGAACAATAAGAAAATATCGCAAGTGTTACAACAAATAATATAGATTATGTGGTTTTGAGGTCAATCCAAATAAATTATGATTTGGTTAGTGTAGGTTTTACTGTAAGCAATATCACTACTCTAATCATGTCACACTTCATACGCGTACATTAACTAATAGTTGAGAAAAATTATTGCTATTTGAAAATGAAGAAATTTGAGATTTGTGAGAGACGATGTCAAATTCAAATGCTCTCTATGGATTTTGGTTTCTTATGTTATACATTAATAATGATGACCAATAAGAAAATATCAAAAATGTTGCAACAAATAATACAGGTTACGCGATTTGGTTGTGTTTTGGCGGTTTCAAGGTTAATCCGTTGAAACTTTGATTTGGTTAGTTTAAGTTTTATTGCAAGCGATAGAACTGCTCTAATTTATTCCATGATTTAGGATTGGGAGGCATGTTGTAAAGCTTTCATTAAAACTTTAAAGCATTCGTTTTTAATCTACGACACTCACAGGTAAGACTCCGATTTCTTATTATTTTATTTTACTTTTACGAAAGTTGTGCAATCTTTAGGAGTTTTCAACTTTCAACACGAAATAATTCTAAGGGCCGATTAAGAACTATTTTGTGTTCAGTTTTTATTTTTTTGAAAACTAAAAACTGAAATCTTGTTTGGTAATTATTTTTAATTTTCAGTTTTTAAGAAAATGAAAAACTCAAGGCCAAATTTTGAAAAATTGAAGAACGTATTTTTAAGTTTTCCAATGTTCATTTTCAAAAAGGTTTTTATCATAAATGGTCCCTGAGATTGACCAAACTCATCATTTTGATCTCTCACTTTCAAAATCAATCAATGTTGTCTTTCACATTCACTACCTCACATCAATCTGGTCATTCCGTTAAGATTCCGTCAATTATTCTGTTAGTTTGTATATAGGACTCACAAATCCAATAAAATGGTGACATGTGGATTACACAAAATAAGAGTTTTTATCGCAAATGGTCTTCATATTGACCCATCTCCTTATTTTGGTTCATCAATTTCAAAAATCGATCAATTTGGTCCCTGACTTTCACTACCACACATCATTTATTCTCTCTGTTAATGTGGTTCAACTAATCCAATTATATGGCTCAACGTGGATTAACTATAAGAAACTATTTTTTTAAGAGTGAACCAAAGGAAGAGTATTCCATGCTGGCATTTTTCTCGCAACCTACAACCCCAATTGGCAAAAAAAAAAAAAAATCTAAATTCGATAAAATCGAATCCGAATTTGATAGGATTTAGGATTATAACCAACTAGAGAGAATAAAGTGAGTTCATGAGGCCAAGTACTTAGTGGTGTCAAGGTGTATTCCTTTTCTTTTAAGCATACCTTGATGAAGACGCCGATGACTTTTTTTTTTCCTTTTAGTTTTGGTTTTTAGTTTCTTATTTTACTTTTAGTTTTAAATCTTAAAAAAAAAAAAAAAGTTTCTTATAGCTAATCCATGTAGCGCCATATGTTTGGATTAGTGGGACAACAAATATTGACGAAACTTTAATGGAATGATTAAATTGATGTGCGGTATTGGAAGTTAGTGACCAAACTTCTCGATTTTTGAAACTTGGGGACTAAAATGAGGAGTTTGATCAATGTCAGGGACTATTTGCAATAAAAACCCTTATTTTGTATAATCCATGCGTCACCATTTTATTGGATTTGTGGGTCACACATACAAACTAACAAAATAATTGGCGGAATCTTAACGAAATGACTAAATTGATGTGCGGTAGTGAATGTCAAGAACGACATTGATTGATTTTGAAAGTGAGAGACCAAAATGATGAGTTGGATCAATCTCAAAGACCATTTGTAATAAAAGCTCTTTTAAAAACTGAAAACTAAAAAGACTTATCGAACAAAATATGAGTTTTCAGTTTTCAAAAAATCGAAAATTAAAAATAAAAAACGAAATAGATATCCAATGTTTTCTAAACTTTTCACAAAAGAAAACAAATATCGGTGGGTTCTAGTTTGGTTTGGTTCGACATAAAAACCTGCAGCCCAAAACGCAGGCCCATCTCCGAAGTTGTCCAGTCCAAACTCGAATGGACGGAGAAACTCGCCACTCTCGCGGCCGGTGAGAGTCTCAGCCTCCCGGAGCTCCGTCTACTGTTCAGACTTCAGCCATGTAATATCTAGCTCTCGTTCTTACCTTGTAATTCTTTAAGCGAAAGCATGCCCTGATTATATGTATTATATATACATAGTGGTTGCTGAAATTGAAGTTTTGATTTCTTGTTTTTGTGTAGTGGAAAATGAAGTTTGTGGATTGGTATTTGAAGATCGCATTCGGGTCGGCTCTGATTGGAGTTTGTCATGATCGAGGCCGGCTTCTGTGTGAGAACTCTCCATTTCATCTTTACCCTTGTCTTTCTTTCTTCTGATTATGTACCTGTTGTTTTTTATGACACAAACACAATTGATGGAGAAATATTGCAAATAATTGTTCAAAAATTGTACTTAGTTGTTTTGTAAATTAGATTATAGTTTGTCAGATAAGAAAAGAGAGTTGCAGTAGGAAATTGTGAAAAGGGCTCAGACAGCATTTCATGTGGACTTTCATTGTTGGATACAAACATATCATTTGTGTTGGTTGAACTCAACTTAGATGAGACTTCACATTCACTCAGATTTTATCGATTTTTGAACCATTTCGATTGGAATTTGTGTGCAAACATAACCAATTACCGGTTGTGCTGGTTACTCCCCAAGTGGTTTCGAGGATTGAAAGATTGAATGGTTTCGAGGATTGAAAGATTTAGAGTTTGATCATTGGGAACAATTGTCTCGACTAAATATTTCCTTTGATCTGTCTTGCTCCGCATTTGAACCGTTGTTGGGGGTGCCCTTTGGGTTTTACAATGGTTGGGCCATCTAAGTTGTTCCTTTGCTCCCACCGCCCTCTAACTTCGGTTCTCCACTACGCTAAGTTGTTCCTCTTTGTTTTCTGCAAAAAGCCTCCAATCTGTAGTGGCCCCTCATTACAGGAGACTTGTTACTTTCATATGTTGACATTTTATCTAAAACTGCTCTTTCGCTTGTTTGGATATCTGCAATTAGTTTGCTTAATGGAGTTTCTCATTACTGTTTCAATTTTAGGAGATTTTATTTGCTGATTTGCTGCGTGCTTTCTGGCTTTACATATGGACATCTTGATCTTGTTGAATAGTTATGTATCACATTATCGGAAACAGCGCATGCTGCGTTTCTCTTATGACTTTATAATTTGTTCTTGCATAATCTAATTCTTAGTTACCCTCTTTTCAAACATGATGACAAAGTAACTGTTCTGGAGTCAGAAAAACAGGCTTGGGAGAACTCGCCAGAGGCCCAAGCTATCAGGGATCAATCCTTGGAGAAACCGCGATGCAGAAGCAAGCAAGGAATCCTAAGTAGGATGGCTGCATGTTCACAAGGTTTGTTTCAGCACATCGTAGTTGGGATCTAAAGTACTCTGTACATTGCAATCCATTTTCTTGGTGGAACTTACAACTACAAGAGCTAATATTTTTATAGCTGTTATACAATTCGACATTCACAGTTTCTAGCAGACTCTAATTCACTGTCTTGTTTTCTTTGTTTTCCCGTTCTCTCGCAACTTCTGGCTGGGTGATGATTCTAAACCATTTTTATCGGGGGTGTTATCTGCCTTGTTTTGTTTCAAATAATCCATTAGAGTTACATATCACAGATATTATTCTATGGACTTGGCCATTTCTTTTCCATGATTGACTGATTTTGCTAATATATCTGTTTACAAAATTTGGATGATAGTTTGATAGTATTAGAATCTGTTTATTGACTCGGCTTGAACTATGCATGGAAAGTATCACGACAAAACATCTGATTTATGAGAATTTTAACTCTCCAAACTGCACCTACGGTTTACTTGCTAGTTACACTATCTAACTGCTGAAGATTTTCTGTAAACAAGTTCGGTTTATTAAAAACTAAACAGTTTTTTTGTGTGGCTCTGCAGGAAGAAGATAACAGTACTAGCAGGAGATCAATCTGAGAAATACTGTAAAAGATGACATTGTTTCTTTTAGTTGAACAACGTGAGAGGTGACCTTGATCATCCTGAAAATTATTTCATTCCTTCGATTTATATAACTTGTATCGTTCTTGTCCTGGGGAACATGATCAACAGTTTTGAAAGAATATGAATGTAGCCATTTTGGTTGGTTCTCGTACGCATCTATACTTACGAATGAATACGCTTGAGAAAATTTATGTTACTCTTGCCTTGTCTCTTCGCTCTCTATGTGCCATGGCTACAAAACTAAAACCTTGCTGCCAAAATATATGAATCAAGCATCCCGTTCCATAGCAAATTCAGGGTGTTCTAGTAGACCAAAACTTGTCCCTTCCGTTCCGGTTGTATCCTACCAGTGTATCTTTCTTGTAATGACCCATCCCCAAATATTACGGTTTTTATAATTTTAAAACATGATTTTACGAAAATGCCCTTTGAGGAAAAAAACGTTGACTTTTGTTGACTGCCTTGTCATGTCACGTAAGATTCGTTTCTTTGGCTATCCTTGTAGTACTCAGTGTTATGGATGCGTGGACGCAAGAGGAATCAAATTTGGAGCTAGAACGGAGATTTTACGAAATTCGAAACGATAGGGGTATTTTGGTAATTTTACGTCCCTCAAGATATTTTCCCGTTTCGTCTTTTCTTACTTTGTTTGGTGTGCCTGTGGGGCCCACACCCCACTTTTCCTTCTTCCCCATGTCCTCCCTCCCCGATTCTCTCTCTCTGGAACTCTCTCTCTTTTTCTCTATCTCTCCTTGATCCTCCCCGGGACACTCTCTCCCCTCTCCGAGCAACACCCACACGCACGCAGACCAGCAACCTTCTCTTTCCGTTCTCCTTCATCCCTCTCGAACTCTCTTGCATCTCTCGTTCCTCTTCTCCCTCTACAAGTGTAGAGACTGAGACCACCACGACTACCACCGTTGTCGATGAATCTGGTGAGTTCCACCACCTCTGATTAGGTGAGCCTTGGGAATACTCTAAATCTTATACATTCTTCTTCATGGTTCGATTTTCAGCATGTTTGTTTGCTTTGGACTGGTTTTGTGACAGAAAATAGCTCGAGGAAACTAATTCCTAGATTTAGGCGAAGTCCAAAGGTTTCAGACCTTTTTTCAGTCAAGTCTGGCCACGGAGAGAGACCACAATGGTATAATCTTACTCCTTATCTCCCTAGCTTCAATTTGACTATTTATACGCTGAAAATGGTTAAGTTTTGACCTTGATAGGAGTTCGGGAAAATTTCCCCAATTTCTGGCCTTCTTCTACATTTGGCTTTGGCGGTGCAACCAGTGAGCCCAATCGGGTAAAACCTAACCCGCAACCCAAACCTTTGGCCCATGTAACCCAAGCCCTTGGCCCAACCCAAAGACTTAACCAAGCCCAGATCCAACCTAAGCCCTGTTTTTATGGTCGGCGCATGGGTGTGCATGGTGGGCTTTCATGGTCTGCGCGGACGAATTTTTCAATGACCCATCTCGGCGTGTGCGGTGGCGCATAGCCTTCCGAGCTAACGCCCCGTGGCGGCGCGTGGGGGAACCCGAGGTCCCTCCTTAGGTTTTTTGACTTGCCAAATCTGAATCTGCTGTCCGTTTTCCCAAATTCTATCGTTTTAGTAAAGTTTTATTAAATGGCCTCCATTTGTGTTTAGGTGCATTGGTAGGAAGTGACACCGACCTCTCTAGTTCGAGCGGCTCTCGGGCAACAAAATATCTATAAGTGGACCCCTTCTTAACTTGCATGTTTTTTTAAATAAAATAATAGGCTTGCATTCACAAAAAGCATGATTTCATGATTTTACATTTTATGCATTATTTATGATTTATCGAATTTACGTTTTATGAAAGGTTATGAATCATTGGATTTTCGTATATAAAATTCTATGGATTTACGAATATGTTTTGTTATGGATTTCTGAGATAAGGCTTTGAGCTTTTGAGCTCCAATGATTTGATATGAGATTTTGAGATACATTTTCGGTGCTTATCTAGTGGGTTATCATACAGCACATACACACAACGAAGTATGTAGACGTATATGGCCATAGGACACAATTGATGAGATTTATGACATACTCCCAGCTTCAGTAACCCGGGGCTAGTGTCGGTGTGTTATGTGTGTGTGTGTATATATATGTATATTTCTTATCTGGCGTAGCCCAGAGTTGTACAGCTTTACTTTCAAGTGATGGACCCCTATTTTCTTCTCTGGTGTAACCCAAAGTCGTACAGCTTCACCTTCGGGTGATGGACCCCTATTTCCTTCACTAGCGTAACCTGGTGTCGTACAACTTCACCTTTGGTGATGTTTATGCCATCGGGCCACTATGATACCCCTAGTTGAGTACATCATTGATGAGATTTACAGATTTGCCTTCAGGTGGCGATATCAACGTTATTGAGCATTGTTTTACACGTAGATGTTTTATGAATGTTTTCATTGCATGCTAGAGTTTTCAGAAAACCTACTATGTAATACTATATATGTGTTTTCAAAACAGGGGGTTAGTATGTTCAGAAAGAAAATGGTTTTCTTATTATTAGTATTAGTATTATAAACACCCTTTGTTTTGCGCCCCCTTCAGGAGTTAGAATCGAGGCATATAATCCCTACGTCAGGGCACTTCCGCATAGGTATCTTCGAGTTTTCTCAAAGTAGAACCCACTCCTTTGTTTGTATCATTTTATATTAATTCTTTCACATTATTTTTAATTAGTTGTATGCTCTGAACACGTTCCTGCAATTGCATACTTCATTATATTTACATATTTTATTTACATCGTTCCTTCTTTCTAACTTGCATGCATGTTGAAATAGCTTTGTCACCCTTGGGTGTCGGCCAGCACTTGTCTACCCTAATATATAGGGATATTGGGGTTGGGGCATGTTATTTCTCCTCGTGTGACTTAATTCCGAAGCATTGAAATTAGACGAATTTGTGGCTAAAATTGTCTAATACTCTCTAATCCGTGTTCTCTTGCTAACCACAAATTAAAATTTAAAAAGCCACACTTTTTGGGGAACAAAGGATTTGAAGCCATACATGCTCTCTTGTGGATGCAAGCAACAACACATCCTCAACTGAAACCAATATCTCAAAAATCACAAATTTGAAACACTCCAATACTTGTCCGTAAAACCCACATTAAAGGTTGGTGAAAACGATTATGAGGGATTCAGTTCAAGATTTCAAGTGTCTTTGCTAGTGCGTTTTCAATAATTACAGTACTGCTTTTGTGCTAATGATGATTAGCATTTGAGGAAAGTAGATTCTAATCACAAAATGAACCGTCAAATTTGGGATTTTAAAACCCACTTAGAATGATAATCAAGTACACGAGTGCTTCATTCCCTTGTTCTATTAGTGCTTTGCTTGTGTTGGTTAACCATTTAAGAGATACATTATACTGTTGTTACCCTAGTTAGCAGTGGATTGCACGGTTGCATCGACAAGACAGATCAATTCCTTACTAATCAACACTGATAATTTTTCAGAACTTGCATATTGGCATGACATGTGTGAGGTTCTAGCACAAAAGGGATCAGTATAATTAGTTATTGAAAGTCATACATTATATATTATAATTTATCGAACTTTTGATGTGAAATTCTTTCATTTCTTGATATATTTAGTAGTGAAATCATTCATTATACTGTAAAGCGTATAAAACTGTATTAATTTCCCGAACATGAAATTTGTACTGTGTCTAGATTCTTGTGTGGAAGATGAATAGCAAGATACTTTGAAAAGATGGAGTGGATGGATGACATAAAACCCACCACGAAATTGGAATGACAAGCAAGAATTAACCTACCACATTTTGACCCAATAGGAGTGACGAGTGCGTTTTGTCACTATCGCATCAACAAACAGGAAAAGGAGAACGTTTTAAACCACAGCCCTAGCTATAAAAAGAAAACTAATCAAGATCAAAACCCACCTAATTAAACCACCACAAAGTTAACTAATTTCAATAAAATAGTAGTGGTGAAGACTATGGCTTGCAAAGAGGGTGATTTTGTTGATGTGTCTTGTTTCTTTTTGTTTGAAGGAAGTGCAGATTCAGAGGCAGCAGATCATCAGACTACTGCTCCTCTCAGAGCTAACAACACTAACACAGCACTCGTACTACTTGAAGATGATGAGGATGCAGAGTCATGTAGCTCTCATACAATTGGTGTTTGCGTTCATAATTACTCTACGGATCGCGTAGAAGATCAGCGTCCGCCACAGAGTTGGGGTCGTAGCATGGTGTGGCTCCAGTACTCAGATGGAGAAGCCAAAGGATATGAGGAAGAAGAAGTGGACTCGAAGCTGGTTGGTGTACTTGGCAACATAGATGAAATGGAGGATAGCCTCTTTTGGGAAATTTGCATGGCAGTAGGGTACCCATGAATTTAAGTGTTGTTTTTTTTAAATAGAGAAAATGTCATGGGATACGTTTATACTACTTATTTTGATGCATGTCATATGTGTGCGCGTTAGTATTACAGTCTAATGTATTTCTTTTCATTTGTATGTGAGAGGTCTCAGGTTCAACTCCTATGGATGAGGAGTTTGATATCTAATTGTAACTGGGTCATTGTGTGACTTAGTTCAAATTTCCCCACCAATATTGTTGTATCAAAAAGGAAACAAAAAAGACAAAGATCAATGTGTACATATTTTGTGTTGTGGGTAGAGTGAGAGTCTGGATTCTTGCTCTGACCCAGAAGGTACGAGAAAGATTAATATTGGAAATGATAAATTTTTGCAGTATTGATAATAAAAGTCACATGCATACACTATTTTTGTTGCGAGTTCATGCATTTGTGATAATATGCTTCTTAGATCAAGGGGCTTGGTTTTTTAGACTATAGTACGGTTAGTCATTTAAACGTGTATGATTACCTAATAATACTTATTAACATTCATTTAAATTTGGTGTGACTAACCATAGCAAAATCAATTGTCACAATGTAATATTTATGTGTATTCATTTTCACCTCAGTGGCCTAGCTTTTTGTTTAAGTTGTTTGAGCACGACTTTAATGATGGCATAGTGATATATAAACTAGAAAGTTGATTAACATTAACATTAAATTAATGTTATGAATATTATTGGACTATTGACTTCATTTATCCGAAAAAAATTTCAGTATCCGAAATAGGGGCATATACGTAATATGTCATTATATAAGTGGAGGAATAAAAAAGAAAACTTCCCTTCACTTGTATAATAACACATGACATACGTCTTGTATTTTGAACATACTGAGAAATGTCTCATTTATCTACACAAAGATCATAATTAAGGATCCACACGGCGAGATTAACAAGAGATTAATTGGAAGCCATTCTCAATCTCATGAATATCCAAAGCAAATCTTTGATTTGAAGCTATCCCCAGATCGAAGAGAACATGCTGTATTATGCTTTGAATGAAAGAGATCTTCACTAGTATTTGTAATTCATATTTCCCAGATTTTAGCGGTTCCTTCTTCATATGCAAGTGTGAACAAAGTCCACGAGCAGACGTACATGGCTCGAAAACGAGCTGTCCTAATAAAAATTTAGGTGCTTTAGATTTTGGCCCTTGCAATTCATTATTTCTAGATAAAAACTCATCTATCTTTAAAGATCCAGTTTAAGCTCAAATTTAAAATTTGCAAACATATAGGAACACTATTGACCTATTAATGCAATTTATTTACACTCATGCCACTCATACTTTATGGTCCCTTTTTCAAATTCCTAAATTTATGCCAAATTAAAAGTAGTAGAAAAAGTGAAATAAAATGAAAAAAGTGTTTGCATTAACCATATCTATGTTAAACTAGAAAAGTAGGTTTTTTTTTTCATGATATATTTTGTTGCAATTTTATCCATATTAATTGGTAGGTAAATTAGTTTGTTCCAATTATTTAAAAAAAAAATACTACACCTATATTATATATTTTGAATCAAATAACATTCCTCTACCTTGTAGGTAAATTATTTTCTATGTAATGTTATATATGTTAGACACGTTTTGTTGTTGTATAAACATGAGTGGAATGTAATAGTGTTGATTTTATACATCAAACTGCATTTCTTTTGTTATAGGTAAATTATTTTTCATGTACAAGTACTAATGTTAGGCAAGTTTTGTTGTTGGCACATACAATATTTTGTATCATTGTAAAGAAAGATATTACATTACACCCATGGTATAATTGTTGTAGGTAAATTATTGGAAATTAATTTGTAGTTAGGTAATGAACATTTTGAATTATTGGAAATGAACATTTCAAAGAGTAGGTAGGTAAATTAATTTGTTCTAATTATATAAAAAAAAATACAGGACACCTAGTTATATTTAATTTTTCCAATTATTAAAAAAATTTATGCTACAACCAACCAAATAACATTTCTCTAACTTGTAGGTAAATTACATTCCTTCTTAATATAGGTAAATTATTTTCCATGTAATTAGTACATATGTTAGGCACGTTTTATTGTAGGTATAAACATTATTTTGCATCATTGTAAAAAAGAGATATTATATTACACCCATGGTATAATTGTTGTAGGTAAATTAATGTGCATGTAGATAATGAAATACAATGTTCTAATATATTAATAAAAAGGAATAAATTCAAAAGTATTGAAGAGTAGGGTGAAAAAACTGAATCGAATGGTTTTATGAAAATTCAAAACCTTTCTAAAAAATTAATATGCAATAAATTTTTAACATTAATGTCTTTTTTTTTCTTGTTGCAAAATCATTTACTATATATTTCCTTACAATTAATTGTCTACATCAAGTATGTAATAGGGGTATTTTAGGCATGTGAAAAATGTAAAATGTGTGAATTAATATGAAGTTAATGAATTTGCTTATGTGGATCCTAGTCATTGGGTTTTCTTTAAGTAAAAAAGTTATGTAAGGTTTTATATGAAGAAAATTGAGTTTGAAGGGTTAAAGTCATATTTTCACTAAAAAATTTAATGGTTATGTATGCTTTATGGCCGTAAAGCTTCATATATATACACAGACACACACATACATATCAGAAACTAATTACAAAACGTCGAATTGTCATTTGCTTTGCTTTCTTTTTACTCTCCATGAAATGTGCACAGATCTCTTTCCAACAAAATTGAACTCCACAATTGCCAGCCATTACATATTTCTTATGTCTCTTAAGTAAAAACAACAGCAGACAACTTTGATAATTGATCGTGGGACGTGCAAAATCATGCATTATATTAACAGAAAGTATATACCTTGAGCTACCAAGAAACATTGAATTTCTGTCTACTTTCTAGATATTTGCACGCATTTTATGTATATCCCTTAGTGGCGCCAACACTTACCATGACTGAGTTGACAGCATCTAATTTGTTTATATACTTTGACAGACTTTGTAATAATAACCCTCCGCGGATGATACCAATCTTCTAAGTCGGACCTTCTTATTGTTGAGAGTTGTTCCACATCAGTGAGGGATAAGGTTTGCTATGTGCTTATATAATCTTGGGCTATTCCTCATATTGCCAATTGATTTTATAACCCCAATTTAATCATGGTATCAGAGCAAGGTTGTGCACGTGTGAAGCTCAATGGTCATACGCGCTCCACGTCACCTAGTTGTTGTCCACGTGTAGGCTTGAAAATCCACCACACGTGTTGAGGCGTGTTGAGAGTTGTCCCATCGGTGAGGGACAAGGTTTGCTATGTGTTTATATGATCTTGGGCTACTCCCCATATTGCCAATTGGTTTTATGGTAAAATCTTAAATTTCATCACTTATTCTATATTTTCGCTCATTTTCATCTTGTAATCTTACATGATGATCAATGCAGTCTACTTTCTAGTTCACCATTTAAGATCAACCCTGCAAAAAATTAATTAATTTAAAATTTTTTTAACCGTTCAAATAATATTGTTTAAATTTCAGTGTTTAACTGAATAACCTAGTTCATGTATTATTCTTGTATAACCGTAATATGACTAATGGATTTGAATTTGGTTGGTTTTTAACAGGAGTTGATCTTTGAATGACGACTTAAAAAGTAAACAATTTGAATCATTCATTCACGCTGTAAAATGAAAAAGAATGATGAGAAAGTGGAACGAGAAAGAAAATTAAATAAGAAGATTCCACTCTAACCCTAATATCCCAATTTCTATTATTCCTCTTTTTGCTTTCCATTGGTCAATGGCGGCCATTATTCAACGTATAACAAGTGCGATGATTAGCTAGCGGCTGCATCCTGCATGTATGTTGCAATTAACAAGTAGTTGACTAAACCAATCTTATACTTCAATCATCAAAATGTATCATGAAGAACATTATAATGTTATACCATTTGAATACCGAGATCACTTAAATAAGTATTTGATTGATTAATTTATTGCTCAAGGAACCAAGAATCTACTTCGAAACTAGGTTTTCCACGGCTATATATACTCCTAGAGTCCTGGTGCTTTTCATATTGCACCTTCAAAAAACAAACTCATACTCCAAAGTTGGGTTTTTGGATACATATCTTTGATAATGAAGCCCAGCATAAATGTCGTGTTAGTTTCTCTTCTTCTGCTCATTGACGTTATTAGCGTTTGTCATGGCGGTGGTGGTGGCCGTGGCGGTGGGCTGAGTCCGGTGTTCTATGACAAGAGTTGCCCTCAAATTGAAAGAATAGTGAGGAACATCACATGGAGCATGGTTGCAGAAAATTCTACCATGGCACCGAAGCTTCTAAGGATGCACTATCATGACTGTTTTGTTAGGGTACGTATGTATGAGCACAAATTCCTTTCAATTGCAGTTTATCGGCCACATGTGCATGGATCAATATTTTAAAAAGCCTTAAGACACACCTTAATTACCTTAATTAGAATATATATGTACACACACATACACGTTATGCGTCTTTGAGAATATGTTATCCTAATATTATAGAATTGATTTTGGGGGTTGGATACTCTAACTCTATCATTTAGAAGGTGGATCGGACTTATTGTCTTGCTATGTATTAAAACCTCATAATGTGTTAACGTTTATATAGTGGCGATGAATTGTCTTGCTATTAATTAGCTTGCTTAATTTTCTCTAGTGTACGTTGTAGGGATGTGATGCATCATTATTGCTAGATTCAATCAGAGGCAACCCGGCGGAGAAGGAAGCAATACAAAACAGTAATATTAGAGGTTATGAGGTTATTGATGAAATAAAAACCAGATTAGAAGAAAAGTGTCCCGGCATCGTCTCATGTGCTGATATTCTTGCCTTGGTAGCCAGAGATGCTGTCTCTTATCAAGTACGTGCCATGCACTCAAATCAGTTTTATTATTAAATAGTTAATATAATCATTGATATGGTATATCGTTATTGATGGTAATACTACGTGACATATATTTAATTAGTATTGATCATTGTGTAGTTTGGAAGGCCCATGTGGCAGGTTCTAACCGGGAGAAAAGATGGAAGAGTCTCCCTTTCGTCAGAGGCTTCAATAAACTTACCCTCCGCAGGTGCAAACTTCACCACACTCAACCAGCAATTTATTGGTTTGGGGCTGAACATCATAGATCTTGTGGCTTTATCAGGTATGTATCAAGTTTTCTCTTCTCCGTGGATAATCAAATAGTCGCGTCATGTGATAAGTATTTAGACAGCCAATCTAAATCACATATTCAAATGATAATCTATATAATCAACAGTTCGATTCAACTGATTAAATCTCGTCTAGTAAGAAAACATTTTTCAATGTGAAATTCACTATGTTAATATATTGTGACATTAATTTTAAACTTTTGCAGGAGCACATACAATTGGAGTGGCACATTGCGCAGTATTTCAAAGGAGACTGAACGTAACCGGAAAGGGTGACATAGACCCTACACTTGATCCAGATTACGCAGAATTCTTGAGAAAACAATGCACCAACCCGGGCGTCGCGGTTGCACTGGACGCCAACAGCTCAGCTTCCTTTGACAGCCATTACTTTGCGGGGTTGAGGCAAAACAAAGGCCTCTTGAGATCAGATGCTGCGCTGCTCACTGACCGGCGTTCGGCTTACATTGTAAGACGTTTTGAGAAGTTCCCTGTTTTCATGACCTACTTTGGGAATTCAATGAAGAAAATGGGTTCCATTGGAGTCATAACGCGAGAAGAGGATGGCGGAGAGATTAGAAAGAATTGCAGGGTTGTTAATGCTAATTAACTTTTAACTAACAAGATTTTCATCATTTGGAATATATATTAAATTCCAATTTCTGTAATGTCATAGTTGCTGTAATTTTTATTATATTCTCCAATGGAATAAATAATTAAGCAGGGCTTTGTTTGCAACAGCTAAAAGCTATACTGCAAATTTTATGAAATCACTTGTTTTTTTTTTTTAGGGAAAATTTGAAATAAGTCCAATTTTATAGGCCACCTTTTGAAATATGTCCAATTTTTAGTGACTTTTGACTTTTGAAATATGTCCAATTTTTAGTTACTTTGGACCCATATCAAAAGACCTCTTTTTTTTAATAGGATAATTTACACTAACTTCTTTTAAATTATGAGTAGAGATAAGATTTGAACTCAAGATGTAGTGAGTTAAACAAGAATGACTTAGCCAATAGGACAATCCATCACTTGCAACTCTCTTTTATTTTTGTCAAGTTTGTTTATGATCTCATTAGGCCATAAATTTATTATCAACTAACCCTTAATTTAGTAGTATTATTTTTCATAATGTTAAAACTATGCCCTAAATTCGAATGTCCCTATATATTTTGGTATTTTAATGGATCAAAAGGATTAAAAAAACAAAAAGACTATTGTCACATCCCGGCCCGGAACGGATTACTTCCCCGGCCCGCTCCACCACTGTAGCACGATATTGTCCCCTTTGGGCTTACCATTCCCTCACGGTTTTGTTTTTGGGAACTCACAAGCAACTTCCCAGTGGGTCACCCATCATGGGATTGCTCTAGCCCCCTTCTCGCTTAACTTTGGAGTTCCTACGGAACCCGAAGTCATTGAGCTCCCAAAGCGGACAATATTGTGCTACGGTGATGGATAAATTATTTTTTTTGGGTTAATTTAATTGTCAGGGGTGGAGAAATTTACAACAGAAATGAAGAAACACAAAGTTGTGGTGACTGGGAAAATCGACCCACAAAAGGTGTTGAAGAAACTGAGGAAAAAGACGGGCAAAAGAGTGGAGATTGTGGTTGACAAGGAAGAACAACCAAAAGATGCGTCGGCTGAGGGAAATCTTACAAAACCTAATGTTTGTCCACCATTTTTTGATTGCTTTAAAGAGAGAGAAATTCTTTTTATGCTCAGTGATGAGAACCCAAATGCTTGTTGCATTATGTGGTAGGGACGAGGAAGTAACAAAACTTGTGTTAAAAAAGATGCCAATTGCGCCCATCTTTTACGTAAATAATTATGGAATTAACAAAACAGACTTGCAGTGATCTGGGCGAGCGCATGCAATAGACAGTAGTTTATTATTTTTTTGGGTATTTATTATTATTTGTTCCATGTTTATTAAAAGGTGAAAATAATGCAATATTGTTCATGTTGGTGGCATTTATTTTGGGTTCTTCTCAAATAATCACCTCAAAACTCCATTTTATAGTAAAAATTACTTAAAACAGTTTTGAAGAAGAAAAATTTCTGAATTCAACTGTTATTTCATTTACTGTCATTTCATAATTGGTGAGAGATTTCTTTTTCTTTCTATAGTTTGATTAAGCAATTGGGAAACTAATTAAGTATTTGTTTTGTATATTTTATTTTCAGGACCAATAGGTCAAAGTGGCCTAACTTTTCAGATCAAGGGAATGTTTTGGAGAAATCACATACATGAGATATAATTGGAGGACTGAGGGATGTGGGCGCATCACTTGGGAATGTATTTATATGCGTCAGCAGATTGTTGTTATTTCGTTTTCCTTCGGCAAGAGATGACATGACATTTCATGACACATACTTTGGATAATGTGATTTCAAATCAATCACCACTAAATCATTTCCTGCCTACACATATATGGAATGTTGGGTCTTGGCCAAACCCTCTTAGAAACACCACAACCACAATTGCTCTCTCTCTCTCTCTAAAACGTGTCAACAATCCCTTAAAAATGCATTATTGAATTAAAATATTATTGTGATGTTAAACTCGTTCTATATAAATTGATTTCATCACTTACGGTCTCCTTTGACCATGATTACAATATGGAATGCATAATGCAATGCATGTGAAGCTTCCACCAGCGACCCACCTCTAGTTTTAACATATCCTATTGGGATAATTCACACTTCTGAACAATGTTTGTCCTACTTCATCAAATTTTCAGCACAAAATTAAATATGAGAATATGAATTAAAATTCCCCACTCTTATTCCACTTCTTTTATTCCCACTATCTTGAATAGTATGTATTTTTCTCGACACGAGCAATAATTTGCACTAAATTAATCTAAATTAGAAAAAAAAATTATTCAAACTTGAGTGCAAAGAACGATGAGGTAACTAAAGTTAAAAATTCAAAATTGACACCATGCAAAAGACTTAGAAGAGTTTTCTTCCAGTTAGAAATCAGTTCTTGCATTTATAGGACATGTTAAAGGCTCAGGTACCTCAACTAGTTGGAGCTACTAATTGATGAACTGGATTATTTAGGTTTCCTTCCGCTACCTAATGCTACTCCTTGCTCAGATATGGACTTTTTATACAGATGGAAATAGAGAGGATTACAGTTTCGGTTTTGTATACAGCGAAAAAATGGCGCTGCTTTGTAATTTCTGTCTTCATGACACTATCTCCAGGGCCTTTCTTTTTTGTCCAAGCATATTGAATACTGTTGCTGCAATGTGAGAAGGGGTGAGTCCAGCCTCGGCCAATTGATCAGCAGGGGAACCGTGGTCAATGTAACGGTCAGGAAGAACAATCGGTCTCCACTATAAGTTATAGACATCAACGTGAGTTTTTCAGGAATTTGAGGAGTATAATGTTAATGCAAGTCATTGAGACATCATACTAAGTATGTCGTAACAAACGACATATTCATACCTTGAGTTTTCCATCAAGAAGGCCATCGAGGGCCAGGAAATGAGCAACGTGAGAACCAAACCCTCCGATGGATCCTTCTTCAATGGTAATCAAAAACTCATGTGACTTCGCAAGGCTTCGAATGAGAGCTCGGTCCAGTGGTTTGCAAAATCGTGCATCAGCAACTGTTAGGCGCAAACCATGGGATTCCACCAAAGAAGAGGCAGCCAAACAGCTCTGTACTGCTGCTCCGTAACCCAAAAGTGCAACTCTTTCCCCTTCGATCAATATTCTTCCTTTTCCCACCTGTAGGCAAATTGCCAAACATTCAATCATTTTTAAGTATTTGAGACTTATGGTTACTATATATATATATATAGTAGTAGAGACTGCTGAAAGTCACCTCAAGAGGAGTGCCTTTATTCCCTAGTGGCAGCTCAACACCAACCCCATTTCCTCTTGGGTATCGGAAACAACTTGGTCGGTCATCTATGGCAGCAGCAGTGGCTACCATATGGAAAAGCTCGGCCTCATCAGAAGGAGCCATCACTACCATGTTAGGCAGGCATGCCATGAAAGTGACATCAAAAGACCCGGAATGCGTAGGACCATCAGCTCCGACCAGTCCAGCTCTGTCCATAGCGAATCTCACTGGAAGCTTTTGCAAATCTACGTCATGTACTACCTGTGGCATGAATGTGGAAATGAAATCTTTGAGTTTGTATACTTTTCAGTAGTATTCTGACTATCTAAGAATAGAACCGTACCAGTTTTTGAAGGAAGATAAAAATGATGAAGTTAAAGATGAAAGAAGCTAATAGCTTGCCTGGTCATAAGCTCTCTGCAAGAAAGACGAGTAAATTGCACAGAAAGGTTTTAGGCCTTCACAGGCCAGACCTGCAGCAAAAGTAACCGCATGCTGTTCTGCTATTCCAACATCAAAGCATCTTGTTGGAAAACAGCGAAGGAAGAGATTCAACCCTGTTCCACCTCCCATTGCAGCATGGATCGCAACAATATCTGTGTCCGCTTCAGCTTCAGCAATCAAAGCCTCTGCAAAGTATGTTGTGTAAGATTGTGTACTAGCACTGGCTTTGAATTGCTTTCCGGTTGCAGGATCAAACTTGGCCACTCCTGCAATATCAAAAGAAAAACTACTTTATTCATCTTTCATTGACTTTATCCAGATTAAGCATATATGCAGACGACATGAATGAGATCTTTTTAACTGCATTAAAGACGTTCAGTTTTCCTTCTATAGCATCATCAGCGAATAAATTGTTTCCATACAATAATGGATCTAATTTCAGAAAATAATTCAATGAATAATAATGCACTCGTGTGCTCAACTGCCTCTTCGGAAAGAAATGTATATTACCATGGTACTTGTCTGCCGCTTTTTCTGCATACGGATATCCCTGGCCTTTCTCAGTGATAAGGTGGATCAGGACAGGACCCGTTGTTTTGGTAATTTTAACCTCTTTGAGAATGGAAATAAGATCATCTATGTTGTGACCATCAACTGGACCTATATAATATAGTCCAAGCTCTTCAAATAGTGATGAACCAGTACCACGGATCATTCCTCGAGCATGCTCATCAACTTTTGCTGCCAGATTATGCACAGAGCCACCAATTTGTTTGGTAACTCCCTGCAACAATCTCAAATCAAAGTTGAACCCTAATCAGACTTGGCGCATTTTGGAATGCAAGTGTTTTCTTTATGCTTAATTATGTTTAGACTTCAGTATTACTTACCTTGGCAACCTCTCTTAATTCTCTGAGTGGCCTGTTTGATTGCAATCTACTGAGAGCACTACTCAAAGCTCCTACTGGTGGGATGGGTCCGTCGAGACTAGCAGTAGGTAAAGAAACCTGTTTATTGTCATTAAGGATAATAATCATGTCAGAATCAAGGTACCCCGCATTGTTCATGGCTTCATATGCTTGTCCTGCTGTCATGGCACCATCACCTATTACAGCAACTACATGATTGTTTCCTCCCCTTAGATCCCTCCCTACTGCCATCCCTGCATTTTCAATAACATCCCAGATTATCAAAACCAAAAACAGGAATGGACCTTGCGACCGAAGAATGTAATCCGGACTCAAGAAACTAAATAGAAGTCGGTAAAAGGAATCTGATTTTTCCAGCGTGAGGATAATAACATTTTTCCATAGCATTAGATGCATGATGCAAGTATATCAATTCGTAAATAGTTACATGAGAGTATATCTTAAACTCAATTGCTAACCAAAAAGGAACACTATCAAGTTCAATACACTTGAGTTGTCAATGTTGAGCAGAGAAGGAAATTACCCAAGCCTGCAGAGATAGTGGTAGAACTGTGACCAGTGCCAAAGCAATCGTACTCGCTCTCAGAGCGCTTAGTGAAGCCGGCCAACCCATCTGTCTGTCTCATGGTGTGCATCTTATCTCTCCTTCCAGTCAAGATTTTGTGTGGGTAAGACTAGGCAAATCAAAAAACAAAATTCACAATCAAACATGGAAAAAGTTGAAGTTATCACATCAAAGCTTTTTCGAAATCAGAAAAAGAGAGCAACCCAAGAAAGAAGGTGAGGTTGAAACCTGATGGCCAACATCCCACAAGATTCTGTCCTGAGGAGCATTGAAGACATAGTGAAGAGCCACAGTGAGCTCCACAACACCAAGGCTTGAACCCAGGTGTTCTCCAGTTTTGGAAACATTGAAGATCACATCAGACCTCAGCTCATCTGCTAGTTGCTTAAGCTCCTGAATTCAACGGTTAATTACCACAAACAAACAAGAAAAATTAAAACCAATGCAAATATATATTTAAAAAAAAGGTTTTTTTAGTCAAAATGGTTCTTAGATTTGTATAACACATAACTATAATTCTTAACATTTAAAATCAATAGAAATGATCCTGAGTTTGTCCACCATTCATTACTTTGATCCTTCCGTAAAAAAAACTCTGTTAAGTTGAGGGTATAACACATAACTTTGATTCTTGAGATTTGCATAACACATAATTTTGGTTCTTAAGATTTGCACTACATATAACTTTGGTCCGTGAGATTGTCCATTATCCATCATTTTGATCATTCCATTAAAAAACTCAATGATCACTTATCGGAGTTTTTTTAATGGAATGACCAAAATAATAGACGGTGGACAATCTCATGAATCACTTCTATTGATTTTAAATCTCAGAAATCAAAGTTATGTGTTATAAAAATCTAAAAGATTATTTTGACTAAAAAAACCCAAAAAAAAAAAAGAAAACTAAATTAGGACAAAAAGGTTATGTACCTTGACAGAAAGATTTTTCATGTGAATTGGATAGTTGATGGTGTCCAAGACAGGAGTGGGAGGTCTCTGTGAGTGATACTCCCCTTTCTCTGACAGTGATGCACAAATCCCACTTGGCCTTTTTCTCATCACCTGCTCCAAATGATAACAAAAAAACAACTCATTTTTGTTATTTTCTGAATGATGAAATTGACATTTTAAACAAAACCCATTTCTCCAAAACTCAAATCATCCATGAAATGAGTGCCTTTTCTGAGATTCACAGGAAAGATGCAAACTTTTTCTGACCTGATTGAGCCTCTGCTGAGATGGGCATGGCAGAGATGTTCCCACAGAGACGAGGGATTTCTGAACATCTGCAGGTGCTGCTGATTTGCTGATATCTGCGGGAAAAGAGAATGTGCAGAGAGCCATTGCATGTAGAATAACAAGAAATGGAGCTCAAGAACTTCAAATTTGTAATCAGTGGGGAAAAGAAGAAGAACCCACAAAAGGGTCTTGAGAAATGAAAATCTCTGGGGCTCCCAGAGTCTTTCCCACTGAAACGGTGATAGTGTCAGTGGGAGTTACAGAATAACATATGAAGAGAGAGAGAGAGAGAGAGAGAGAGAGTGGATGGTTGGAAATTAAGAGCCTTTTTTCAAAGACCAAAAATGGTGAGTATGTAACTGTCATTACTTCCATTCCATAGCTTTGATGTTTCTGGGTAACTGTTTTGCGTCTGCATTCGCTGGACCACGTCATCAGAAATCTCATGAAGGATAGAGTGGATGATAGGTATGAATAGGGAAATTTTTAATTTTTACGGGAACATACGTGGTACATCACGTGTTTTAATAAGAGTGGTGAGAAATTTTATTTTTTAAATTATTAATTTTTTAGCATACATAAATTACCATTTCTATAATGACATGTAATGTACTACTCCGTATACCGGTCACACTAAAAAAATTTCGTATGAATACACCAAATTACTTTTCAAATTGTGTTGAATTACTGACGTGGCTATCCCAGGATTTGCCACAACAGCATTTTTAATTAGTCAACAAATTTGGTAGCGTATTGAGTTGGACATCAACCATGCACCAATGCAAAAATGCCATGTACTGAAAATGAAATGAAATGATATTGAATTGTTGAGTTGAATAGTTATACTAAAGAGTTGAAATAAAATGCTGATAACTAAGACATTTATTATATTAGAGCATTATATACACAATTTTCCCTAGAAAAACAATATTATCTACGCGAGTCAAGTCTTACAAACGTATAGTAAGAATCGAACCTAAAACTTCTCATTTACAAGTGAAGAGGAATATCACTAGACCATATCAGTAGTCCCTTTTTATATTGTTAGAACCAAATTGATCATAACAGAATTGTCATTTTCCATGTTCATGGTTAAAACCAAACAAATCATTACAAAGCTGCCTTTTTCTTTTCATCGTGGTTAAAATTAAATGGATTATGGCAAAACTGTCTTTTCCTTGATTTTTGTAGTTAAAACCAAATGGATTACGACATAGACGTCTTTGTCTTAATTTTTGCAGTTAAAACCAAACGGATTATGACATAGCCATCATTTTCTTAGTTTCTACGATCAAAACTAAACAAATCACGACAGAGCCTTATTTCCTTCATTTTTGCGCTTAAAACCAAACAGATCACAACAGAGTCGTCTTTGCCTTAATTTATGCAGTTAAAACCATATAAATCACGACATAACCACCTTTTCTTTGAATTTTGCAATTAAAACTTAACTGATCATTGGCAGAGCAGCATGTTTTCGTATTTTGCAATTAAAACCAAATTGATCACAACAGAACTGCCGTCATAGCCGGCACCCTGTTTTCTTATTTTACTCTTATGTTTGTTTCTATGCATTTTGGTCTCATGGATGCCGGAAGATTTATATTTTGGTCCTACGGCATCCCCCAACAAGATTTCAAATTTGAACTCAATGCTTCCACAGTTGCTTCATACATTTTGCAATGTGTTGTTGCCTTGGTTGGTTAATAGACAAGAATCTTTGTCGGTTGCTTAATTCTCAAGCAATGTAGGGTTTGGTCTTATCATTAGGGCTGTGCTATCCACACACCCCTTTTTACTTCTCACACACCCCTTGTTAATTTATGTCCGTTGATCTTCTTCAATTCATCCGATCTGATGGCTGAAAGCTAAAAAAGTGTGAGAGAAGTAAAAAATAATGCGTGGATATCACACCCCCTATCATTAAACTGTGGGTTTAACATTTAGTTGGTGGTATGAAGAATTATCGTATTTTTGTTGCTTCTCGTTTTATTGTTGACTTATTCAATCATGTGACTACAAACAAGAGAGAAGATGCAAAGGGAAAAAAACGAGAGTGCAGAGATCATTTTTCTTTTCCAATTATTGGATTCAATGGAATGGTTTCACATAACAAAATCTGAGGAGCGGGATACAAATACGAGAGCGTAAGTACAAGAATAAATAATCTTAAGCACATGTCGTTAGAATAACAAATGAGAAATCATTGTTGTACTTTCAAAAATTTTATGTAATTACTTTTTAAACATCAAACAACTTGTTATTCTTCCACTTACCACTAAGAAACCAGTACATTGAGACCATCAACATCTCAACCAAGTCAATTGAAGTCAACACAGGAACCTGATGCATGTATAAAAGAAAATACTCAAAGCCATAACTTGTTTTTGGCTTCTGTGCTGAGGCAAGTGCGGCCCTCTTTGCCCGAGCTTGTCTTGCACCCTACTCGACCGGCTTCTTCTGGAGATGGAAAAAACCGGCGCCAGCCGCTGAGATGAGTAGGTAGCCTTTCACGACAATTTGACTTGGAGCCGGCTGATCATCTCTTTTTTATAGTGCGCTTTTGCACAACAATTTTGGTCGGCATGTTTAACGTGGTTTCGAGTTTCTTCTTGGTTTCATGACATTCATGGTTTTGGTACCCCGCATTTCCCATTACCACCAAGAAATCAGTACACTGACCATCAACATCTAAACCCACACAACCTGAAATGTACATTTGCCTCTTCAGATGGGACTTAAAACCTAATCAAACTTTGGCGGATGAATCTCCAATTCCAACTCTGGTGACTAGGATTCTCGGGTACAACCAGGAATGTTAACCCCATTCGGTATCTCTCTCATCACGTGTACATGCCGGATTTTCTCGGTGACTACAACCCAGAAAACAACTCAAAAGCAAACAGCTCGGAACGTAAGACAGAAAAGCAAACATCATATGGCCGAGACACAGAACCAAAGAAGACATAACAATGCTATGATAGAATGATGGTCTTCCAAAAAAGAAACCACAACACATTAACTCTTAATAAAGCTCTTCAATATTTCAATCACCCATGTTTTCGAACAGCATGAGAATAGTAGATTAGCAATCAAAATTTGAGCTTATTATACTTCAGCTAGAGAGAGAGTGTGTGAACTTTCATCAAGATACAACAAAAAACACAAATAATTAAATCAAGTTTTTACCTTTAAACAGAGTGCCTACAAGTACTACAGGAAAAAGATGGACAACAGTGAATAAATCCACATTGCACTGACAACTTGCTCATTTCATTTTTGCCTCGGTAAATAGAACATGACGATTTACCCGAGGGTCGAATTTCCGGAACTCAAGCTTCTCTTGGACCCTACTCGGCTTCTTCTTGACATAGAAAAAACCAGTCCCAGCTGCTGAGATAAGTCGGATGAACAAGGTAGCCTTCTTCTTCTTTTCACCCATTCCTTAATTCAAATTGCAGAAAGACAAAGCCAATCAAAAGTGAGAGAAAACACAAGTTTCACTATACAAACAAAAAAATATTCAAACTAAAGTTGTGCATCTGCAGTCCAAAACAAAATTCCTACATGGGTTCAATATCGCCCCCCAACAAAAAGGAAAAAAGAATGAAGAGGAACAACAACTATATGTAATCCAAATCAATTAAAGTAGTTCTCGGAACAGAAAATCCCATCAAATTGCATGGGGGGAGGTGTAAAATAGCATCCCAGAACGGAACCGCTTGGGGAAAGTCATAAACATAGGCATACATAACATCAACAAAGGCCTTTGCACAAACAAGTTTACAGCTTTACATGGCTGAGAATCTGAGATTCATTTTCCCAAGCCCACAGAAAAACCAAGGTTGAATTTCTCTAAACGTAATCACTTGAGTTCATAAATCTGAATAATATCTGAGAGGGAGGTGATTTGTACACACACTTTTTAGCACTCTCCCCCCCCCCCCCCTTTTCTTCTCTTCTCTTCTTCTCTCTCCACCCACTTTTCATTTCTAACCATCAGACTGAATAAATCCAACAAAAATGATGAAATGATTAAACAGAGGTGTGTGCGAAGCTAAAAGGGTGTGCGTTTTTCATTTCCCTACTTGTTACCAAGTCACTGCCCCTCAATTGATATGATATTTACCTCTAGACAAACACTCATAAACACAACTACCCTAGAACCATAACAATACCGTTATCCAACCGCCTTTCAAATTGCTGCAACCCAACTCAAATTACCCAAATCCAGAGAAACCCCAGTTGAATTCTGAGCAGAAACTGATTCAGATTGGGAAAAAATTAACTGGGATTTGGGAATCCAAGTGGGTTTTGAACAGGGTCAGATTGGTTTGGTTCTGGGTCTGATTCAACCTTCCATCAAATCACAGAAAACAACATAACTCCTACAACCATTCTCATTTCAAAACAAAAACACGAGTAAACAGAAAATCAAAACAAAAACCAAAATCAAAAGAAGAGGAAAAGCAGAAATGATTGAAGGAATTTCGGACTTACTGTTCAGCTTTTGGAAGCTGCAATCGCCTGAGAGGTACAAAGCCGAAATGGAGTCTGAAATTGGAGAGGGCGAAGCCGCGGTGAATTCAAGGGCAAGGGTTTAGGGCTGTTGAAAGACTAAAATGCCCTTTTAATCTTTTCTTCTTTTCTTTTTGGCCCTCCAAAGTCACCTGGTGTTTGTGGACTTCTCCGGATTAACATTTTTTAGCTTCGAAGTTTGGATCTTTTTTCATCGGAATCGATCGGAGGAGGAGCTGGAGATGGCGAGCGCGGTGGACCCAGCGGGAGATCCAATCCCAACGTCGGAGGTGCTGACGGCGGCGGCGAAGCACATTCAGTTCAGCTGCCAGGCCGAGAACGTGGCTTTCCTCAAGTGCAAGAAGAAGGACCCGAACCCCGACAAGTGTCTCGACAAAGGTCGTCAGGTCACCCGATGCGTCCTCACCCTGTAAGCCAATCTCAAATCCGCTTCCTACTTTTTTCAATTTTCTGAGTTTGTTATGAATTCTTACTTGTTTGTATGTGAACCCTTTTGAATCGAAACGTTTCGGTGTTGTGATTTTTTTGTGAATTGAGGCTTGGTTTGCTCGATTGAGCTCAATGTGATTCATGGGTTATGCAATATGCTCAAATTTTTGGGAGACAGAGAACTGATTCAACAACAACAACAACAGCAAAGCTTTTTCCCACCAAGGGAGGTCAGCATTATGAATCCTAAAACATCATTGCGCTCAGTTAGACAGGGAACTGATTAATCGAAAATAAAACTAAAGTACACTAAACAGATAATAAGCCGTTATAAACTGCGGTTTAATGTAGAATTGGGAGAAAGTAATGCCAAAATTTGTAAGGTATAGCTGCATATACTTTGTATTTGAACACTTCTCTGTGCTTAATTGTTCACCCTCGGTGTTAGAGTATTATCTGTAGCTTAACATGACATATAAGCATTTTTCATGTCTTATCAAGTAGCCTAAAAACACTAGAGTATTTCCCCAAAGAGGAAAAAATAGAAAATCCTGCCGGTCTTTACTTGTATAGAGACACTCTCAGACCATTAGTTAGCATATGTTGTGTGGACACTCCCTAACAGCGTTTGAATTGGATCAGTTTTCAAGTATAACCATTCCCTTTACGTTCTCTTGCCACAACTTTTTGATATCTGCATTTCCTTCGTTATATGTTCACTATTTTCATATTTGGAATTGGTTGTGATTTGATCATCCTGTTAGTTTCATGATGTCTATGCAAACTTGCGCGCCATCACACGCATACACAAGCGCTATGCCTTGTTACGCATCTAAATACGAGACATTTCTCCCTGCAGGCTGAAAGATCTTCATCAGAGCTGCACAAAGGAGATGGATGCTTACGTCGGGTGCATGTATTACAATACAAATGAGTTTGATTTATGTCGCACAGAGCAGGAGGAATTCGAGAAAAATTGTCCGTTGGCATGAGAATCCTACCCCTAGTTTCTGGAGCTCAACTTATTTTCTTAGTTGTTATGTCCAAATTTTGCCTGGGAAATGCTTCCTTTCCTTGCAGGAAAATTTACACCCTTTTAAAGCTTGATTGATTTCTCTTGTATAGCACTTGGTACTGTAATGGAATAATTGGTTTAATCATGAAAAAACCAATCCTTGTTTGGTTTCCTTTAAATTTAGTATTACGAAAATTCAAAGACAAATATACCCTCTTCTTTCTTCGTCAACGTGGACGTGGGATTTATAAATCAAAGAAGAATCAATGGGGGCGGAAACAAGGAGACTAGAGGAGTAACTAAAGTGAGAAACGCCAGCAAAATTACCAATTAGAAAACTTAGATCCACCCGACTAACATACAGATAGAATAAATCCATACGATGAAAACCGATATGGTCCAAAACTCATATTTACCAAAATATTCATCATCTTCCAGAATACTAAGCATATCACTCTAGCTAACTATGCTCAGAGTACACTTTGAAGCAGCAACCAACGTACCCGACAGGCATCAGCGAGGACTGCAAAGCCAAAAAACATAATAACAATATACAGATCATCACCACAGTAGTTACGTCTAGCCAATGTAATTAAATAGATAGGATATAAATGTGACTGTACAGCAATAGTTGTAGAAATTATCACCACTGTTACCTATTTGGTTAGCCAATTTAAGCATATAGGGTCATACCCGCACATAACTTTAGGGAACCTCAATCACCAACTACATTGACACCAGACTATTAGTATCCTTCCTAGTAGGGACTTCGAACGTAAACCCTTTTTCAACTCGTTTTACAAACATATACAGAACTTTTGTTGGCACATCAGCATTAAAAGAAAGGTAAAGCGGATAAGCTTTCATCCTTGCCTAATGACTAGAACCAAGCCCAAAGTAATTAACAGCCGCACTCAAATTATACAACTAAACCCAACCGAAAAATAACGGACAATGACTTGGAAGTAGATATTGTTTTCAAAATAAAGTTGAAATTAAAGATACAAAATGCACTAAACTCCACTTCCATAAGGGTATCTCTCACACATTATATGAAACTATATTCCGCAAAATTAAGACCATACTAAACTCCACTTCCATAAGGGTACCTCTCGCACATAATATGAAACTATACTCCGCAAAATTAAGACCATACTCAGTGGCCTCAACCAAGCTTATTATGATTACACTAGAAATTCTTTACATGAGTACAAAGTGGAAGAGGCACCTACCTGTAGGATCGCGAACGAGACCTTGACGGACTGCGACTGCTAACCCTAGGACTCCTTGATCTGCTGGATGCATACTCTCTCACATCACGAGGACTCCGACCATTCTCCCTCGGACTTGGGGACCTCCTGTAGTCTCTTCCATCCCGTGGTGAGGGAGATCGTGAAATTGATCTAGACTGTACTGGGGAGCGATAATCATCTCTAGCCCGACGGTCCCTTCAAATGGAAAAAACACTTTATTATGTTTTGAAAAAACAAAAATTGCAGATGCAGGAGATATCTACTAAAACCATCTTTCATTTTCCACAAGCGAAAAACTTCCCCATTAATAATCTACTACAAGTGCACAAGAAATAGTAATGTGGGCATAAATCAACAATTCAGAACCAATTATCTGTTTCAAGATAACAGAACAACTACTTACATCCTCTTCAAAATCTAACCGATCAAGATATGACCTTTACTTTACCTGAACCTTTACAGGGTTCTGAACAAAAAATATGACACTTGGTCCAAACACTCAGAGTTAGGCTAGTACTGGTTGATCAGCATCTGAAAACTTCATAGCCCACTTTGCCCCAACTTTTCTAAAACCAGATAATATCTTTTCCTTCAACATGTCACCATACTTTACCGGTAAAAACTTTGAGTGGCTTCATTTCTTTGCAGATGATTTCTTTCTTTGGCCAACTATAAGCTTTATATTCTTTCTTTACTGGATGGTATATGCAAAACAAGATATCAAACTTAACAATTTTTCTTCAAAAACTTACTTAAACAGCTAATATAAGAAGGAAAAGTAAATATATACTAGTAAAGATTCCAATATCTCTAGCACCCTGTTTAGCTTGTCAGTTCAGTTGGTCGTAGAAAGGTCTCACAAACTGAAGTCATAACAATAGGAACCCAATGCCATTTGCAGATGAAAGTTGATGGTGGATATAGATGGTACTTATGGAGAGCATAGGTGGAAGGTAAAGAAGTTGCCCATCACTTGTATGATCTCTTTTCTCATTAAACTTTACTAATCCAGAAGTCTTTAAATATCCACCATAGTACTTATGGAGAGCATTGGTGGAAGGTAAAGAAGTTGCCCATCACTTGTATGATCTCTTTTCTCATTAAACTTTACTAGTCCAGAAGTCTTTAAACTATATCTGTATAACAAGGCCACCAGAAAATATTACACAATTCACTAAACACATGATACATGCAAAAGACGCGATCTCCATACCTAAAGAAGATTTCATTCTGCAATTTCACCAGAAACACAGGTATGTGAACATAAAAGTTGGATTCAGAGATTTTCCAATGAAAATGTGATCACCCTCTATTGTACTCATCCATGAAAACACGAATTCAAAAACTATAACCATTGATCAATTTTGGAAAAAATTATATCGCCACATGAAAATGTCGCTGATGAATCTACCCCACCTTTGAAAGGAGTAACCACCCAACCATGCAGACTACGGTGTTATAGAAAACAAAACAGTGTTAATGAATAAAAGATACGTCTAGAGATAATATACAGACCTTGAATCACGCCTAACAGGTGATGGTGATGGCGAGTAAGCTGTGACCAAAAAAGTTTGACGATAGTTTAGAAGAAAAATAGGAGCAAAATTATTTCACAAAGGACTTGAAATAAAATCATGCATGTCGATCAAAAAATGCCAAGTAAAAGTTTAACACTGACAACGATATTGCCGTCTAGGGGACCTTGGTGGAGTTCTCCTTCTGGAGCTTCCTCCATGTCGACTACTGCAGATAAATATAAAATAAAATAAAATAAAAATTGTATTCATGAAGTGAATATGTAATTATATTTGGGGAGGCATAATAAACTATGGGGTAGTATTGGAGCCAAATACAATGTACCTTACGCGAGTAGTTGTGCGCATTTCTTGCGGAGTTTTTCTATTCTCCTCAGCAAACACAATTCTTATCTCACGCCCACCAATAACTGTATGATTCAGTTGTTGCTTTGCTTCTGCTGCATCCTCACCATAACGGTACTTCACAAACCCAAAACCCCGTGGCTCCCTATGGATGGAAAGTATAAATGCTGAGTAAAAATAACTTACATTTGTGTTATCCAGAAAACCCAGAATTATATCAACTTTCACAGGAGTATCTATTCCAGCGTGCAAGTTTTACACCACTGAACCACGGCAGAAGAAGAATCACATTATGTACAATAATTCACGCCATAACAATCAAGAATGGCATACCCTGTGTAGTAATTCTTAGGAAGATACACATCCTTTACCGGGCCAAATCGCTCAAATGGGATCCTAAGATCTTCTGGCCTGCATATAACAGGTAAACAATGAATAAGCCTGGATGTTTAGTAATGGAAAAAAAAAAAAAAAAAACATGCATCCGTAATTTGGGGTTAATGAACTTGTTGTAATTAACTCAACTAGCTGAAGGATTAAGTCTATAACCATGTAAAATATAGTTATTCTTCGATAATATACTAGTATTACCATTAACAAGAGATTAACACACAATCCCATATTTAGAAAAGTAAGGCACAAAAAATTACTAAAAAAATACCAATCATTCACAATTACAACCCAATTTTAGTCACGCATTTGAAGAATAAACTACATAAACATAAAAACGCCACAACATTAAAAATCCTGATTGATATAAATACAAATATATATACATATCTATGCATACACAGAGATGGGAGAGAGATACATATACATATATACCTAGCGTCGAGAGGAAGATTGCGAACGAGCAAACCGGAAGGGGCGGGAGAACTACGGTCTCTGTGAGACCTACTGTCACGGTGTCGATCACGCGGCTCGTCGTCGTATCGCTTGCGTCCGCGAGGCGGAGTCCGACTGCGCCGACGAGGGCTGTAGCTTCTGCTTCGGCTTCTGTACCTGGCCATTGTTGCAGCTAGGACTTGAACCCTGAGCGCGCAAAACCCTAACCCTAGGTCCCCGGTCTGATGGTGAAGAAGAACCGAAAGGAACGAGCGCTTGCTGCTTGTGTGAGGTGTTTTGGGTTTCGGATTTGGATGGAGGAATTGAGTGCGGTGCAGATACCGATTTAATGATGCGCGCTCTTCAAGTAACTCGGTTCAGTGTGTTGGCCAAATAGTAGTAACCTGGCCCACCTAGCTACCAAGGCCCAACCCAATCGATTTTTTTTATATTTCTTTATTTACAAGAAACTCCTAAGAGCAACGGAGTATGATTCTCTCATCTCCTAATCTTTCTCCTTTTTCATCCCTTTTAATTTAAAAGGTTACGATTATGCCATGTCTACATTTTGTTTTGAATTTTTTATGTTGAGAAAAAGACAAAAAGAAGAGTGTAGGAGGAGATGGTAATGATAGGGAAGAGAATCCTACTACAATAACAAGCAATTACTGCCCATGCTATTCAGCCAAGGCAATTACTGGCTTAAGTGCATTTTCACCCCCAAACGGAATTGTCCAAGCTATTGTTATTAAAATATTACTATTTTTATTATAAAATAGTAAAAGTTAATTTTATCTTTAATTTTAGATATGATTTTTAATCAATCTCGTCACGTCACGTTTCATTATCCGAAAGTATAATTTTTATGGATAGACTTTATCGAGTACATTTATAGGAAAAATTATAATTCTTTTTAATACTTTTCTGAGTTGTTTCATAATTTTTATCTAACTCAATTAATATGGACCGTTGAATTACATTGTATGGTTTTTCCAAAGACCCAGATTTTGACATGTAATCCCAACAGTAATAATAGATTTTTTTTTTCTGATTTTTTTTTATTTATAAGCCCCAAAAATCTGGATTGTTGATTGAGATATCTAACTGACTAGAATTCGCCACATGTACTCACCGTTAGATTTGAATTCAAATTTTATTAACCTTTGGAAATCCAATGGCGCAAAGTGAGCCACATAGCCCCCATTTCTAAAGCGCTTAGTGCACCTGCAACGCGAGCTTCAACCGTGTTTTCTTGTTTGCTCACTCGTAAATTCCTACGGACGTAATTCATGCGCTTAACGCAAAAAATTTAACGTGACTGATGTCAGCCTAACATCAGACGCAGTCACAAGGTTAGGCTATTCTAGCCCATGTGCTTGGTTGGGCCCGCTATAGCCCAGCTAATTGGGCAGCAGTGGTTGAGTAGTTTTGGGTAGCTTAGGGGATTTGGATGGCCTAATAACCCAAGCAATTTGGTTGGGGTGGAATTACTCTAAGAGGCTAAGACTCGAGCAAAGACAATATAAACTCGTAATTCATACAATTCAAATTTGAAACCTCATAAGTACAGGAAAAATGCCACTAAATCGGAGTGCTAATGAATACTGGGGTACAACTTTCATCTCTTCACATAACTTGAGATCTCCTGCTTTGAAATTTTTTCCATCATCACATGTTTATTTACTATTAGTGAGAATGCAAGGTATGCATGCCATTTTTATCCTTGACAAATTATTTGTTAACCAACCAACAAAGGCATGAAAGAAATAATTCGGCCTCATGCTGAATTATGTGTTCCTTTCCCAATTTCTACAAATATCATGACGAATTGAGTATGTTTATCTCATACTTAGTACAATTTTAGTGTCATTTAATTTTCTAAAAGTGTAAATAAGCCTGTCCTAATTTAATTCAATCCATTCCACTATTAAACACGAAAGGAAGCCTTAAACAATATCTTTCATTTTACACTAATTAATATTATGGTCTAGTGATATTTATTTTCAGTTGTAAGTGAGATATGTTAAGTTCGGTTATCGCTAAAGGCAAATTTGAACAAAATTATTTCTAACCCATTATGAGGCTAAGTCCACTTCCTTTCCTCAGTGTAGATAATTTCGTTGTTCAAAAAAAAAAATTATATTTTTCATTTTACACGCATCACTTTTCTATATTCCTAATGGTTCTACTATTGACACTTGACAGTCAAAACCCAATTAACGACAAAACATAATAATGTTCATTTCGATATTTGTATAATTATCTCACATTTTTTATATGGGTGGTTCTATCTACACTCCTTTCATAATTTTCATCTGTTAATTCAAATGAATTAAAAAGTATAAAATGACAAAGTTAACAGGATGTGTGAAAATAAAAAAGAATGTGTGGATAACACCATCCTTTCGATATTTCTAAGCCAATGTCCCTTCGTTTCAGTTGCACACTTATTTTCTTCTTTTTGCACACATATTATTATCTTGTCACTGATTATTCTGTACTTTATTTGATGAAAAGCTAAACATAAACATAAATGCACATGAGAAAAATAGAGGTGTGGAATCATTTTCCTATCATTTTTTGTGTTTTATTTTCTGTTTATGATTGTATAAATATTCAAATAATTTTATTTTCTATGGACAATATTCAAATTATTTAAAAGTTGAACCCGTAGCTTAATTTGAGCCCTAATTATACCAATTGAGTGTATTAAGAGAATATGCCATATACTCAAAACTCTGTTTAGTGGTTGCAAAACCACCAGCATACGTGTAATGCCATATATCAAAATCATTGATTTTATCCCTTTAGTACTACGATCTAGTAGTATTCCTCTTCATTTGTAAGTGAGAGGTTTTAGATTCGATTCTTGTCAAATGCGAATCTGAACAACATTATTGTTAGCTCATTGTGAGGCTAAGCACATCCCCTCCCATTTAGTGTAGATAATATCGTTTGTTCCAAAAAAAAAAAAAATCATTGACTTTATCCCACACAATAATTCACATTGCACAAAATCTCGATGACCTTGAAACATAAAAACTACCATGTATCCAAATTCTTCCAAGAAAACATCAAGTGCCAATTAGTAGCCAATTTATTCATTTATAGATGAATCATCCATCATCTTCGTATCATTAGATGATATGAGAGGAAATGAATCTAAATAAGATCCCGCCACTTAGTACTAATGAGTAATGATGTTTCTCCAATTTTTTTTTTTTCCTTAATTTCGGAGAAGTGTTATTGGCACTCAAAAAATCTCATTCTACACTTCTCAAAGTGTATTTTTCTTTCCAAATATAGAAAGTTTGGAGTGTAGAATGAGATTTTTGGAGTGCCAATAACAATTCCCTAATTTCGGTAACAAAAAATTCAGGAGGGGAGGCTACACCATGTTAAGCGCAGGCATATCACAAGCATCTTTGAGAACTTACATAATGGGTCTTAACTTCTTTAATGTTTCTCTTTGAGGACTTACAAAGAAAATTTATAACAAAAATCAATCTACAAATTCATTAGCGGACATGTAAAAGAAGTCATGAAACAAAACAAAATGATGAATAATTTAGTAGAAACTATAAACACTAATCCAAATTGCAACAACAAATGATATTCAAGTGATCATATATTGGCTAAAATTTGGAACACTTTGGAGGTGGGGGCTTATGTGCAATTGCGTAAGTTGCTCCTCCTCAAAGTTGGAACTGTGTTTAAAATGGCTTTTAATTTTCATTTTATGTACATTTTTCTTGCACGTATATTTACATCTATGACATCATCCTTCTCCACTCCTAATTTTTTATTATACACATATATCATATTTATATCTAACAAACGAAAACTAAAAGTGGAATTATTATCCAACAAATCCTAAATTGAAATATTTTAAGTGCCTCTCATGACCCCAAATCTGATTGGAATTTGAAAAGTGTGTCTTTTCCGCTAAATTGAATTTGATAAATGCAAGGTTATTGATTGTAGTGGCATAAAGTCTTTAACCAAGGACCAAGATTCTCTCCAAATCCTTTGTGTGCATACTCTTGAAATCAATTCATCATAGTCGTTCACCATATATCGAACAGTTACGATCAGGTTAATCTCTCCTTTTCTTCTTCCTCGTTTTATCCACCTTCACAGACCTTGAACTCCCCCAACAACCCACCACTACCTACTCCAACCCTTCCCCTCTCAATTTCTCTCTCTCACAACACCTACCGCCTCTCGCTCCTCTATTCCCATCGTTGTGACATAATCACCCCGTCCTTTATGACCTCTTCTGCCTAGTCTAGCAAAGAGAAGCTGTTGGCGTGGAGGTGACGAGAGGACGCCGCAAGAGCGAGGACGACGGAGAGGGGGGGGAAGAGTAGTTGTAGGCGTTAAATAGTTTTGACAATGAAAATCAAAAGAAGTGGTCATTGAGTATGTCTACTGTAACTCATTTTGGTCATTCCGTTAAATACTTGTCAATATTCTAGTTAAATTGTCATGTGAACACCTTTTTAAGGGTCTTTTTGGTCAAACCAATCCTTCCACAATTCCACTTAACAAGATATTAATAGATTTTTCACGGAATGACCAACATAATTTACAGGGGACAAACTCAATGATCACTTCTATCAATTTCATTTGGAAACAAAAGTATGTCAATCTCAGAGACCATTTTGGTTAAAAAGCCAATAATTTTGGGAATGTATTGGTGAGAGAACGAGAGAAGAGGGAGAAGAGAGAGAAGGCAAAGAACAAGAGTTTGGGCGGGATCGTAACCGTTCGATCTGTGGTGAACGACCAAGATCAATTGATCACGAAGGTCCACACATAAAGGATCCAGAGAGGATCCTGGTCCCTTAAAAGGCATCACGCTTATGTATTTACTCCTCAAAACTCGATTTTTTTACAAAGTATTTTATCTTAAAAAATGTCTCTCATTTTATTATTTATTTATTTTCTATATAATTCCTGGTGGTAAGGGGCAGAAGGAGAGCATGATTTTGCAACCTTTTGTTGTTTTATGCTTAAGAGCAATCTATGATTGTATAGACAATTCAAGTAGGCAAAATTGTATTATACAAGACTGATATGGTATGTTGTCTATTTATATAAAACGAGATGTGAGGTTCAATTTACCTATTTATGTTGAAGCAGGCAACATCCTACTTATTTTAAAAAAGTAGATAAAATTTACTTCCTCAATTACCAACCGCGTTTAAGCAAATTTTTTAACTGCATAACTCGTCAAAACAAGATTGCCTACTCATCATAAAACAATTAGTGGTTGCTCTTCATACTTTGTCCTGATGATTTTGCAACACAGAATATGCTCTCTGATTTTTATGATTATATTCGTGGGGCCGCGTTAGCTGTCAAGCTCCTCTTATCTACTATTGCTTTTGAATTTGTTGTTCGACAGATGCACATGTCCTCACCATTTCACTGCCAGATTTGGCAGCCAGTCAACCTCAAACCATCCGACTTCACCAACCCACTCTCTTTGAAGCTTACGCGCCACGCACATCGCCACAATCTCACCGTGCAATTCGCGCGTAAATGGCAAGCGCGCCTAAATCAACGTCCCTTGCCGGACGGAATAAACCCAAAGTGTCGTCATAATTTGCCACACTCGTCCAAAACGACCACGCCACCCTTTTTATTGGAATTAACTTCGCTGTCGAACATTTCAGCAGGAATTCTGGCTTACATTCAATTTCAGATTGACATATATTCAATTTTTGATTAAAAAAAATTAAAATTTGGACACATGTCCACCCAGAATTGGATGTAAGCAGGACCTCGAGTTGAAATTTCAGTCTTGTTCATTTTTATTATCTTCAACTCGGAGGGAAAATAAAAAATGGTTCGTGCAATCCAGGCGGAACACGACAGGCTCTCCACTCTTAAATTGTCTTATGATATTTTTAATGAGAATCCTCTTTGGATTCTTTTTGTGGGATCCTATTAAGCAGGAGGTGCATTTTGTTGGATGAGGATCCTCTTTGGATTCTTTTTGTGGGATCCTAAAAATTCTCACATCATAACTGTTCATCGTACATAATACGGTCATTTTTCGTCAAGTACTATTTATGTTTAATTTTAAATAAAAAAATTCAAATAATTTATGACCGCACGATGTACAATGAATGACTAAGATGTGAGGATCTCTAGGATCCCCACCATTTGGATCTGGATGGGATCCAAATCCCATTCTATTCACCGCTGTTCTGTAGTTGTAATGTTCATCATTTTATTTATTATTGTTGAATGAGTATAAATTTTGAAATTTATATTTAATTATTACATAGATCTAAAAATTTAAATTTATCGAACACTAATAAATAAAGTAATTAGTATCAACACCAGTTTTTGAACACAAATATTCGTATTAAGTTGTTAAAAGTGTTTTTTTTATCCAAAGTAGTTAGAAGTGGTTGAGATGTGATATTTGTTGATCTTGAACATGACAAAGCTTTTGGGCATTTACATTTACAAGTTTATCTCCTTGAAGGTCAAACCGTTTCAATTTTTATTCGTAAAGGTAATCTAAGTTTTAGAAAATATCTTTATTTGAAAATTAAAAGTCAATTCAATATATAAATTATTTACTGTCATATTAAACTTGCGAACAATTTTATATAACTCTAGTATTTAATTTATTTCTAAACAAGTATCTGCGACAACAATCTAGTAAAAGTACTATATTCTTAATTCATCGTATAAGGTTTTATGCTTGAATATTACAAATAGAATACGCGTCATAATTTAAATCAATACAAGACACGATATTAGCATTGCTAGTGAATTTGAGTTTTTTTTTTTTTTTGGATAAAATGTTTTTATTTCCAAATTTCAAAAGGTGCTTAGAAGAAAATGTACAATTTTTATTTAATGATCAAGGCTAAATGAGCGGTGAAAATTAATTTATAAAAAATTAAACCATAAAAATTATTTAAAAAGTTGGACTACTTAAATATTTTGACTATCTAAGACGGGGAAATATGATAACAATGATTTGTAATAAAAACCCAAAAAAGTTGCCACTTTACTTAGAGCACCGTTGGGAGGAGGAGAATCTTGACGTCTAAGGTAGGAGACGTTAGGTCAGCTGCAACTGCCAGGTTTAGGTAATTTTGACCCATAAACGATGGAAAGGCCACCCTCTCTCTCTCCAACGCAACCGCGACGGCACCGTTTAGACCAATCACCTAGGGTTTCACACATGGAAATTCAACCGCCGCTGCCCTCCGACGACACCTCCACAGTCTGGGATTGGGGAGATCTCTTGGATTTCACCGTTGACGACGACTTGTCCATCTCGTGGGGCTCCGCCGAGAATCCGGACCCCGAGGTCGGCCCGGCCCCGGAAAGACCGCCGGAGGATCCGAATCTCAATTCGAGTCGGATAAGGAAGCGGGACCCGAGACTGGCTTGCTCCAACTTCTTGGCGGGTCATATCCCCTGTGCGTGCCCCGAGGTCGACGCGAGGATGATGGAGCTGGAAGAGGAGGAAGCCGGGCACGGGAAGAAGCGGGTTAAGACTGGTCGGGCCCCAACCGGGACGGCGCGGTGTCAGGTCCCGTCTTGCGGGGTCGATATCAAGGAGCTGAAGGGGTATCATCGGAGGCACAGAGTGTGCCTTGCGTGTGCAAATGCGATCACTGTTGTTATCGACGGTGAGACCAAGCGTTATTGTCAGCAGTGTGGCAAGTAAGCTTAGTTTTCTACTTCATTTTTAGGGTTCTCGATTCTGTTGTTATGGAAGTTTCGGTTTTGTAGCTTCGAACTGTTTCACTGAGTAATTTTTCGGATAAATTGGTTTTTCTAGCTCAATTCGGGGGTAGTGATTGTAATCAAACTTAATCGCTAAGTGCTAATGACGAGAACAATATCCACAAATCGTTTTGGCTTCAAATTGACTGTTAATTTGAAGGCTGTACCTAAGTTGGGGCAGAAGGGTTTCGCTGGACTTGTTTAACTCCGAAAAATGTGGAGTAGGGAATGTTTAGAAGCAATGCTGACAGTATCAACCCTGCTACTGTTAGACTACCCTGAAGTCTCTCTGTGTTCGTGAGCGAACACAGAAGAGATAAATAGTTACTCAAGGCTTAGATTGATATAAATTAGTGCCGCTAAGCAAATTTGGTAACGATAAAGCACATGATTTATCTAACTGGGAAATCATTTGAATTTGTTGGGTAGAATTTGTCTGTGGAAGTGTTTAGGTGTAGGGAATCGGAGAAATTTTCTTAGGAACGAGACAAGTATCACTCTATCAAAAAGGATATGCCTTCTAAGCTTTCTTCTGCAAAGCTGGAAATATTGGGGAACTTTCAGTGAAATTAAAAGCTTGACAAAATAAATAAGAAAAGCAGTTAGGAGGATGGTACAATATAATGTTGGGGGAACAAATTTAACGCAACAGACACCGGTGGTTTACTTTGCACGGATGACACCATATTCATTTGTTGGTTCAGAGGTACTGAACTAAGATATTAATATCAAGGTGTTAGCTTCTTTTTGCTAAGGCTCTTTTATGTATAAAGATGGATGCTGAGAAAAGTGAGGTAACTCCTATTAGCAAATTAGCACATTCTTTTATGCATACTGCTTGGTGTTTTTGAGAAGTGTGGCAGGTTAAGTGAAGAAATACTTTATACCATATAGAAGATCAGCTGGTCTGAGATGAGAGAGTTGTAGCGTTGTCACTGCTCTATTTTATTGAGGAACTGCATGCATTATTCTTGGTATAATGTGCTGGGATTATTTTGATATTGGTTTGCCCATTCTTTGGCAGGTTCCATGTCTTACCAGACTTTGATGAAGGTAAGCGGAGTTGTCGAAGAAAATTAGAGCGTCATAATAACAGACGGCGAAGGAAAGCTAGTGATTATAAAGGAGCAAGTGGAAAGGAATCACAAAAGGAAAATCAAACTGAAGAGACCAATTTTGATGGTGGAGCAACAGAAGGTATTTAATGTTTGTTTTTGATGCAAACAGCTTGTAAAAGAGTAGTAAAGCTGCAACGCTGCTTTGGAAGAATTTACTAGTCTAATTGTATGTATAATGTACAGACAGTCTACAGTTAAGTAGTCAGCTGAATGAGAAGGAAGAATTGCTGGAGTCTGAAGGTGGGCGAACTCTTATCCTCTGTTCAGTGCCTGAATCCCAGAATGTCCATAGTGACAGTGTTGTATCAGTTATGGCTTCTGGTGAAACCCAAAAGGATGCAAGAAAACATGATTCTAACAACTCTCTTTCTCCGCCTAATTGCGACAACAAAAGCTACTCATCTATGGTAGGTTTTGCTGAATGTCGTAGCTTTGGCATGGCTGACATTGATTTTAATATGAGGAGCTCTGTTTGAGGCATACTGATTTGATACATTCTTGTAGTGTCCAACAGGTCGTATATCATTCAAGCTCTATGATTGGAATCCAGCAGAATTTCCTAGAAGACTCCGGCACCAAGTACTATTAAAAGATTGTCATTACAGTTTAGTATATACAGGGAGATTTTTTTTCAATGGAAAAAACAACAGGAATCGATTAACAAGTGGGCATATGTATTTGCAGATCTTCCAATGGTTGGCCAATATGCCGGTTGAGTTGGAGGGATATATCCGCCCCGGATGTACTATCTTGACTGTTTTTATTGCAATGCCCAAGTTTATGTGGATGAAGGTAATGATGTTGACAATCTTATTTGTAAGATTGAGCTTGGCATAGCCTTTCTCTTACCTTCACTCTACAAATTTTGTTCAACCACTTTGGTTTTGACGATATTTTTTTCAGTTGCTTGAAGATCCTGTATCATACATACATGAGTTTGTTGCTGTACCTGGGAAAATGCTATCCGGGAGAGGCAATATACTTATTTATCTAAACGACATGATTTTCCGTATTGTAAAAGGTAATCTGATGCTTCATATGGTGTTATGTTTCTATTAGTTTATTTCGTTTTAGGGAAAGTAATTGGTCTTTACTAGTATTTTGAATTACTAACGTGCTTTTTATTTTGATATGCACAGATGGGACTTCTGTAATAAAGAAAAAAGTGGAGGTGCGAGCCCCAAGGCTTCATTACGTTCATCCTACATTTTTTGAGGCTGGCAAACCCATGGAGTTTGTTGCCTGTGGAAGTAATTTATTACAACCCAAATTTCGGTAGGGCTTCCAATCAAGGTTTTCCATCCATTTTAGTAGTTTATTGTGTTGTACTTTTGATTCACTCCTTTCAGCTCTGTTGTGTAGCTTGTCTCAAATTCTCAATCATGTATTATTACGATCAGCTTGCTTTTTATTCACACACCGTTTCCTATAAACGGTAATTTATTTGAATAGTTAATACACTTGATGGGCACTCTCAACACTCTACATAGACTTGTCACCATTTGATAGCACATAATTGCTACTCTTCTCTGTTTCTCCTAAACTTTAAAACTCATGGTGATCTTGAGATGTCTATCAAGTATGGAAAATATTTATAGTTGTCTGATGGCATAATCTTCAAATCGTGAAGCTTAATACCAAAAAAAATAATTATGGTTTATTGAAAGCTTTGCATTTTGGTGTATCTTTTATACTATTCTGTTAACTGTTCCATGCATGTAGAGAGCAAATTGTTGTCACATAAGCTTCTTAATAAAGATCTTTACGGTTACAGGTTTCTGGTATCCTTCTCCGGAAAGTATCTGGCCTATAATTATTCTCCTCCATCTTCTCATAGTCAGATTGAAGGGGACACTGCTAGTAATTTAGACCATCAATTGTGCAAGATACAGGTCCCTCAAACTGACGCAGATTGTTTTGGTCCTGCATTTATTGAGGTAAATATTCTGGTTTCTTTTCTCTTTCTTACTTTCTTTTACACCACGTTCAACTATCAGTTGGGACATTCAATCTATCTATATGGTTGTTGGTCATGTGTAAATATTTCTGATATATATTTAAGCCTCATTGTGGTTATATCTTATCTAATTATATTTCCACTCCAGTGATCATAATAGCATTATGACCAGGGATTTATAAAATTGATATGTGGTTGGTTTCTTTAGCTGGTCATGCATTTGAGAGCGCTTGTGCTTCGAACTGGCATCTCGTATGGTATATGGCAGAATTACGTAGGTTGCTGATAACATTAGCCATAAGCTCTAACTCTGGACCAGAATCTGCTATATCTGTACTGTACCAGATTCATGTAGACAAAAACAAAACTTGAACATTCATATAGAGATATAACCATGGTTGACCATAGCATTTTAAAGCATGATACTTGGTTTTGAAATTAGCACGAATTTTTCTTGTTTCCTAATTTATTACTGATGGAATCTATGTTGCAGATTGAGAATGAATCTGGCTTATCCAACTTTATCCCGGTACTCATTGGGGACAAAGAGGTTTGTGCAGAAATGAAGACTGTTCAGAATAGATATGAAGAATCTTTCTCTTCGCAAGGATTACACTGTTCTTTCAGTGGTTCTCTTTCAAACTCCTGTGAAGCATCTTCACTGAGGCACACAGCATTTTCTGAAGTTATTTTAGATATAGCATGGTTATTAAAACAGCCCTCGTCAGAAAACTTTCAACAGATCATGACTGCTTCACAGATTCAAAGATTCAACTATCTATTTAACTTTCTGATATCCATCAAATCAACAACCATATTGGATAAAGTTCTACAAAATCTGGAGATTCTGATGGCTAAAATGGAGTTGAACAGTGCAATTAATGGCAGCACTGACGCAGATATGAGGCTATTGCAGAATTACATGAATTATACCCGTGATCTTCTTTGTAAAAAATTCGAAAGCTCTGTAAGGTTGGTGAAAAAAGAGGATCTTGTCTCACAAAGTCAAACCTGCTTTCAGAATGATGGAAAATTGGTTGCTCCATTCTACTGCCAGGTGAGGGCTTCAGTTTTCAGATTTATATTTTCTGATATCAGTTAATCCTTTATTTAAGTTAGCTTTTTGCTTTACATTTTCCTCATTTTAAATTTCGCATTTATCCTCACCTGGGGCTACAAATCTCTTGTACTCGTGGAGGAATTATTTGATTGTACAGTTTGCCTAGGTTGTGGTTGAGCTTACAATCCTTGTTTTTTTTTTCCTCCATTTTTACAATTGAGATAACAGTTTTACATTTTCCATCTATGATCTTATAACTATTTTGAATAATTCACATTTGAATTTGTACCTGTAAAATGTTTTTGAACTTATAGCTGGTAAGAGATCTTCATTGGGAGTATGGTTGTTTTGTTGAGGAAGATTGATGGCTGTATATGTTTAAAATTTCTTTACTTTGTCCTGTTGTAGTTTAGCATTATTTATTTCATAAACTGATACGGGTTTGGTTACATGAATTGTTATGTAAAGCAGGATACGGAGATAACTGTAGATGGTAGGCTGGGTGTGATTGTGGGTTCAACTTCTGACGAGAGAAGTGAAACTGTTCCGCTTTTAAGTAAAAAGGCAGTTGGTAAAGCTAACCTCACCAAGGAATTGCCTAGTGTGGTTAAGTGTTACACTTCTGGGGAGGTCTTAAGGTCTCGCTCTGGTGGGATGTTCTTGAGATTTCGCCCTACGCTTCTCGTAATATCTGCTACAGCTATCTGTGTTGGATTTTGTGCAGTCCTCATCCATCCTCACAAGGTTGGCGAGTTTGCAGTAACGATTCGCAGATGTTTATTTGACAAACTTTAGATGTTTAGGCATTTTTTTTCTTCGCCCTTTAATGTATTTCGCAGCCCCTAAATCTTCTGTACATATTATCTCCACTGTACACAACTTTCTAACACTAGATTAAGACAAGCCGCTAAAAAGTTATATTGTCACCGTTGTAGTTCTTGCTGGAATCGGAAATTCCGGATGCGCTTTTGGGCGATGTTTGCCCACGGCGTTTGAGATGGTTATAATTCTTTTCGCAAATGAAGCTTTTGCTCGTAATTTTGCTGTAATGTCTAAAGACAGGTTGCATGTTGGGCGTTAATGACAAAACCTGGTTTCCAATCGGTTTGCTTCCAAATTGTAAATTTGTGAAGATCTGAAATCAAGGGTCTCCTGCTATTTGAATTCTAGTTTTAGCAGTCTTTGTAAGAGGAGGTTGTAGCAATAGTCTCTCAAGTTTAATCCAATTGGAGTAATGGTCATTTAACTAAAAATCTGTGACTATTGGTTCCTTAACTTATCAAAATGATAACCCTAAACTCCATTAGAAAATTTGTCAAAATGAGTCACGTGCCACGCATGTGAGGTTGAATCAAGGGGCAAAGATGGAAAACCAAATAAGAAAAATTGTAGTAGTGGTCTCTCAACTTTAATTCAATTGGAGAAATGGTTCATCAACTTTAACCAAACTGGAGTAATAGTTCATAAACTTAACCAAATTGTAGCAACGGTCCTTCCAACGTGACTCATTTGGATGGAATACTAATTGAGTTAACAAAAAGGACCATAGTTGCACATTTTGATGAATTAAGGGATCAATGGTCATGTATTTTTAGTTGAGGAACCATTGCTTTTCATTTGGGTTAAAGTTGAGGAGCTATCTCTACAATTTTCTTGTCTTTGTAAAGAAAGTGTACTCATTCGAAAGAAAAGAGTGACACCATATTATATGGGGTGCATTTTTGCTTGAACTTTAACTCATCCAACGGTGATAAATAAGATGATGAGCGTTACTTTCATTTGAGGTTGTTAAGCAAAAATATCTCCTATTATATGAAGACCCTCAACTAAATTGAAACTTCTCATTGGCTGGCTACAATATTTACATGCATTTAATACAATCATCATTTGATGGTCATGTATAATGCATGTTAATATATGTGTTTATTACAATCATCATTTGACGGTCAAATGATATTTATATTAATTTCATGTAAGTATTGTATTCAAATCCTAATTATAGATTTTCAGCATATATTCTATTTAAAATCTAGACTATAATTTCAGGACATAGTATGTGACATGTTTCAATGTTCTAGTATAATTGGAGATTGAAAACAAAAACTGTGAATGGGTGAGTGTTTATACTTTAAGGCATGATATTAATAATTAACATGTGTTAAAATGAGTAGAAAGTTGCAAAGAGTTCGCATGTTAGTTGGTTTAGAGTATTCATTCACACCTTCACTCTCTTCGTATAATATTAAAAATGGTTGTACAGAGCGAAATTTATTCTTATCAAATAGAAGAAGACCAGCCTCAAATACCCATTTACAAAATTTTAAAAAGAATTTTATTAAAAATAAGAGTAGAAAATTATTCCGCATCAACTTTATAGAATCTATAAACTAACGTATCTTTCAAACATTTTGGAGATTTTAAGAATCATAAATGTAACATAATTACATACACCGAAGCCCCCAACAAAACTGAAGATGATGCTTCTTTACGTAAGTGTATTGTGTGTGAGGATACGGTGGCTACTTTCAAATCACGATGTGACATGGGATATTTTTACTCCTCTCGCCATAAATCCTCCAAATACATAATCACTAACGTAAAGAGAATTTGAATTATTTTGAAGGTTGTAGAAGATAAAGAAAGATCTCAGAAGTAAAGAGACTTAGAATTTTGAAAGTGACCCACCACTCCCATCATATGATATATATTGCCTATTGATGTAACTCACCACCACACTATAGTACGGAGTTTCGTTCTACCCACTACTCAATCGAAATTTGAGAAAAATTATATTTTGTACCACGTTAGTTACTATCTGATGTAAAAAATGATGTATATATATGTCACATAATATAGGACACTCTGTATTATAAATATATAGCATCCCCCACACTACTCATTCCCGTATTATGATGAACATTGTCTTTGTAACTTGCAAAACATAAAACTTGCATAAATAATTAAGCGATTTTAAAAACAATAAATTACCAAATTTATAACAAATGTGTGTCAAACTATGAGTGGTTCGTTTGTAAGGAGCTTAATATTTTCCACGAACAAAAATTGGACCATTCAATAAACATATTATATGAGCTTGGAAGTTAGGAATGTTGTTGTCTCTAAAAATTACAAAACCTACATGGCGCGCAGGCCGAGTAACTAATAAGCTAACTACGTCCTTCGGTTGAATGCGGGGCATGCCAACTCGTCGGCCGAGGAGTAAAATTTGATGTTGTCGCGTTGGGCGCGCTGTTGACTTCTATATCTTGCGATTGCGACCGAGGAAGGAACGTTCTCGGTCTCTGGGTTCTATAGCCTGAAGACAAGGCTACTAATTCTACGGAGTTCACAAATCGTCGAAACCTGACTCGGTCACTGTGATTATATTCGTAAGAGTATAAGCACGCCGAATCGAGACCAAACTATATGGGCACAGGTACTCAAATGTGATATATGTCTTGATGGTAAACGTAGTTCGGCCGTCGGAATGCCGAACCCTGAAGCTTACTTGCGAGTATCCAATCATAAAATCACTCGGCGTCCAATGCGCCGAGCAATGCAATTCGTAACACCCAACTATGCCGGAAAGGCTAGCGAGATGACCTCTACCAACAAGGGCTCGAAAACCCTTCTCGGTCGAGACTTAGATAGATAATCGGTCGACCTCGACACAGTACTGTTTATCCAAACTGAAGGTGCTTCTCGGTCGGCTGATTCTGCGGCAGCAGTGCTGTTTATCCAAACTGAAGATGCTCGCCGGGTGCTTCCACAGTGCTGTTTATCCAAACTGAAGTTGTGTCGGCAGGAAAAGAAAAGGAAAAATCTCAAGGTGTTTGAGAGGTTTTGCGCAGGGCAATTGTATGCTGATTTTGAAGGGCTTTCTATTGCGTGATTTCTTGTATTTATAGCACCTCATTCCTTGAGACCAATCCGCACTCTGATTCGGATTGGGAATCCTTGTCCCATTTCACCTCTAACTCGAACAACCCTACTCCTACTGGGATTCTGAATTTTCCTTCCTTTTGAGGCTTTATTCCTTGCCGGTCGAGAATCCTGGTCGCACCAGGACTTCCTTGCCCTTTTCTATTTATCCGGACCACTTAGGATAGGATTTGGCCGACCCAGCCAGCTGGCCCGCGATTTATTATTCGGCCCATATTATTTGTTATCACCTTGGGGCGAGCACATCCTGCTACTCGGCCCAGCAGTAATATTTTGGACCCAAACAAATGCATAGGATATTATCTACAAGAAAGATGGAGAGTAGACTAAATCTCATAAATTGAAGAGTAATGCTATTCATACAAATTTTTTATACCACATTTCTATACCATCTTAGTTGGTATCCGATGTGGACAACCACATCATTTGAAAAATTTGCAAAACCTAAGGAAAGGAAGGAGAATGACTCCTCATATGCTATAATAATCATTTAATTAACTAATTTTTCAAAATTAGTTTATTAAATAATGAACTAAATTTTCAAAATTAGTTTATTAAATAATGAACTAAATTAAAAAATATGATTAATTCAAATGATGTGGCTGTCTATACTCTATATCAAATGCCACCTAACGTGGTATGAAAATGTGATACAAAAACATGGTATGAATAACATTACTAGAAATTGAAAGTCTAAACTCACATAAATTATACTTAATCATGCTCTTTAAAGAAATAGGTCTTCATTTTTTTAATAAAAAATAGAGATTAATTATGAACTCCGTTCCATATGAAACTTTAATGATCTGAATTCTAAGTCATCTATTTTAGTCTTTATTGATAGATGATACTTGCAAAAAATTTATTCAATCTGAAATCATTTGTCGATTTAATAATGAAATTTTAATATTTTTTAGAACATAGTGTTCGTTAATTATTTTGAATTCAATAAGAGCTTAAAATATTTTCGATTTGGTTAATATTTTACTAGAATGATCTAGGAAGTGCAACTTAAAAAATACACAATTGTGATCAATGAATTTCGATATGAAGTGGACCCAATAGCTGATCCTATTTTTTTTTTATTTGTAAACATAGACATCCATTTCCTTAAAAAAATATGAACACTTAATTATTACAACGAGTGATCGGTCAAATTATGCGCACCGTTTATTTTATTTATTAAATAAAATCATCTCTCTTACTTGCCAGCTCCATCTTTGGCAAAAAAACACGACACACACAGTGCCTTGCCGCCCACTGCGCCGTTTGATTTTTGTCATCGTCCTTAAACTGCATAAGGTCCACGTAAGCATGCACAATCATTTATCCTTAATTAATCATAAAATAATATTAATTTGTAAAATAAATAACATGTTACCAATAAGAATGTGTACATTTATCAACTCTTAATAAACCAGTCATCAAATTTCATATCCTTTAATTTTCTAAAATTTTGTATGTAAATTTAATTTCTCTACTCTCCTTGAATAACATAAGTTTGATCACATGCATAGTCCTGCTTAAAATTCCTTAATTATCGCTAACACCAGACTTACGTTTTAATCTGCTCCCCTTGTTCAAAGAATTCTTTTCAGCGTGCCAAAACGGTTCGGTTCCAAAGTATCTGGATCTTGGATTTAGAAATTTTTACATCTTAGTCATTTATCGTGCATCGTGTGGTCAGAAATTATTTGACATTTTTATTTAAAATTAAACATAAATAGTATTGACAAAAACTAACAACATAATAATGTAGGATAAACGATTAAAATGTAAAAATCTCTAACATCTTTGCAAAATGAATCCGGAAAAGATTCTCTTCCAGTACCAAATATCATACAATATAATTGATTAAATTTTTAAACTTTTCAACTAATTATGTTAGTACACTTAACAAACCAGTTCTTTGTACCCTAAAAAAAATCTCTAGATCAGCTGCTACAACCTTCTAGCGTTGCCCTTTTCCTATTCATCGTAATCAATTGGTAGCAGCCAAGCTTATAAATATCTAGATGCACTTTATAATTGTTTATTATATTTAATTAGAAAAAATCTCGAGATGCATGCAGTTTGACATGTGTATAAATACATCACAAAAAAACCAATGTTCTGCATCCCAATCCCACCAGGATTCTGGAGGCCTACAGGAGCAAAACTCCTCCAATTTGCTCCTGTTTTTCTTCTTCTTTGTTTTTTTTCAATTAAAATTAAAAATTTTTAATTAGAGTAGTGAATTAAAACATGGCAATTGGGGAGTGCAGAGATGTTGAGAGTGGGGAAGGTAATGATCTTGGGGATTTAGATTTAAACCAGCCCTTGGTGATTGAGAAAGACAAAATCTTTGCTCATGAAGATGGTGATCAAGGGAGTGACAAAAGTGGATCAATTGGGATGGTTTTGGTCAGCACATTTGTTGCTGTTTGTGGCTCTTTTGAATTTGGATCGTGTGTAAGTACTATTCTTAAAAAACTACCTATAAACATTCTTGTTCTTTTTGAGTTTTTGTTTGACAAGACGATGTTCTAAATTACTTTAATTTAATTTATGGGGAATGAAACTCGAAGTTGGGTGTATGCACGCTGTCCTGACCAATTGGCCTCTTTGAATTTGGCCTTCTGTTTTCTTGGTCTTTTTGCTTTTGCAATTAGACTTCCTGCAGTTTTGCTGGTTTTAGAAAGCTGCCTGGTTTACTCATGCGTAATTATTGTTGTTTATGTTTCTTCTGATAATTAGAGGGCAAAAATACAAAATAATCCAAAAAAAAAGAAAAAAAAAAGAAAAAAAAGAGAGGTTTGTTTAGCTTAAGTTATTGTTTTGGCAGGTGGGATATTCAGCACCCACTCAATCTGGTATCAGGGAAGATCTTAATCTCTCTCTTGCTCAGGTAATTTGCCTTCTTCCTCCTCAAGAAATGCATTTTTTTTTTTTTTACAGTGAAGTGAATTGGTTACTAATGATTTGAAGTCATATGGCAGTTCTCCATGTTTGGATCAATTTTAACAATTGGTGGAATGCTGGGTGCTGTAACAAGTGGCCGGACCGCAGATTTTCTCGGCCGAAAAGGGGTATGGTGAATGTTAATTTCTGATGTAAAAGTTGAAAGTTTGGAAGCTCTGGTAATTAATTTTGTACTAACTGAGTTTCTTGAAAATTATGTGAAAGTAGGCAATGAGGATGTCAGCTAGTTTCTGCATCACAGGATGGCTAGCAATCTACTTCTCTAAGGTATATGTCTGCACCATTTGTAATTCTTCAATTTATATAACTTAGTTCATTCATATTTATCAGGTTTTTGTTATAAATCTTGTGCAGGGAGCTTTGTCACTTGATGTGGGAAGGTTTTTTACTGGATTTGGAATTGGCGTTTTCTCTTATGTGGTATGCATATTTCCTTAAAACTCGAGTTCTCGTGTTTGCAATGTATGAGCAAGGATGTTTGATCTGGTGATTGTTTTCTTATTGGAACCATTTATTGATGATTATTTCGAAGTTTTAACAAAATTCAGCAATCTGGATGGACAGGTACCGATATTCATAGCAGAAATCGCGCCCAAAAATCTCCGCGGAGGGCTTACAACGCTAAATCAGGTGCGAGGGTTTAGAGATTTCCGTGCACATAATTTCCTCCCTACTTGAAAAGCATATGATCTTTTAACATAATGTTATCTTTGTCTCTCTACTTGTTCTGCAGCTCATGATTGTAACTGGATTATCAGTTTCGTTCGTGATAGGAACAATAATAAGTTGGGAAACACTAGCTCTGACCGGTGAGTTCTTATTTGATAGGATATCTGTTGTTCTTAATTACAATAGGTGGTTTACGTAAGTGCTTTTGAAAGGAACTGATAGCTGTGTTTTGATCTGAAGGAATTATTCCTTGCATTTTCCTGCTTGTCGGTCTATGTTTTGTTCCGGAGTCCCCTAGATGGCTGGTGAGGTTTCGATCGAAAATGATGCTTCGGGCTTTTTGTTATCATGTTTTCACCGTTATAAAGGAGGAATAAATAAGAACAAGAAAGATGTTTAAGGCTGAAAGCATTGTTTTCAGGCAAAGATTGGCCGTGAGAAGGAATTTCAAGTTGCACTGCAGAGACTCCGTGGAAAGGATGCAGATATATCTGATGAAATGGATGAAATTCAAGTACTTGTTTTGAACCATAAAAAACATTGGTCATCTTTTATATCTATCAAAATTAACATTTCTAACAAAACAACCGTCTGTATCTTGACAGGAATATATTGCTACCCAACAAAGTCTTCCAAAAGCCAAAATGTTGGATTTGTTTCAGAGAAAATATATTCGAGCTGTGATTGTATGTGTCCCTCTTTACTGTCGATTTTCATTATTTCCTTTAGTTCCATTAAGCAAATGCCATCCAATTTTTTTTTACTGAAATCCTGAACATGGTTTTGGTTCTAGATTGGGGTTGGATTAATGGTATTTCAACAATTTGGAGGCATTAACGGAATAGGATTCTATGCAAGTCAAACCTTCGAAGAAGCTGGTATATAGACATATATATTCAACCAGGGCCTTCCTATACCTCGTTTCATTTCGCTAATCTTTCTCGTAAAACTTATCTCCTTCTGTAATGTCAATTGCAGGAATTTCAAGCAAAATCGGAACCATAGCTTATGCGTGCGTTCAGGCAATCATTTTCTCCTGTCTTCTGTTAAATCTCAAATGTTTGAGTTTGTTCATCCAAGCTCATCTCATGTAAAATTCATAGACAGGTACCGATCACCGTAGTGGGAGCAGCGTTAATTGATAAGTCAGGAAGAAGGCCTCTTATAATGGTAGCAATTGATCTAGAAAACCTGACCGCTTACGAATGATCTTTATGTATATTCAGAACTCTGATGATTTTTGTTTTGGTATGAAGGTTTCTGCAACCGGGACATTCCTAGGCTGTTTCCTTGCAGGAACTTCTTTCTTTCTGAAGGTACTAAAAGTTCAAAAACTATATCCTGCAACAAAATTGTTCTGCGCCTGAATCCCGTTACATCATGGTCTAATGTTGCTGTACAATTCATCTTTCAATATCAGGGAAATGGATTGTTGCTCAATTGGGTACCAATAATAGCTGTGTCCGGCGTGCTGGTAACTTAACCATTACCATACCGCATACTTAAAAAGTATCATGTAACTATGTTATTCCAGCTTCTCAATGTACTAATTTGTTTGTTCTTTGCCCCTTTGAAATCAGATTTACATTGCGTCCTTCTCGCTTGGAATGGGAGCAGTGCCTTGGGTGATCATGTCTGAGGTAATGTTGAAAAATTAACCTGTCAGTTCCTCAATGCGACCGATAATATGATACATGCTTAAGCACGCTGAACCGAGTGTGATTCCCTTTGCAGGTTTTCCCAATCCATGTGAAGGGAGCGGCCGGAAGCTTGGTGGTGCTCGTGAACTGGTTGGGAGCATGGGCAGTTTCCTATACTTACAACTTTCTTATGAGCTGGAGTTCCTCAAGTAAGTAAACAACTTCTGCACCAAACACACCACGTACGTTATACCGCTTGGTTAGCGCGTGCCAAAAAATTGCGTTCCCTGATCCCGACCCTATATACTTGATTTGTCGTACAGGAACTTACTACATTTACGCCGGATTCTCTTTGTTGACCATCATATTTGTGGCCAAGTTAGTCCCGGAGACCAAGGGCAAAACACTAGAAGAAATCCAGGCTTGCATCAATTCAGATAAAGGAGGACAAGATGTTGTTAACCGATAGCATTTAGGAGTAGAGTTGTTAGAAATTTGTATCTTGTGTTTGGCTCATAGTGTCTACTCCATTTCGATTTTGCATTCTGCGTCGAATTCTTTGGCTTTCAGCTCAAAATGGAAGAGACCTTGTAACAAAATGCGCTTTTGTGTTATGCCTGTATGATGTCTACTCCAAGTCTTTCTTTTGTTAATTTTCCTGTCTTTTGATTCTCCTTTGATTGGTTAACTACACCGCTTGAAGATTGATTGGTTGATCAATTCCACTCGTTAAATGGTGCGGCTTGGTTCAAACCGAACCAAATCGAAAATTAGTTTCGCCCTCAAAACTAAAAGACTAATCGATGGTTAATCGTTTTTTATACAAAATATTCTGCGTTGACCGTATATCTGAAAAGAGATAATTTAAATATTTTAATTTTATTTTAATTAATATCGAGCTATTTTGTAATAAAATCTTGTACTTGTTGAACTAATTAAGTTGACATAGTATTAGAGTCAGGGATTGGGCCAATACTCTTATGTGATGGGTGGGTCCTCTTGACCCTGGCGATGATGGTGGGTCCCTTGACTCCGCATGTAGGGTGAGTTCTCTTGGCTATACGTGGTTGTCAATATGTAAATCTTCCATGTGTGATCCACTAATTGAGTCCTGTGTGAAGGGACGTGTTGAAATATCTTTTATTGACCGTATCAAAAAAGTTTTTTTTTTCTTCAGTATATTAATATTTTTACACTAATGGGAGACGGAGTTCGACTAAAACACACAATGAACAACCTAATTTAATATTAAATTTGTCATTTATGTGTTGGGTGAGAAATCCGATGGTCCACAAATATTCACAGTAGGTAACGGTTCCACTCTTCGAGTTGATCCTTCCCTCCTTATTTGAACGGTTACGATTAAATCACGTCAACATCTTATATTGAATTATTTTATAAAAGAAAAAAAAATATGTGAGAGGAGGGGAGGAAAGTGAACAGGGGAGAGAGAATCTACTCCGCTCATCATCATTTGTTTCACCATGACCACGCCCTGCATTTAAAACACGTATAGCTCCACCTTAACTACCTCTCCTTCCACACAAAATCCATTCATGGCGGTGATCGTTCCACTCTCGGGCTCAGTTGAAAATCGCACGTCCTTTCTCCTCTCCTCCAATTCGTAGAGATCGAAACTCGATTGGCCACGTAAGTCACCGTAGCTCTGGTTATCCTTCAACGGTGAAATTTGTAATCCTTTGCCTACAAATGTTGAATGGGAACTCAAAGTTCGAATCTTTTGTTTGAATATTGTTTGGGTTTTGATGAATTTGAATTGGGTTTTACTGGGTTTGGTTTAATTTTCTGGTTAATTTGAGCTGTGTTTTTACTGTGCGTGAACTGTGAACCGTGAGTAAGATGGTTCAGGTTTGAAGTTTAGGGACTTTTAAGGTCTGAGCGCTGAATTATACACTTTTACTGTGCAGGTTTAACCATGATCAGAACTAAATTACGTTGATAATTTGTTATAAAGGTCCATTGAGTAGTTGGTATTGGGTTAAAATTAGAAAACAAAATGAGTTACAGAGCGAGGTTTGGTAAAGATAATAGCGCCTGTGATAGCGGAAATCCTGCTGAAGGTTCCGGTTCAAGTAAAGGACCTGATGAAGTATCCAATGATTTTGATCATGAAATTGCTCAACTCACTAAGCATCGATCAAGACCCCACCGACTTTTGAGCGGGGATATGGCTGGGAAGTTGAGGTTACCGGTTTCAACGATGAAAATGCTGGCCGGTCGTGAAAGTAATTATTCAGGGCGGGGAAGATTCTCGTTGGCAGATTGTTGCCATGTTTTGAGCCGGTATCTGCCCATAAATGGTCCTTGGGGGGTGGACCAGTCCGGAAGTCCTGCTTATGTTTCTCAATTTTCGAATGATGGTTTGTTTTTTGTTGCTGGATTTCAGGTATTGTAATTTATTAGCTTGATGTTATAATTCATTTTTCTTGTTGTGATTTTGAATTGTTCTACTTAAAAATCAATTTCCCAGTATTCATGCACACAACTGCAGTTTTGCAATCCTAATTTTCTTCTTCTTTTAATGAAACAGGGAGGCCATATTAGAATATATAATGTTGAAAAGGGATGGAAGGTTCAGAAGGATATCCTGACCAAAAGCTTGAGATGGACTATTACCGATACATCTCTATCACCGGACCAACGTTATCTTGTGAGTTTATGATGTTTGGTTTGTTGAATAAGAAGGAGCTTGTCTATATAACTATGACTTTACAATCTGAACTTATTCTTCCTTTATGATATATGCGTAAGTGTAAATACTGCATGGTCCTTTCTGAACCCATGTTTGTTTTAATGCCTGTTTTTGCCGATGGAATTACAGGTTTATGCTAGCATGACACCGGTTGTCAATATTGTGAATGTGGGATCTTCTATGACGGAGTCACTTGCAAATGTTACGGTATGTGAAACTAGTGGTCCTTATAGTGCTACTAGCTTTGAATTTCATATGAATCGCTTACTAGTTAATTGGTTCATCTACAGATTTGGTAATCAACAATGTTCCTGGTGATTCTTTTTTAACTAACCGATGATTTTTTCAGCATAATCTTGTATGAATCTTTGTTGTCATCTTGTAAAATAGGTTACCAAATCAACAATGTTCCTGGGGAATCTTTTTTATCTAACCGATAATGTTTTTCAACATAATCTTGTATGAATCTTTATTATCATCTTGTAAAGTAGATATCTTTATCAATGTTACCAGATCACAAGATCTGTAAAATGTTTATCTGAAATCAGCTAGGGGTACTTGTCTTGGATATCTGTTAAAGGTTATGGTATCTGAATTGTGGTATATGCTACCATCTGTTGAATCTCGAAGTGGAGATCTTCTGGTGAAGGAAAAGAAAGTAATCCAATTTGACGATGTTTACATTTCCAAATTATTGTTTTTCCTGGATAATCTATTATGGCATATTGATGACTTCAGATGTTACAGCTCACCCTATAATGCTCATTATAACATGAATTTGTACTTTTTGGGGGGTACAATTTTTTTAATCAATTGATTATTCACGTTTAATAGTCGGTTTCTTTTCTATGATGATTTTGTGCTACAAAGAGTCATTTTCTAGTTCTTACTAGTCTTTTTTTTTTTAGCATAAAAAACTTTCTTTTAATTCAGGAAATTCATGAAGGTCTGGATTTTTCTATTGAAGGCGATGAGGATGAATTTGAAATTTTCTCAGTTAAATTTTCAACTGATGGGCGAGAGCTTGTTGCTGCAAGTAGTGATGCTTCAATATATGTTTATGATCTCCAAGCAAATAAAGTTAGCCTCCGAATACCAGCTCACCAGGTAAAGGATCTAACAATATAATATACTCGAATTACTTCTTGATGGTGGTTTCGAAGAAGTTTTTCATTTACTTTTAATTTTAAAGACACACAGTCTCCCATACTAGTTCCTTCCTCTGGAGACTCTGGATGGCACTTAAAAGCATCATTTGATTATTTTGTTCATCTTTTGTTGCAGTCTGATGTAAACACTGTGTGCTTTGCTGATGAGACCGGCCATCTCATATATTCTGGCAGTGACGACAACCTCTGTAAGGTAGGGTTCATCTCTGGTCTTTATATGGTATAAGATGTAGAAACCATGATTGCTTCATTGTATGGTACTCTTTTTTTCTTTTTTTTTTTCAACTCTGGCTTTCCTTATTGTAGTCATTGAACTGTCACTCTAAAATGCTGTTACGTTTTCACAACATGTTCTTTGCTAGAGTTGTTCAAATCTTGAGATTCAATATCCCAGCATCAAAACCTAAATTTGGTGCATAAGTGTTGTTTAACTAATGGAACGCTTTTCCTTTTTATGTTGTCATTTTCTCTCTCATGGGTGTGGGGTTAAGTGCTTAATATGTTCTTTACTATTGAGCTATGAAGTCCCCATGAAGTTTAGGCGTTTTCTATTTTCTCGCACAGGTGTGGGACAGACGCTGCTTAATGACGAACGGACAAGCATCTGGGGTCCTGATGGGACATCTTGAAGGCATTACATTTATCGATAGCCGGGGAGACGGGCGTTACTTAATATCAAACGGGAAGGACCAGACAACCAAACTCTGGGATATAAGAAAGATGTCCTCTAGAGCTATCTAGTACGTCTGTATTACTTGTTTCCCTTTTCTGCTCATTTTAAGTTATTGGCTTTCTGTTTGGTGCTGTAGAAATATGAATTTTACTGCTGTCAGCATGAGATAAGTCGACTTAATTTTAGTATATTGTCCTCCAATTGTTTTGACTCTATAATATTCTATAGTGTGCAAAATAGTTTTGTTGTATTTGGGCTAAGAATAATGTGGTTAAATTGATGTTTAATGCTTCAAGTTTATTTTGGTCTAAATGACCGGGGAACATATAGTAGCAGAACGGAGGGCTATTTGTGAATAGTACTATAATTAATGTTGGAATATTTCTTGTTTTTGGTGAACCATTTATCATATTGTTTTGTCATATTAAAGCAGCTTTGTGAGATCAAGCGAGTACAACAGCTTCTATTATTAGAGCATGCTGGGATATCTCTTATTTTTGTTGAACCATTCTATTTGTACCATATTAAAGCATGCGGTTCATGGGTCTTAAGTTAATTTGAACCCGTCTGCTTGTGTTTGTCTGTGCACAGAATCGCATTCTTGTTGAATAACTTTTGTTATTTAGATACAGTGGCTCAGGGCCTAAAGTCTAGAGTCTATAGACCCTTTCTTGGTTAAACGTAATATTTTTGTGGCCTCTGATTTTCAACTTTCCAATGAGCAGCCCTAGGCTTACAGATTGTGACTGGGATTACAGATGGATGAAGTACCCAGCTCATGCAAGAACTCTGAAACATCCAAATGATCAGTCATTGGCTACATATAGAGGCCATTCAGTCCTGCGCACTTTAATTCGCTGTTACTTTTCTCCAGCATATAGGTAATTTTTATTTCTTTATTCTAATTCTGTATGTGGAATTTGTCTTAAAAACATTGTGCGAATTCAAAGATGCTGGAGTACGTGTATTTTCCGCAATCTTATAGCCTATTCTTTTGGTTCTAAGGCTTCTGGTTTCATCTGATGATATCATATGATGAGTTGGCTGTGTTGACACACAGTTGTTTAGGAGTATCAGATGATGTTTCTAACTTTCTATTCTGCTCATTGCAGTACTGGACAAAAGTATATCTATACTGGCTCAAGTGATCATTCCGTCTATATATATGATCTGGTAAGTAACTGGCCTTTTATGTTTCTCATCACCAAGATCATGTTCTTCTCGTGTCCTGTTAAGGAAAATGTAATGGGAAGTCACTTGCCATCTGTTTTCATGTTCATTTCTAGGTATAAAATTTCATGTGCATTTCTATGAACCGTAAAAGGGATGTTGATACATAATTGGTTCGTTTTCAGACTAGTTAGGAAAAAAAAAAAAGATGATTTGAAAAGTAAATGATGGTACGAGAGTTCCTTGTAGGAAAGCAAGAATCATCGTTGGCAGTCCTTTATGAAATTAACACTCCCGTTAAAAAGTTTCATAACTTTAGTCTGTAGGTTTGTTATTACCACAAAGGCCAGTAAAACAGGCCATCCTGCACACTTCAAACTGCTATATCTTGAGAACGTGATATTCGATCTCTAGTAATTTGTTTGTTTCTATGAAGGTAACCGGAGCTCAAGTTGCGAAACTAGATCATCATGAAGGACCTGTAAGAGACTGTAGTTGGCATCCTCTGTATCCCATTTTGGTCAGCTCTTCTTGGGACGGGACCGTCGCCCGATGGGAATTTCCTGGTGATGACCAAGTTCGCACCCTCGTGAGGCCGAAAATACGCCGGAGGAGAGGCTTCTATTGAACAAGGCTCATTGTTTTGCGCTTCACAAGATGATTTGGTATTATGTTGGTTCATGATTTTCGTACCTTCTCTGAAGTTATACTGCTTTTTTTAAACAACTTTTGCAGTAATTACAGAGAAATTATAAAGTTTAAATTGGTTCCTGGCAGCTTTGTAACAGCTGTCCGCATGTAAAATATGTAATTTTATGTATTTAAAATCGAATTATTGTATAAAGTTTCACTATTGTTCAAATAATGTATTTCAAATATTCATTCCAATTGTTGGTTTTTAATTATGATAGACGAGGCATGTTGTAATTCATTAACATATCTGAAAATGTAATCTTTTTACAGTAAAGTAAACAACTTAACAACATAGACGTTCCCCTCCAGAATTTTGCAAAGCAGAAAACCTTATTGGCTTGAGGTCGTTCTTTTTTTTGATCTTGTAAGAGCATCTGCATGAATGAGGATTCTCTCAGGATCCTCTTTGTGAGGATCCCGGGGATTCTCAAATCGTGTTTGTTCATTGTACATCGTATGATTAGTTTTTATCAAGTACTATTCATATTTAATTTTAAATAAAAGTATTTAAAATGATTTTTGATTGTACGATGTACGATGAATGAACATGATTTGAGGATCTTCGAGATTCTCACAAAGAGGATCCAGCGAGAATCCTCATTCCATTTGCATGGAGAGATACAAATTTATGATGTAAAAACCACAACTACATCCTGTCTATCTTTTAAGGTAATGAAAATGATGTTTTTGAGAGCAATCCAAGAGTGGAATAACTTAACTTAGTGTTTTTTTCTTTCTTAAAAAGGAGACCAGTTGATGGCTTCGTGATTGCATTTTATTGTTTTGGGGGTTAGAGAAACTCATAAAGACATTCCAGCCTCTTTGATCATTATCGTATGATTCACACACGAGAGAAATTAAACCTAAAACATAATGTCTGAAATACGAATTTAAAATTCGTGCCCAACCATTGAGACTTCGAAGTGATCAACGTAACCTTGTGTTAGTGCCTACTAAATAGTACTATACTCGGAAACTCCCACCTCCTTACGCACGCACCACCAAACAACAAAATCTATTTTCCTCGCCAACGCCAACTGACATAGCCAAAACACCCAAGCAATCGAGAACACGAAAAGCAGACGAAAATGGCGTCGCCCGCCGCAAGGATCACCTTCCGCATACTAATCGTGGCTCTGGTCGTTCTCGTCCTCTTCTACGTCGGCCGCCCTCTCTACTGGAAAATCTCCGCCACCATCCACGAGATCCGCCAAAACAAACAGACCGTTAAGCAAGGTAGCATTCATCTCACTTCCCAATTTTTTAAATTTTTTTCGTTTCCGGGTGAGACTTTTTTTCTGAATTTTGTGATTTGGGGGCCGAATTCTGTTCAGGTATATCGCAGATTGTTCTGGAAGCTCAGAAATCGGTCGGTTGGTACCACGACGAGTCGGATTCGGGTGCCCGCTACGATAGGGCCGCGAAGAATGTCGGGTTGGCCACGACCCGGAGGCTGCTGCTCCGCCAGGTTTCGTGAAATCCCTTGATTTTTCCAAAATTTGCTGCTTTGTAAGACTGAGGTTTCAGTGGGTCTGTTCAAATCTGGTCACATTTCAAATGAATCGGTTAAATTATGTTGAATTAATGTGTTTAGGGAGTGAAATACTTCTTCCTGACACTACTAAATGTTAGAAAAGTTTGCACAACTGCAATGCTGGATTATGTATCGGTTTCGGAATATATATAGAATTTTACTGAGTATGATTATATATATAGTATTTTGGGTTTGTTTGGTGCATTGGATTAGTGATTGCCTCTTATTTTGAATTTTGTTACACTTTTAATCTTAACTTAATATGCAAACCCAAAAAGGCGATGAATTGGATTATTCGGACACTCTGGTTTGATTGCTTGTACATAGCATTCATCAATGATTCCTCTGCAAAAACAATTTCCTCCATTCTGCAAATTGTTATGTTACTTTCAGCTGATTTTGTGTTGTATTTGTTGAGGATATGCGTGTCGTCTTAGTCTTCAATGCTCAAGAACTATTGGTAATTACTAATTTGGTTATGATCCAACAGATGATAATTCATTCGGATTTGGATAATTAGTTGTTTGATTTTGGTTCAATAGTGAATGAGCTTGAATTTTGTGTTCGTTGATGTTAGGATTCTAAGAACATTTAGGTTTCCCTGATTGTTTTGGGGATGTGTGGCCTGACTTCCTAAATCAAGTGAGTTTGTGGACCTCAAGGACCTCAACAAACACTATGCATTGGCACATATAACTATACATATCCTCAAAGTGTAGTGAAGGTCTAAGATGTTCGAGTGTTCTTGTTTCGGCTATCATAAGTCTTGGAAGTTTAGTGAGAAGGTCCAATAGTGAATGAGCTTGAATTTTGTGTTCGTTGATGTTAGGATTCTAAGAACATTTAGGTTTCCCTGATTGTTTTGGGGATGTGTGGCCTGACTTCCTTAATCAAGTGAGTTTGTGGACATCAAGGACCTCAACAAACACTATGCATTGGTACATATAACTATACATATCCTCAAAGTTTATTGAGAAGGTCTAAGATGTTCGAGTGTTCTTGTTTAGGCTACCATAAGTCTTGGAAGTTTAGTGAGAAGGTCTAATAGTGAATGAGCTTGAATTTTGTGTTTGTTGATGTTAGGATTCTAAGAACATTTAGGTTTCCCTGATTGTTTTGGGGATGTGTGGCCTGACTTCCTAAATCAAGTGAGTTTGTGGATGTCAAGGACCTCAACAAACACTATGTATTGGTACATATAACTATACATATCCTCAAAGTTTAGTGAGAAGGTCTAAGATGTTCGAGTGTTCTTGTTTAGGCTACTATAAGTCTTGGACCATATTTACTTGTTTAGTGATGTAAAGCATCAGTAAATGTTGAGTATACCTCAAAACTTCCTTGGTTTGGATGAGGCACCTTTTGTGAATGATTTCATTAATGGTTTGTTTGCTAAACTGCGCTTTGAAGCTTCACTTCCTGCAGTAGGTGTCCTGGTGTTCAATCTCTCATAGGGGTCGCATGTGTAAAACAGAGAGGGTAAGTGAGAATCTTGTACCTACACTGATATTCGATGTTAGAACTTGGACGGCATATTTTTGCAAGATTTTCTGTACATAGATTGGTTAAGAAACTCTGAGTAAGCCAGTAAGAGCTTCCTGTTGGTTTATTTTCTTTAGCTAGCTGTTCTAACTTTTTGGGCCACTACAGTATGTTGTATTACAATTTCTGTAGGTTGCGGCCCAACCGTAGCTCTAGTTCTTCCAGCTTCTTTCAAATTCAACTATCAAACTGGCTCCCTAAGAATGGAATGGATGACTTAATTTTGTTCCTCTTTTGGGGCACGGTGTGAGTAGTCTTAGAACTTTGCTAAGGTCAGTCGCCCAAGCGCATTATGATCATCGATCAAATTTGGGTTCCACAGTAATCTGCAGTCAGGAGTTGTGGCTTGTGACCGTCAGCATGATGTAGCATGTCATGAAGCAGGAGCCACGAGATGATCAAAGACTAATAAAAACGGGCCATAAGAGAGATTTGGAGTAATGGGACTTTGAATATCCTTAGTACATCACCTGGAGCACTTTTTCGTTTTCTATCAAAAGCAGGCGAGAGTGCTTTTGGTTGTCATAAAGCAATTTTAGCATTTCCGTTTGCAATTCCTTCATGATACTCGAAGAATGTTAAATTTTATCTGGAGGCATCTTCGCTCCGCGAACCCGGCTGCTGTTGAAGCATAATCATCTTCTACTTCAATCACCAGCAACCCAACCCTTTTGAGTTCTAATCCATCAAAATTATCTTCTCTTTCGTTATCATTCAAAATCAACCTGTTATACATCCTGTGGTGGAGATTAAGACATCAATGTGAGCATCACTTTTGCAACCTAGACGATCTTCTTAAGTGAAATTGATTCATCTTCCATGGATTAAACTTTTAATTTTTAGATTCAGGTTGTAAACTACGTGCGTGCGCTTGATCGAATGTTCTTAACAAAATTTATGTTCACATTTGTATTCACAAATTATTAAACATCAAGGAGGCAAAGAATATATATCCAAAATTGTTTTTTTTTTTTTTTTTTTTGTGAGTAACATGACTGACATGTATCTTTTGGATCTTGCACCTTATATAAATTATACATGCCCATGTTAACACAATTTATACTTTGTAAAGGTGGTTGACAATTCTGGCAGATCTTATGCATCTTCAAAACGTCCAAGTTTTCCGATTCACATTCATACACACATGCATGCACCATACTTGTTCTGTAGAATTTTCAAACCTGATTCTTTACATAAAACGGGGAAATTAGCCGGAATGATCAATTTTTAGTAACGACAACATTGTTAACTCAATGATGACATAACAACCACGAAACGATGATACAACAACAGCATAATAAACACTAATTATTTTTACAACCAAATGTCAGAGATTAACCTTTCCTGCTAATTGTCCTAAAAAAGTTGAAAACAGAAGTATAAAAAAATGAATGGTGATGGAGAAACCCATAACCCATGCATTGACTTTGAGTTTTCTTAATTTTGTATAAATTTCCACCTATCTAAGGTTTAGGTGTATACATTATCTTAGCACGCAGTTTTAGCTACAAAACATGAGCTTTTGGCTCAAATGATCTCATTTAGAACCTGACTGCTGAATTGAACAAAATTATACATGAGCAACACATCAATACAAATTTGACAATATAACGATCAGAAACTGATAATATACTAAAAATTGATCATTTCAATAATTAGAATTTAAAAAAGAGCTTTAGATTAAAATGATCCACTTTTAACGTTTGACTGTTAAGCGATGATCCGTTTTTAGCATGTTGTTGATATATAATCCATCTATCGTCGATACTTGATTCAACCATTTAAGCAATCAAACATAAAAAATTGATCATTTTAGCTAATTACCTAAAATGATCATTTTGATCAATTGCGGACAAAATATTGCAAAGTGGATCATATTTCCCCGTGCAGATGGAGCCATCATTGTCCCCCATTTTCTATGATGAGCAGTATTTTATTTCATTTTCAACATTAATGGAATCGATTAATTTGCGATCATCCGGAAGACTAGATGTGGATTGGCCAATTTTAATAATGTTTAATAGGTATCTATTAGTAGAAATTTAAGTGACACCCTTATGCTTAAGCTTATGGAGCATGCGTTATATGAACACCAGCAACTTTTGTTGCTTTTATACGTGGCCTTGACTTTGTATTCTCACTTTAATTAAGATACCCTTGAAAAATAATTAGAGTATAAATATATTCTTAATTGTATTGGGATCCTACAAGTTGACCTCTACAATTTTCCAAATGTAATAATTTCTAGATTAAAGTTTGATATGTTGGAAGCTAAGATCTTTAGAGGATCCTAATCTTTATCTTGCAGCGGTATTCACTAACTTAATAGTGCAGTTGACTTATGTTTAAGCCTTAGAGGATTGTTATTCGAACCCGCACTAGAGTTTATAGGTATTATTACGTTCCGTCACTATGATAAAGTATCATCTGCAACATATACTGATTATTCCCACATTAACTTGCCTTTCTAAAAGTCTAAATAGAATTCATCAAAGAAATATCATTCGATCTATAATTTTTAACAATATTCACATGAAAATAATTATGACATACCCTATTATTTAAAACCCTATGGATCAAATGGATGATAATTGGAAGTCAACTCCATCATGGGTCACGTATTGTCTTTGTTCCCTACATACATATGATATAAGATGACTTTAAATTTACAATCATAACCATCATCCATGATATATATATATATGTACCACTCACTTGTCAGGAGAAGAGGCTCGACCTACGGCCACCTTAAAATGATATTATATCCAACTTAACCATTAAAATTGTGTATGGGGTTTATCTTTAAAGGTTTTGGCAGAAATTAAAGGGATGTCTTGCTTGATATATCAATGATGGCAGCTTGATTCATGCTTCCTATACTACCTTTAAATGTAATTGGGTGGTCGAGGCGTCAAATTGCCATGCACCCTACCACCCCGCAATGAATATTAGAATGTAAAAGCCCCTCCTCCATTGTTAAGGGCCATCTCTCAATTGAGATAGAATAATACACACACACACACACTAATGCAAAGTAATATAATATAATTGATGCAAAGTAATACAATAGAATAATGCGATATTGAAATTATAACTTTTTATTTATTCAAAATGAACTTACAGAAACCTTGACTAAAAGATTTTATTGAAGAGTTGCAAGAAAATAAACCGAAATAAATCATGGTAATTGTACTAATTTATCCGAACTTGAGAAAATAAATCTTGAAATTAAAAAACGTTATGTCTAAGGCTTTAGAGCCTTGTATTTATAGGCTGGAGCTTGAGTAAGTGAAAGAGTGACCGTTGGAGCACGCGTGAATAGAGGCTTGTCCAAATAATTAACTTTTATTGTTAATTTTGGATGTGTAATAATTCTGCAAACAACAGCACTGTAGATAAATAGTAACTTGTTAGAACACTATTTGACATTTTTTGTCCTAGATGAATAGCGACCGTAAATAAATTGTCTTCAAAATTAATTCCTTGTCTTCATTGAGATCATATGGATCTTTAGCATCTTGATAATATGCCCATCTCAACTTCTGAGTAGGAGAACCGACCTTTGACTGGAAGCTGAGGCTAGCGAAGAAGTTTGTTGTTTTCGTCTTCTTGCCCCATTTAGGAAACTTGGAGTATTCACTGTCAGGCTAT